CATCTGCGTGGTGTCTCGGCAGGCATGCCTGCTTGAATCCCACTAGGACTGCCTGTGTGGGTGGACGTGCCACATGTCCTCCTGGGTGGACGCTCCCGGCACCGTTGGGGGCGCTCCTCTCCTTTCACCTAGGTGACTCCTGACCCCAAGCAAAGCCCTGCCGGGAGGGCTGCAACCCACCCCGTGAGGCCCAGACATGGGTCCTCAGCCCAGGGCGCCTGCCAAGTGCACACACTCCCTCGGAAGCAGACACAGATATGAGGACACCCCACCCAGACGGGTCCTTGCGTGGTCACCCACCCGGCGGAGGTGTCCCCCGGGGCCTACTGGGGCCCGCGGAGGACCTACCATCATGTCGTGGATGTCTTCCATTTTCTCCGAGGCTGCTTCGTGGTTCTCCTTGGCCTCCTCACTTCTGCTCTCTGCAAAATCCCAGCCCGAGGCCAGGGTCACGGGCAGCCCAGGTGGCACCCGGGAGGCCTCACAGGGAGCTCTGGAGCCACACTCGGGCCTGACTGAGGCCCAGGGGGCAAGGGAGGGGGCCGGGGACCACATGGGACGGTGGGAGTCTGGGTCAGGGGGCAGGTCACATAGGGGCTGGGGCGACTGTGGGAGGCCCAGACCGGAGTCGAGGCCCGTCTGAGACTCCTGGGGTTGGGGGAGGCCCCGTCCACGCACCGGCCCCGGCCTCCTCCTCTGTGCTGGGGGCATTCTTGGGCACGAAGTGGAACTTCTTCTCCACCCAGCCCTTCCTGTACAGGGCCTCCCGGATCACGGGGTAATGGCCGTAGATGGAGAAGATCTTCTTTTCCTCCAGAGGGAAGAGCACTGAATCAGGACGAGGACGCGGGCGCAGCGCCCACTGCCGGACACTCTGGCCAGCAGAGGCCGCCAGACACCAGTTTCGGCCGCAGGAAACCCCGGGCGGAAGTGCCCGGAGCGGAGGGCCGCCGCTGGCCCCCCCAGCTGGCTCGGGGCATGGCTCTCCGCTAGGTTAGGGCTGAGGGCTTCAAAGCAGCGACTGGGAGCCACGTGGTGTGCATGAAGCCGACGGCTGGGAGGAAACTGGGAATCCACGACAGGGTCTGGCCCCTGCTTCTGGGGCGTCCCAGATGGGGGTAGGAGTGGGGAGTGGGTGGGAAGCAGGTGGCTGGGGTTCGGGGTGGGTGGGGAAGGGGAACCACAGCAGGGGGTCCCCAGGGGGCAGCGCCACCTCCATGCTCCACCTGCCCGAAGCAACTGGTCCCAAGGGGCCCCAGAGGGCCCTTACCTTGATGGCTTTCTCGGTCAGCTGCCTTGCTATTTTGTATCTGTCTAATTTGGGAGAAGTACTGAGGTCTGGGCAAGTCCCTCGTTTTAGTTCTGCAATAAACAAACAGTTGTAAGGGCCACGCAATCGTTCATCCTCAGCTTGCTAGCAGCGCATACTTCAGCTCCTCGCCTGCCTGGGTCCAGCTCGAACCACAGCTTGGCTACGGCTGGGTCAGGCGTGATACCTGGCCAGCCAGCCAGCCCGCTGGGATGGGCCCCACGGTCTAGCCCCTCTGAGCTCGACACCGCCCAGCACTGGGGTGCCTGCGCCCGCCTGGCACCAATCCCCTCTGGTGGAAAATGTGCACTAGGCCCCCGCGGGTTGGCTCGCAGACCCCACCCCTGGAAGGAGCTCCGGGCAGCGCAGGCTAGCTCGACCCACACTCCCGACCAGCAGCCCACAGCCCCCTAACCCACTGGCCGTGTCTGCAGGCAAAGCACAGAGCCGTCCGGCCAGCCAGCAGCTCGGGAGACAGGAGCTTCGGGTGGACCCCTTGCAGGCGGCGGGGCCAGTCCCCACGCTGGGGAGAAGCCCCAAACACAGCGCGCCCCTCCCGCTGGGACCCCTGGCTGGTGACGGGGTAGGGGGGCCCGGTACCGACTCTTCTCTCCTTTTCGGGGTCCATCCGACGCGCCGGACCAGTGGCTCTGGCCCTCGGGGGTCTCCATCCAGGCCTCCTGCAGGCCTCCCGCGCGCGCCCCTGCGGGGTGGGGGGACGTCGTGAGCCCCGCAGGCTGCCTGGGATTCCCCAGGGCCAGGCGCGGGGCTCCAGGGACCCTCCCGCGCGGGGCTGGGGTCAGGCGGGGGGAGAGGGGGCAGGAGCAGGCAGGCAGGTGGGGCGTTCCCGGAGCGCGGGTGGGAGGCGCTCCTGGGGGCGCGGGGGGTCGCTCCTGGAGCACAGAGGAGTTTCTGGAGCAGGGAGGGGGCCGTTCCTGGAACGCGAGGGGTCGCGCCTGGAGCGGGGGGCAGGGAGTCCTCCACGTTCCTGGAGCTGGGGGGCTCTCGGAGCGCACGGGGCGTTCCCGGGGACGCGGGGGCGGGTGTTCCTGGGGCGCGGGGGTCGCTCCTGGAGCGCGGGGGTAGGGCGTTCCTGGAGCTGGGGACCCATCGAAGCGCGGGGCGTTCCCGGGCGCGGTGGCCGTTCCCGGAGCGCGGGGGTCCTTCCCGGAGCCTGGGGTCGCTCCCGGAGCTGGGGGTCGCTCCCGGGGAGCGCGGGTCGGTTCGGACGCGCCGCGCTCACCCGAGATGGGCCCGGAGGCGCCGTCCGGCGTCCCGCGGTTGTCCGGGGCGACGGCGCGGGGGGCGGCGGGCGCGTGCGGGGGCCGCGGGAGGCGCGGGGCGCGGGGTTCGCGGCGGCCGGCGCGGGGGGTCGGGCTGCGCGGACGCGCCGGGGGCGGGGGGCGGCGGCGGCGGGGGCGCGGGCGGCGGCGCGGGGCGGGCGCGGGGGACAAGCTTCCCGGGTCCGAGGAGCTGGGGCTGCGCTCCGGGGCGCGGCGATCGCAGCGGGCCCTGAAGGCCATGGGGTCCGCAGGGAGCCGAGGCGCCGGGGCCGCCCCCGCGGGGTCACGCCGACCCCCGCCCTGTCATAGACCCGCCTTCGCCGCGGGCCCCCGCCCCGGCGGGTCACAAAGACGCGGTGGTCACTAGGGCGCCACTGACCCTCTCCGCGGCCTGGCCGGCCCGCCGAGGAGGCCTGGGGTGTCGCCGCGGGGTCAGGGCTGCGGAGGGCTGGGCAGGACCCCGGGCTGTCCCGGGTCGTGGCTTCAGGCCTTGTCCAGCCTCCGGCCGGCATGCCCGGAGGCCAGCTGGGGGTGGCCCCGCTGGCTCCTCGCTGGCCCTGGGCCGAAGACGCTGCGATCTTGGAACCGGCCTGGCCGCTTCCCGTCACCCAGGTCACAAACCCCTTTCTTTGGGGCCTCACAAACGGGGGCGGGTGGGGCCCCTCTGGCCTTCCTTCCCGCCTGATGCTGGGGATCCTGGACAAGCTCTGCCAAGCCCCTCGTTTTCTGGTTAGCCTTTATTGCGGAGGCGGAATTAAAAACCAGATCAGAGGGAACTGCCCGTCGACAGAATTTAGTTCTTCAAGATCCATGCTCTGAGATGGGAGGTACCGCCCACAGAACCGAATTCTGGACCCCACAAGCTAGGGGGTGCCGGGCATGTCCCCTGCCCCAGGGCATGCAGTGTGGGGGCAGTGCCAACTGGTGGCCCTGACCATGGGTTTTGTCCCCTGGCACCTGGCTCCCTGCTTGAGATGAGGCCCGTGGGGGCTGGGACACCCCCAGCCACCAGCCGCCGTGGATGCGTCTGGATTTTTCATGACCGGTGGTCAGCAGCATTGCCGGGACACACGGGTGGAAACCCTGGTGAGCTGCTGCAGACTGTCCCCTGTGGGAGGGGGTCCTGACACCTGGACGTGTGAGGGCCCGTGTCACGGAGAGAAGTTGGCAGTTCTCGAAGATTCTGGGAGCAGTGGGCATGGTGGGGGGGAGACAGCGCAGGGTGTGGGCTGGGACCATCCCTCAAGCCTGGCAGGTGGGCAGTCACTGACATAGGTGGCCTCTGTCTGCCGGACCTCAGACCTCAGGTAACCAAGGGTCAGGGTTCAAGGCGAGCCCTTGGAGGTAGTGAGCAGCGCACGTGGACCCATCACAGAGATGGGAAGTTCTGTTGGTTTCTGTTTTTGGACTGCCCGAGTGCTCAGGGCTGACTCCTGGCTCTGCACTCAGGAATCACACCTGGCCATACTCGGACCAGGTGGGACGCCAGGGATTGCACCTGGGTCAGCTGCATTTGGGACGGGGGTCTTACTCCCTGCACTGCTGCTACAGCCTGGGGTGGTGGAGAGGGCTGGGCATCCCCCTCGAGCTGCCCCGTGGGGAGAGACTGAGGGACTCAGAAGTCGCAGGTGGCGGGGAACCCAGGAAGACGGGCCTGAAGGGGCCGCAGCGCACAGGTGGCTGGTCTCACCTTGAGTGTGAGACTGGCCTGGCTCTGGGCACTGTTTGTGATGACCATGGCCTGGGTGGCGATGTGGGGGACACTGGGCAACCAGGACCCAAGTTAGAGTCGGCTCGCAGCCCCTTCCCTGCTGCTGGGGGGTGGGCGTGCTGGGCTGCCCCAGGCCAGAGGAGGGTCAGGGCTGGCTGCAGCGGGGAGGCCCTCAGCACCCGGGACCCAGGCCGGGGTCACTGACAGCTGCTGCTGGGAGCAGGTCTGGGTGCCTGGCCAATGCCTGGGGGGCCTGGTCAGTGTCTTGGGGCCCTGCTCAGTGCCTGGGAGGGTCTCGTCAGTGCCTGGGGGGAACCGGGGGTCCCTGGTCAGTGCCTGGGGGGCCTGGTCAGTGCCTGGAAGGGTCTGGTCAGTGCCTGGGGGGCCTGGTCAGTGCCTGGGAGGGTCTAGTCAGTGCCTGGGGGGGAACCTGGGGAAGCCTGGTCAGTTCCTGGGGTGGTCTGGTCAGTGCCTGGGGGGAACCTGGAGGGCCTGGTCAGTGCCTGGGAGTGTCTGGTCAGTGCCTGGAGTGTCTGGTCAGTGTCTGCGGGAGCCTAGGGGGGCTGGTCAGTGCCCGCGGGAGCCTAGGGGGGGCTGGTTAGTGCCCGTGGGAGCCTAGGGGGGCTGGTCAGTGCCTGCAGGAGCCTAGGGGGGCTGGTCAGTGCCTGGGGGAAGGTGGTCGGTGCATCGGGTCAGGCGTGGCTCCAGTCACTGTGCCATCTGCACCACCACGGCACGCCATGCTTTCTCCTTGTCAAACTCCTTCAGGGGGGTCCTGGCCACCTGTGAGCAGAGGCCGGGGTCATGCTGGAGCCTCTGCTCAGAGCCGCCCTCAGCCCCGGCACCTGCAGGGAGCCGGGGAGGGGATGGGGGGCAGGTGGGAGCCGCCCCTGCTCCCTCCCCCTCTCCCCCCTCCCCCCCCCATTTCTCCAGCTTTGGTGGGTGGTGGCACATTTGGGACACAGGACAAGAGGCCCTCCAGGAATGACAGGCAGCAGCTGCCCACGAGCCCGAGCACCGCCTTGTCCCACACAGAGCCGGGAGGGTCTCGCCTCAGGGCACTGCCCACAGCAGGAAGAGGCATGCCAAGGCGTGGCTTGAGGGCAGAGCTCGGGTCCTGGGCAGCTGCACGCTGCCCCGAGAGCCCTGAGCCCGGCAGGGCTAGGGGGCTCCCACCCAGGCTCCCACCCCGGGGGCCTTGGGCAGCCTCTGACAGACCGGGCAGGGGGGCAGGGGCAGGGGCACTCCTGGAATCCTGGTCAGCAGAGCCCCCGCCCCGTCCTCCCCGTCCTCCACCCCTGCTCTCCCCTCCCCTCTCCCCTCCCTTTTTTCCTCTCCCCCTTCCTCTCTTGGAAATTAAAGGTCTTTCTGGGGCGAATTTGGGATCTGTGTGTCTGCCTGGCCAGTCCCGGGTGTGTGTGTGTGTGAGGGGGGAGCTTCGCTTCTCTGACTTGCTCCCCCAGTGGCCCCGGCTTCTCTTCTGTGCCTCGGGGGTCTTGGGAGGAGTAGGGGCACTCACCTCCCCGGTGGGGTGCTCCTGCGGGCCGGGGTGCAGGGCGCTCCCGGCCGAGCTCACTTTGAAGCGCACGCAGTGGATGACGGTGCAGGTGTTGAGAGCTGCCTGCAGCAGAAGCTCAAGCAGGAGCAGCATCAGGACCACGTCGTGGGACTGCTGGGGGGAGGGGAGTGGCTGGGGGCCCACAGGTGCCCGGACCACCCCGCCCGGCGTGGGACTGCTGGGGGGTGAGTGGCTGGGGGCCCGCAGGTGCCCGGACCACCCCGCCCGGCGTGGGGCTGATGCTGGAGGCCTGTGAGCAGGGCGGGGGCGCTCAGCCTCCCGGCACCGTGAAACGCACCCAAGCCCCCCTCTGGAGTGGCCACAGGCCAGGGGGCGAGTGGACAAGCCTCACCCCCAGCCGGCCTGACTGCACTCAGGGTCTGGGCAGGAGAGCTGAGCACCCGGCAGGAGGAAGAGGGCGTGGGTGTGAGGGCGTCTCTCAGCCCACTCCGCTGACGCTGAGGATGGTGATGGTGTCCCCAGGGAAGCCCCTCTGTGGTCCCTGACCTCCCGCCCGGCGCTCTGTGAAGGTCGCCTAGTGAGTGGCCTTCAGGAGACAGAGCAAGCAGGGCACAAGCCCCCGCACGAAGCCGCTCCCAGGGCCCTGAGGCGGGAGCGGACGGGTACCTTGATGGCTGGCGGGTAGGCTTTGAACATCTCCAGGACCCTGGGCACGCTGAAGGAGAGGTACCCCGAGGCCGTGAAGAGCAGGGGCGCCGCCAGGCTGCAGATGGCGATCAGCACCTCCACCTGGGGGACGCGGGTGGAGCCTGGGTCTGGGCCCGGGTCAGGGGTGCCTGCCCAGGCTGGGGGACGGCCCTTCCCCCGAGGTGGCGTTCCCTCACCCACCAGACACTTGCTGGGACACTCGGCTGTCACGTGGCTGGCGATGGCACTGGGGAAGCACTGAGGAGAGAGAGACTCAAGCCGGCTCCCAGGACACTGGCCCCACGTCCAGCGTCCATGCCCTCAGCAGGGGACCCCGGGGCACCGTGTCCCTCCGCTTGGATGCCTGATGTTGCGTGCCGTGGAGAAGCTCCCAGAACAGAGCTTGTGGCTGGACACCACCGTATCCTCCTTGGGAGACTGTGGCACCCCGGACGCAGCCACGGCCCCCCCCCCCCAGGGCTGCATCTGGGGGCCGCTGCTGAAGATGTGCCTGGCCACTCCATCCATGACCCACCCACGGCGTTTGCCTAGAGACGCCTCCCCCCGGGCAAGGCTGCCCCTCCCTGCCTGGCCCACAGAGCTTCTCAGCAGAGGGCATGTCCCCAAGACCCGTGTCCCAGGCCCTCTGGAATGCTGGCAGGATCTGCACCTGTTAGGGGTTCTGGCACAGAGAGGGGCATCTGAGGAGGAGCTGTGATGGCGGGGCAAAGCACCTGGGCCAGCATGCCCAGAGCGGGTGACCCTGCCACTTTGGAGCGATCTGCGGGGGGCCTAGGAGCACTGGGTGTGATTGGGGGGCATCTGGTTTGCTTAAAGGTGCATTTCCGGGGCACTTGAATGCACATACACATGGACATGCACACGTGCACGTGGACACATGCTCTCATGTACACAGACATGCAGACACGCGTGACACATGCACACATGCATAGACACGTGCACACGTGTATCTACAAACATGCACTCATGCCCCACAGTACATGTGCGCACACGGCCACACACACATACACGCACACGTAAAGCCATGGCGGTCCATTTGGCAGCGGTGACACGGGTTCTTGATTTCGTCCCGCCCGGGGTGAGGGGCACCAGCTGCCGGCACTCACGGCCACTAAGATCCAGAAGAAGGTGACCGACAGGTGGGGGCCTGACACGGAGGCGTCCACGTGGAAGGCGATGACGCCGCCCAGCACGGCTGAGACGCCAGCCATCAGCTCGATGACCTAGAAGGTCACCAGGGAGACTGCAGGTATGTGGACCGGCCCAGCCCCGTCCTGTGTCCACGTGACCCCTGCCCCCTGCTGAGGGCCCCGCCCCCCACCCCCTGCTTGGCACGGTTCATGGAAAAACCTCCCCTAGGACCAAGAAGGTCTCTAAGCGATGCTGCCGAAACCAGTCCAGCAGGAAGTGCCCCTGACCCTGCAGGGAACCCAAGCTCTGAAGCCCACAAAGCTGCAGAATGGGGATGGGTGGGTGGTGCTCTTGGCAGGTGCCTCAGAATCTCAGAATCAAAGCAAGAGATGGGTGGGGGGGGTGGAAGGGGGCAATGAGGGTAGGAAAGGCTTAAACACACACAAGCAAGGCAAGGGCCCTTCAGACCAGAATGCTCAGGTCAGAGGTGGGACGGGCTTGCCCCGGGCAATCAGGAAGGGACAGGAACTGGCCTTACCGAGTAGGACTTCAGGACGCGAGCAGGAAAGGCCACTTGGCTGGAGATGAGGGTGGTGTCAGAGACGGAGGCCTAGACGGGGTGAGGGTGAGAGAGAGTGAGGGGACAGCCGGGCGGGCCTGGGGCAGGGGCGAGGTGAGGTGTGGGAGGGCCTGAGACAGGGGCAGGGGTGAGGTTGAGGGGGCCTGGGGGGCCTGGGGGCCTGGGAGGCCTTGCCAGGGGCCCTTCCCACTAGCACTCCTGCAGGCCGCTCACCTTCTGCCTGCCGTTGGCCTCGCCGGACCTGGCCGAGAGGATCACGGTGGCGGCCATGAAGAGCTCCAGCAGCAGCAGCAGGATGAGGTTGAAGTTGATCTGTGGGGAAGCGTGGCCCCCCTGACTCACCTCCCGGCTGCCCGGACGGGCTGCAGAGCCCAGGAGGGCCACAGCCTGGACGGCCTCACGCTGGCCGGGGGCTCTAAGGCCGCGCCGGGCAGTTGGCTGCATGTGGCCTTCAGCCGGGGCTGCTGACCCTGGACCCCGGCATTCCTGGGTGGTCTGCCTCTCGGGGCAGGCAGAGGGTCCTGGCAGCAGGTACAGCCGCCCTGTGCAGGGCTGTGAGCACGGCAGGACACAGGCCCTGTGTGTGTGTGCGTGCGTGCGTGCGTGTGTGTGCGTGTGTATGTGCATTCATGTGCATGTATGCGTGTACATGTGTGTGTGTGTAGAGCACAGGCCCTGTGTGTGCTGGCATGTGTGTGCACGTGTGTATGCGTGTGTGTGCACGTGTGCGTGTGTACATGCAGCTTTCTTAGGCATGACCTGTGCCACACACTCCAGTCGATGTGAGGAGACACACGAGCTAGCCTTCGGGCCAGTCCCACCCCCTGCGTGGGCCACCCCAGCCCTCCCCTCCCCACGGCCCAGGGCATATGCCTGCCCCCTGACTCACGTCTATGGCTGAGGGGTTCAGGACGAGCTTGCACCCGAACCAGATGAGGCACGTGGTGGTGATGGCGAACGCAGAGACGAAGAGGACCTGGAAGTTGGGGATCTGAAAGACAGGGACAGGCTGCCTCTGTGGCTGAGGCAGGGGCCCCAGCCCGGACCCAGGCCGCCGGGGACAGTGAGGCGGAGGCGGCCAGGTGGGCATCGCGTGTCTAGCGAGTGTGAGCTGCTGGACTAGGTCCTGAGCAGAGAGAACCAGAACTGTGAGGCCCGCAGGAGGTCGGGGCCTGGGACGAGGGCACTGCGGGGGGGGGGGGGGTTCCAGGTACTCTGGGGGGAGCCTGTCCCACCTGCGCACACATGCGCCTGTAAACCCACGTCCCTCGCACCCTGCCAGGCTGCCGAGTCAGACGGACGGACGGACAGACTCACTGCGTTGATGTTTTTCCTGGAAACTGCGAAGCTCACGACAGCTGAGGGGAGGCACTACAGACAAAGAGCCGGTGAGCGGGGGGCGGGGGGGCTCCAGCACCGCCCTGGCACCCACACCTCCCGCCGGGCTTCTCCAGTGGAGGTGGAGGTGTGGCCCGGTGGTCAGACCCCAGGACTCAGGACTTGGGCTCCTGCAGAAAGCTCCCCACTCTGCCCCTGAATTTTGGGATCATTTATTTGGGAGTCTCTCGCTCTCTTCCTCTCTCTCTCTCCCTCTCTTGCTTCTCTCTCTCCCTTGCTTCTCTCTCCCTCTCCTTCTCTTCCCTCTCTCTCCTTCTCTCTCTCCCTCTTTCTCTCTCCTCTCTCCCTCCTTCTCTCTCTCCTTCCCTCCCTTCCTCCTTCCGTCCCTCCCTCTCTTTCCCTCTCCCTCTCTCTCCTCTCTCTCCCTCCCTCCTTCTCTCTCTCTCTCCCTCTCTCTCCTTCTCTGTCCTCTCTCTCTCCCTCTCTCCTTCTCTCCTCTCTCCCTCCCTCCCTTCCTCCTTCCATTCCTCCCTCCCTCTCTCTTTCCCTCTCCCCCCTTTCTCTCTCTCCTCTCTCTCTCCCTTTCCCTCTCCCTCTCATCCCACCAAGGCTGGGAAGCCCAAAGACTTTCAACAGCTTTGGGCCAGGGCTTTGAGTTCTTCTGGGACTCAAACTCTGGGTCAGCACCTGCTAGCAGCCTGTGTTCCCACTGCCTTCCCTGGGGGGCCGGAGTCGGATGGGCATGGGCAGTGGGGGTCCCCGGGGTCCAGGGCAGCCCCAGGAGCGAGGCGACTCGGCCTGAGCCAGGCGGGTGCGAGTGAGCACAGCTTACAGAGCCCGCGGCACAGCGCAGATAGTCCATCTCGGAAGGAAACACGTTGCCCAGGTAGAGTGAGAACCCCGAGGTCACCAGCAGGCAGCTCTGCAAGGCAAGGTGAGGATGGCTTCGCCCCCATAGCCGGGCAGCCCTGCCGGGACTCCGCCCTGCCCGCCCCCGTCCAGAGACGCCCTCGCTCCCCTGCAGGCCTCCCCTGCCAAAGGGTGGCCATCAGGCACCCCTGGGAAGGGACCTGGGGGTGACAGGGTGGCCTCAGGTGGCCAGAGGAGGCTGCCCACCTACCCCAGGAGTGGAGTTTCCTTTGCAGTTACCCTAGGATACAGAGGCAGGACTCTGGGGGACCCCAGAGGGGCGCAGTGGGGTGAGGTCTTCCCTACACACCTGCCCCTGACCATTGTTAGAGGGGGGAACGTCTTTCCTATTCACTGTCCAGGTCCCAGAAGGTGCCCCCAGACCTGTCCCCGATCTGCCAGCCCCTCAGCTCCCGCTCCGTGCCCACCCTCCACTGCCCACCAGAGCCACCAGCTCTCAGAGACCACCCTGGCATGACCCCCAGAGGCGCCGTGTGAACCTGGGGACCCGGCGCGGTTTGGCCAGTGTCACCGCGGCCTCCCAAGCCCCCAAGCCTGGCCCGGAGCCTCACCCCCATCAGCACGGAGAGGACCCAGGTCCGGTGGCTGAAGCAGCGAGGCAGCCTGGTGGCCAGCGGCCGCTCGCCTGGCTTGGTGTCCGGGGCGTAGCTCCCCGCGTCCGGACGGCCGCGTTCCAGGGTGGACGTCCGGTCGTAGGCCAGCTCCTCCCGGCCCTGCTCCTCCCGCGCCATGGCACGGCCACCTGGGCTGCGGCTCCGTCTCACAGAATCAGGGGCGGCGGCCTGTCCCGGGAAAACACCCCGTCAGCACTTCTCTGCGGGGCAGCCGGCGGGGTGGCGCGGAGAATGGCCAGAGCTCAGAGCAAGGGCCAGGCTTCCAGAGACAGGCTCTGGGAAGGCGGCCCTGGGTGGCCCCTGGGCGTGGCGGGAGTTGGGGTCTCCTGTCTTGCTGACCAGCGCCGGGCAGACGCAAGGAGCAGGTCACTTGGGCCGGGAGGTGGGGACGTGCGCCCGCACTTACCTCCTGTCTCTCCGGGCCTTGTGAGTGCTGGTCTCTCACCCCTTGGTCAGCCGCCCTGCCCGGGTGCCCAGCAGCAACTATTCACAGACAGAACAAAGGCTCCAAGAAAGTTAGCCAGGGACAGGAGCTCGCTGCCGGAATTCCAATGAGGGGCCAGCGTCCTGGGGGTTGCGTAACCCCGGCCTGGAGCTCGGCTCCGGCCTGTCTTGACGCCGTTGCCATTGCGGAGATGAACGAGCCCCTCTTGGGCCGGCGCGGCCCACCTGTCCTCCACGGGAGACGGGCACAGACCTGCAGAGAGGACCCCCAAAACAGAGAGTCTGGGGTTTGCTCCCAGACAACCGTTTCTGAAGGTCCCGCCTAGATGCCTTTGGTGCCAGCAAGTGGCGGGGGACGACGGCCCAGACGGCTTGGCCAGAATGGCAGGGCTCAGGCCCACTGGATCCGGGCCCCGTGGTGCCTTTATTCCTGCTCGTTAGTGGACGGGAAGGACAGGAGTGGACCTCTGGTGTCCTGAGAGTGGCAGTGCCCGAGTCCCTGAGAGCACGGGGCTGCCACGTGGCGTGCCCCGAGGCAGAGTACGAGCTCTGGGCACTCCCCACTCCTGGCCGACGTTGAACCGACCGCTCCGTGTGGAGTCATGGGCGTCCCGCTGTCCTTGTTTCCCAGCCAGGCAGGGATGATCAGAAAGGGGCTGGAGCGATAGCACAGCAGGGAAGGCATTTGCCTTGCACGCGGCCCACCCGGGTTCGATTCCCAGCATCCCATAGGGTCCTCCGAGCACCGCCAGTAGTGATTCCTGAGTGTATGAGCCAGGAGGAACCCCTGTGCATCGCCGGATGTGACCCCCCCAAAAAAATGATCAGAAAGTGGAAGCTGTGTGAGGCAGCCGGAGTGCCCTTGACAGGAGAAGAAAATCCAAGGGGGGCAGAGAGGGCGCAGGTGGTGTTGAGGTGCTTGCCTTGCTGTGGCCAGCCCCAGTTTAATCCCTGGCATCACAGAAAGGTCGTCTGAGCTCTGTCAGGTGTGACTCTAAGCCACCCCCCTCCCAAATTCTCTCAACTTTCATTACTGATCCATTTTTGTTTTGTTTTGGGGCTATCCCCGACTGCTCAGGGACTGCATGTTGCCAGGGATGGGAGTCAGGGCTCGCACACACAGGGTATATGCTCGGGGCTGGAGCGATAGCACAGCAGGGAGGGCGTTTGCTTTGCACACGGCCAACCCGGGTTCAATTCCCAGCATCCCGTATGGTCCCCTGAGCACCGCCAGGAGTAATTTCTGAGTGCAAAGCCTGGAGTATCCCCTAGACATCACCGGGTGTGACCCAGAAAAAAAATAACACAGGGTACATGCTCTAGTCCCTTGACCACCTCCTCAGCTCCTTAGTCAATGGGAGTGGGAGGTGTCAGTTGGCCCCGTTTGCACTTCTGTGCTTCTCCTCGGTGGAAGAGAAATGCTGAACAAATGCGACAACATCTGTGCCTTTCAAAAGCTCTCCTCTAGCGAGGAGCATAAACAAGGGGCTGTGCGTGGGGAAACTGCAGAGCCAGGCTGTGAGGTAGGTCTGCACACGCACTGGAGGTCTCCGAGTGCTGAGCCGGCTCCAGTGAAGCTCTGGTCTCAGCCGGACACGTTTTGTGCGGGTTAGCTGGGTCCTCAGGTGGAGAGACCCGTTAATGTAGCCAAGAAGGAAGAGACATCAGTTATGGGAGAAAGGCGGGCAGGCAAGTGGTCCCTCCCAAGGGGGGGTCTGAGTCGGCCTCAGGAAGAACAGTCCCATCCCAGCCCCTGCACTGCCTACCAGGTTCTCTCCTCTGAGCTCTCTGTTCTAGCCCTTCCCCAGCACGACTGCTTGCTCCTGCAGCCAGGAGTGAGCCCTGAGCACAACGTCCTGAGCACCACTGGGGGTGGCCCCCACGGAAAATAAAACCGAACAAAACTGCTTGCTGTGTTCTCTATGTTTTCTCTTTTCAGGATGAGTTTGGGCCATCAGCCAAGCCATTTCAGAGTGGAGACACCGTCGGCAGTGGGACATTAGACCCCTACTGCCGGCCGGGGCACAGACATCCTCACCTTTCCCGTTTACCAAAGTGAACCAAGCTTCCCACAGAAACCGGGAATTAATCCATGACCGGAAAGCAGAGGTGGTTGAACCCTCCAACCGCTGGAGTTGAAACTCACGCTCATTAAGGGGCTCAAGCAGACAAGCCCGAGATCCCTTTCAAAGAGCCGCCATATTGTAATATTTGTAATAATATTACAATAGTAGTTAACACGGGCTGGAGCCATAGCACAACGGGTAGGGCGCTTGCCTTGCACGTGGCCGACCCAAGTTTGATTCCTCCGCCCCTCTCGGAGAGCCCCGGCAAGCTACCAAGAGTATCCCGCCCGCACGGCAGAGCCTGGCAAGCTCCCCATGGCCTGGCGTATTCAACATGCCAAAGACAGTAACATCAAGTCTCACAATGGAGAGGTGACTCCGTAATGGAGCAAATGGATGAACAACGGGAGGACAGTGCTACAGTGCAGATGTTAGTATTGGAGAATATTACAAAATTTCAAGTTTGTAGAATTCCAAATTCCGTGCGCGAGCAGAACGCTCCCCAAAGCGGTGGCGTCAACTGGCCCCAGCTGGCAGAGGACACGGGTCAGCACCTGAGCGGTCAGGCCGCAGCCCCACCTCGGCCAGGGTCAGGAAGGGCCGGAGATCCAGCTCGGAGCCCCGCCCACCCGCGGGAGCCCCGCCCACCGCAGAGCCCCGCCCACCAGCGTGGAACCACGTGGGCCCTGCTCAGCAGCGGGGCCGCGCAGGCGCAGAGCAAGTCTCTAACAGCCAACCGCCTACCTGGACCGTTAACGGTTCAGGAGCGCTTCGCTCTCCCATTGGTCGAGCCAAGCGCATCGTAGGCGCAGGCGCGAGCCCTTGACCCCTATTGGTTGGGCGCCAGGACGCAGGCGCAGGCGCACTCGTGCGAGGCCTCGTGCCCGCACCTCGTCCTGCGCGGGCAGACGGAGGCGGCCATGCTGCGGCTCGCGGCCAAGGTGGTGTCCTTCTTCTGGAGGAAGGCGGACGGCCGGGAGGACGAGGCCGGGCCTCCGTTGTGCGAGCTCGCAGAAGGTGCCTCGCGGGGGCGGGTGGCAGGGCCGCCGCTCGCTGGCGGGCGTCGTGACTCGGGACGCTTGCCCGCTTCCTGTCAGGGTGGGGGGCGGGGACCTTGACGGCCCAGGGCCGCGCTGCCCACCCCTCGGGCCGCGCCCGGCCTCTCCCGCGCGTGCTGGGCCGCCCCAGGGCCGCCCTGTGGGCTCGCGTGCCCAGCTGAGGAGGGGCCTGAGGAGGGACCCGAGGAGAGCCCTGAGGAGATCCCTGAGGAGGGGCCTGACAGAGCCTTGAGGAGGGTCCTTGAGAAGAGGCCTGAGGAGACTTCTGAGGAGGGGCCTTGAGAAGGGGCTTGAGGAGAGTTCTGAGGAGGGGCCTGAGGAGAGCCCTGAGGAGAGTTCTGAGGAGGGGCCTTGAGAAGAGGCCTGAGGAGAGGCCTGAGGAGAGTTCTGAGGAGGGGTCTGAGGAGGGGTCTGAGGAGGGGTCTGAGGAGGGGTCTGACGAGAGCCCTGAGGAGAGTTCTGAGGAGGGGCCTGAGGAGAGCCCTGAGGAGAGTTCTGAGGAGGGGCCTTGAGAAGGGGCTTGAGGAGAGTTCTGAGGAGGGGCCTGAGGAGAGCCCTGAGGAGGGGTCTGAGGAGGGGCCTTGAGAAGAGGCCTGAGGAGAGTTCTGAGGAGAATTCTGAGGAGGGGTCTGAGGAGAGCCTTGAGAAGGGGCCTAAGGAGAACTTTCGACTTCTGACGGGGACGACGGCGTCCATGGAGCTCTGAGCGTGGTGTTGCCTTCTCCTGGGGACGGGCTGGGAGCACTGCTGGAGGAGGCGGGGGTCACCCCGGCGAGGCCCGTGTGCTCCCTTCACCAGCCCCGTGTGGCGTCCTTTGTTTTTGTTTTTGCTTCTGTCACGCCTGGCGATGCTGGGGGGGGGGGGGGGGGGGCACGGGCGCTCTTCCTGGCCCTGCACTCAGGGATCGCTCCTGGCCGTGCTGGGGAACTCTGTGGGATGCCCGGGCTCGAACCCGAGTCCTCGGCCGTGTGCCAGCCGAAGGCCCTCCTAGTCGCGCCTGCTGGGTGTGTGGCAGACTCCTTGGAGTCTGGTCAGTCAGGGCTCTCGCTGACGGGCTTCCTTGGGGAGGGCGCACCCGGCCGTGCCCAGGGCGTCTTCCTGGCTCTGCTGAGGCTCAGGCTGGCGGTGGCCGGGCCAGCGCCTGACCCTGCCTGCTGTTCCGGGTGACAAATCCCGGCTGGTGCTTGGGCGCCCGCTCTGGGCTTCCCCGGGCTGATCTGCTCAAGAAGCCGAGGGGAGCAGGAAGGAGAGAGCAGGCCCCAGGGGAGAGGACTGCCAGAGGGCCAGTGGCCAGGGAGCTCCCACCTGGGCTGCCCCCAGCCCTGCTGCTTTCTCCTCAGCGTCTGGTCAGCAGAGGCGCTCGTGCCGCTGGTGCTGATGGCCAGCGGTGGTGGAAGGAGGCAGCAGTGGCTCGGAGGCCTGCTCTGTGGTGAAACCTGTGTGCTGCCCTGCCGGGCCCCACCCGCGTGGTCCCTGGCTCTCCCCTTTCCTGGGTTCGCTCCTGCCCTCACACGAGCCTTTTGTGGACCTGTCTCAGGTGACACCAAGCTGAAGACCGTTCAGGGTGTGGTGACGAGGTACTGCAGCGATTATGGCATGATTGACGACCTGATCTACTTCTCTAATGACGCGGTGACTGGCAAAGTGCTTCTGAATGTCGGACAGGAAGTGATTGCCGTTGTGGAAGAAAATAAAGTGTCGAATGGACTGAAAGCGATCAGGGTAAGTTTCTCAGATAAGTCTTGCCTTCGCCTCGGGCTTCGTTCACGTTCTTTTACGCCCCAGGACGGTCTGGCCTGGCCGGTGGAGGAGGCCTACAGGGCGCTGAGTGGTTCCTTTCCGTGAGTAATAAGTGCTGTTGAAAATCAGTGGGTAGGTCAGATCTTGTTCTGAGTATATGGAAGCCGGGCCCATGCATTCAGTCCCCAGCATCACAAAAGAAAACAGAAAAGGGTGTAGGGGCTTTGTTTTGCTTGATGATACCTTTTTTTTACCCCCAACTTCTGTGAAGACTCAAGGGAAAAAGCCTCCTGAATAAGCTGACCACTCTTGTGAGCGAACCATGTTTATATGAGGCTTTATTTGCTGAGTTCTTCTACTCCACTGATCTGTGTCACTGTCATCCTGCGGTACGTCATCCGTGGTATCATGAAAAGTTTGGAAGTCATGAATTACGTGCCCTGCAACCTTTGTTTTCCCTTTTTAGGATTTTTTAAAAAATTTATCATTTTTGGGGGGCTGGAGCGATGGCACAGCAGGTAGGGCATTTGCCTTGCACGCAGCCAACATGGCCGACACAGGTTCGATTCCCAGCATCCCATATGGTCCTCCGAGCACCGCCAGGAGCGATTCCTGAGTGCATGAGCCAGGAGCAACCTCTGAGCATTGCCGGGTGTGACCCAGAAAGAAAAAAAATTACTTGGGGCCACAGTAGTGATGCTTAGGCCTGGCCCCTGAGCTCTGTACTCAGGGATCACTCCTGGCAGTACTCAAGGGACCACATAGGATGCTGGGGATCAAACCTGGGTCAGCTGTGTGCAAGGCAAGCTCCTTACTATTTATTCTACTACTCCAGCCCCTAAGACAGACCTCTTTTTTTTGGTGGTGGGGCACACCTGGCATTACTCAGGGGTTACTCTTGATTCTGTGCTCAGGAATAACTTCTGTCAGTGCTCCATGGATCACATAGATGCTGGAGATTGCCTAATTGCTGTATTATCTCTCCAGCCCCTTAGGATGGTTTTAACTATTCAAGTTTCTTTGGAAATTCCACATGAAAAATTTAAAGTTTTTGTTTTTGTTTTTTGGTTCCCTCCCACATGGCAGAGCCTGGCCAGCTCCTCATGGTGTACTTGATATGCCAAAAACAGTAACAACAAGTCTCACAACGGAGGCGTTACTGGTGCCCGCTTGAGCAAACCAATGAACAACGGGAGGACAGTGCTACAGTTTTTTGGTTACACCCTGTGATGCCCAGGGCTTCTGGCTCTGTGCTTTGGATTCTGGGGATCATTCCTGGTGGACTTGGGAGACCTTATGGTGTGTTGGGGATTGAGCCTGGGTTGGCTGTGTGCAAAGTAAACTCCCTGTTCACGGTACTATTGCTATGACCCTGCATTTAAAAGAAAAATTTCTGCAAAACATATGGTTAGATTTTGATGAAGGGAAGAAATATTTTGATGTGGATACCAGAGAGATAGTCCAGTGGTTACAATATCTTACACGTGACTGACCTTCATTGCGTCCCAACAACACCTGTGGTCCGTCAGCACTACCAAGAGTGATTCCTAAACACAGAATAAACCCTTAGTACCACTGGTTGTGGCCCCCAAGCAAATTTTGATGTGTATTTCATGGACTCTGTATTGTTTAGGGTAGTGTTGACATTTTTGGGGAAGGGGAGCAGAGGTTGTCACCCTGGGCAGTGCCCCGTTTAGTGATGCCATGTACTCTTAGTGCCAGGGGTTGAGCCTGGGCTCCTGCATGCAGAGCACATGCCCTTGCACGTTGAGCCATCTCCAGCCTCTCACATCTTAATATTAAGTCTCTAATCCATAAATATCTTCCCAAGTATTGGTGTATTCTCAGATGGCTTTCAGCCATGCTTTACAGTTTTCCACGTACAAAACTTTTGGTTAAACTTATTCCTAGTATTTCATATTCTCTGTTTTTTTGTGTGGGTTCACACCCAGTGGTGCTCCTAGCTTACTCCTGGCTGTGCTCAGGAATCACGTTTTCTGGGGTGTGGGGCACCATATGGGGTGCTGGGGATTGACTCTGTGTTGCCTGTGTGTCAGATGAGCCCCTGCCTGCTGTACTATTGTCCCGGCCCCTATTGCATTTTCTGATAAATGAAATAATTTGCTTAAGTTGCTTTTTTAGATTGTTGTATAGAATTACAACAGAGTGTGTATGTTGGTTTTAGAAGTTTCAGATATGCTGAATTGCTTTATTAGCTTTAACAGTCTTTTTGGGACATCTTTAGCACATCTGCATTTAAGATTATGTCATCTTCATTGATGGATTTACTTCTTTTTCAGTTTGGGTGCTTATTTTTCTTGATAATCACTCTGCTTAGGACTTGAAGTACCTTTTGAACAGATGTGCTGAATGCCAGAATAGCTGCCTTGTTCCTGATCCTAAGAGAAACACTGTAATTTTATTGAGTGCAATATGAACTGAGCATTGTTCATTCTTCTAAGGAGGTTTCCATCTATCGTTGGACTACTGAGAATCTTTATCATGAATGAATATTGTGGTATTGTGACTTAGCAACTAGAAATCTCTGTATTGTCGTCACTTTGGGCTCAGGTTTCTGGAACCCCTTAATTTCCTGAATGAAAGGAGTACCTGGAGCATCTCTGATGCTCAGGTTTGGTGTTTGACTTAGACACATGCTCTGGAAGTCCATGAGTTTCCTGGCAGATAGAAGCGTCATTTGTTTTCATCAGCCAAAGCCCGTGGGACTTCTGGGAGGGTCTGGTCCCCAGGAAGATCAGGGACTTGCAGCCTCACCCCTAGAGAAGAAGGCAAGGAGTGAAGGATGTGTTAGGCCTATATGAGGGAACTGCTCTCGACGCCCTCCTCCAAAGTACTGGGTTTGGAGACCCATGTACGCACTCACTTAAGTTCAGGAGGTATTGGTATAGTGTTTTAGGCTTCATCAGTGAATTGCCCCTTTTCCTCCTCCCAGAGAAGCCTACAGTGCTCTTGCGAGCATCCCTAATCCCCTGAGATTATCTTTACCTTTTCCTTTGTGTTTTACACCTCATTGTCACAGTTCCTCAAGTCAGTCTTGGTTACTTATAAGTCAAAACTTTCTGGTAATTCTGGGTTTTGTATTAGTAGTGAATTACTTGGTTTTCTATTTCCCTTATAGGCATTCCATGTTTTACCACTGAGCAACGTACTTTGCTTCAACACAGAAAGACCTTAATGCTATGCTCCTGATATTTGGGAGTTGATTGACACTAGTATATCTACTCCTGGGCATTGGTCATGATTACTTGACTCAGGCTTCAGTTGCTGTAGTTCCTAACACCCCAAAAGAGAGGTCCCGTCGTGGGACTGGGATGGACCCAGGGCGAGTGGCAGAGCTCCCCGGCATCGAAATGGGACATTCTAGAAAGCATAAATGCACGGTCTTGATGCAAGCTGTTATGGCTTAAGAGACAGAATCCCCCTGGGGAAGGACAGCTGAATTGGCCTGAGGACTTAGTCTGGGATTTACGGTAAAAAGCCTCACTCGCTCTCAGAGCCCTGAGAACTAAGTGTTGGGATCTTTATCTCTTACTGTGTTTATCCAGACAGACTGCAAGTATTGGTAAGAAGTAGAATTAATTGACTAAGTGTTTGTTTATATGTATGTATGTGTCATATATGTATGACTAGAGGAAGAAAGAAAAGCAGTATAGACACCCTTTGGAGACAGAACGTCTCCTTGAGTTTATCTCCCCCAGAGAACTTCCTCTGCTGGAATGTTTTACTTCTGTAAAGCACACAGACATGTGGTCCTATACCTCTGACCCCTTTGGATATGCTAGCAGCTCTGCATTAAACGGGCCATTTTCACCATTAGGCGGTGGTCTCTCTGTCTCTCTGCTGGGGAGGATGGGAGGTGGCTCTCGACCACTGAACACACGCATCACCGTGCAGCACCCACACATTATTTTCGGAACTCACAAGAAGGGAAATACTCTCATCTCCATGGGCACAGAACTTTCGAAATTATGGACCTGCCCCACCTCCTGTGATGTGTCTGATCTCTGTCCTTCGTCACACATCAGGAACTGGTAAAACAAGATGTTTCTGTGAGTTCTGTGAGTTGTTTCAGCAAATGCATAGAATCTGAGGAGAACCCCAATGTAGAGGTAGAGTCAAGCCAGAACTTGTTTTTTGTTTGTTTGTTTTAGCTACCCATGATGTATTCATTATGCCAAACACAGACAACAAGTCTCACAATGGAGACATTAGTGGGCCCGCTCGAACAAATTGATGAACAACGGGAGGACAGTGCAGTGTGCAGTTTTTGAAATATATCTGGTGATGCTCAGGGATTACTCCTGGCTCCGTACTCAGCGATCACTCCTGGTGGGCTTGGAGGACCATATGGAGACTGAAACTAGGTCCTTCGTGTGCAAGGCATGTGCCCTCCCCACTGTACTATTGCTCTGGATCCTCAGGCCAGAAACTGGGGGCAGCCTGGAGACACTGATGTGCTTTGGTATCTATTCCTTTCCCTCTAGGATCCATGCTGTCTGCGAATAGATAACTGGGTTGGAATGGAGTGAGATGGCCCCTCAGCGAGTGTCCTGGGGGAGTGTCTGCTTGGTGTAGATGCCCATCCCTATATTGTCTGAAATGGTAGAGATGAGTGTTGGGAGAAGCAGGATCAGGACAGTGTGGCTCTATTCAGGTGTGGAATTTGTTGAATGCTTCTGCACCAGCTGAGAACATGGTGTATTTTTCCACTTACTCTTCCTTTATTGATTTGTTTCCAAGGTAATCTTCACTTTTCAGATAAAACCTATTTGGTGATGAAATAATTTTAATATGCTGCCTTATTTGGTATTATAGTATTTTGTTGAGCACTTTCACACCTGTGTTCTTGGAAAACATTGGCTTTTGTAGAAGCTCTGTCATGGTTTAAGTAATGACTGGTTTCTTTTGTAGGTAGAAGCTGTCTCTGATAAATGGGAAGATGATAGTAAAAACCATGGCAAGGGACTGTCGGACTCCAAACCTCGCGTGTTGATTGGCTGTGTGACGTCATTGATGGAAGGTGCTGGCTACATCAGTCAGAGCACGTACTTCTCTCTGGAGAATGTTTGTGAAGGTATGCCAGATGAGTTCCTGCTGCACACTCAAAATTTTTTTGTTTCAGTATTTTTTTAACATTTTTATTGAATCACTGTAGCACAGCGGGTAGGGCGTTCGCCTTTCAAGCGGCCAACATGGCCGACCCGAGTTCGATTCCTCCGCCCCTCTCGGAGAGCCCGGCAAGCTACCGAGAGTATTCGATATGCCAGACACAGTAACAACAAAGTCTCCAATGGAGACGTTACTGGGCCCGCTCGAGCAAATCGACGATCAACGGGAGGGCCTATTGAATCACTGTGAGACCTTACAAAGCTGTCATGATTGGATTTCAGTCATATGGTATTCTAACACCCATCCCTCCACCAGTGTACATTTCCCCATTTCTCTCTCTCTTTCTCTCTCTCTCTCTCTGTCTCTATCTCCCTCTCTCCCTCTCCCTCTCCCTCCCCCCCCCCCCCAGCCTCTCGGGCATTGTGGTTTGCAATATTGATCTTGAAAGATTTTCAAGAATATCCCTTTACCTACTTTTAGCACTCAGTTCTTGTCTAGCGTGATCCTTCCTAGCTATTATTGTCATTCTGGTCTCTCTCTCTCTTACCTACCCTCTGCCCCAGATGCGCTTATGGTTAGAGCCAAGCATTGACCAGCCCTCCTAACCCGTTTTTCCTGGTCATGGATATTAATCTTCTACTATATATATGTACATATGTTATACATCACAAATGAATGCAGTCATTCTGTATCTGTCCCTCTCCTTCTGACTCACTCAGCATGATACTCTCCATGTCCATCCACTTATAGGCAAATTTCATGACTTCATTTCTCCTAAAAGCTGCATGGTATCCCACTGTGTAGATGTGCCATAGTTTCTTGATCCAGTTGTCTGTTCTTGGGCACTTGAGTTGTTTCCAGATTCTGATTACGGTGAACAGTGTTGCAGTGACTATAGGAGTGCAAATGGTGTTTCTTCTGTGTGTTTTTGGACCCCCAGGTATATTCCCAGAAGTGGTCTTGTGTGTCAAAATGGAGCTCAATTTCTAGTTTTTTGAGAAATGTCCATGTTGTCTGAAAAGGCTGAACCAGTTGGCATTCCCACCAACAATGAAGGAGAGTTCCCCCGCCTCTATTTTTTTTTAATAAGGATTAGATTTGACATGGCTACATGCAGCATTGAAAGGATCAGATTTTGTGAGAGTTTCAGGGAGAAGAAAGGTTTTTCCAGCATAAGTAGAGGCTCGGAGGATGCTTGGCCCCAGTCCGAGTAGGCTTGGAGATCTCGGCCCCGAAACCCGCGTGGCTTTGTCCCTCTGCCAGTACCTTCATGTGTGCGGAGAGTGGTCTCAGCATGGTGGTGGCTGGTCCTGGAGGTCTTCGGCTGCCGGAGCCCTGGTCGGGGCGGGGAGGAAAGCTCAACCCGCTCCCCTCCAACGGGCCCCGGCGAGGACAGCCAGGTGCGGGGGCAGGAGACTGCACTGTTCTCTTCCGGGAGCTGGTCTCCTGCCCCCGCGCCTGTCAACTGCTTGGAGACTTCCAAAAAGCTGCTCCACGTGTTATCACAGAAAGTGATGACTTGTAGCCAAAAAATCTAGGGAAGAGAAAGTAGAATGAGAAAAAAAGGACCAGCTGTTTTGAATGGATCAGGTAGAAGTCAATGGGCTTCATTGGACATTTTCAGTTTGGTTTAGCAACTGCTTCTGTATGCTCCATTCCGCGGTAATGGGTGAGACTGGGCAGATAAGATGAGAAGGGCCCACACTGTGTATAGCTCCCTGGCCTCTACATGGAGGCTTTGAGGCTGTGACGCCCTCAGGACCGGCTTCTAAACCCTGCAGCCTCCCTCTCAAGCGTCAGAATAAACTGAAGTTTCTGTTTACTTACGGGCCAGTCAGAATTTGCTGCTTCTCCGAGACACTGACTCTAGATACTGAGGTGCCTTGCCCTGGGTGCTCTTCTGTATTCAGCTGATAGACCTGACTCATGGAGGAAGTGTGTTTGCTCCCGGGGACTACAGGTGCTACAGTGGAGTGGGGATAGGGTTATGTGGTGCAGAGATGCAAGTCCCAGGACAAGGAGGGGGCTGTGCAGAGCAGTGGGGTCTTAGGAGCGGCAGGAAATGGGTGCCAGGGCTGATTCTGGGAAATAAGTGTGCACATTCTTACCATCAGGAGTGGGGCGCAGGCTGTTGTGAACGAGTATCCGGGGAATCCCCAACCGTTTTGACCAAGGCAGCTGGAATGAAGCTGGGCTGTTGTGAGTTCACAAAGTAAATCGCAGAGGCTGCTGCTGTGCGCGATGCACGTGTGTGTTTGGTGACCCAGAGCCGCCTCCCCACCTTCCCAGGGCTCCCAAAAAGAGAGACAGATGGGGAGATGGGGACTACAGCCTGAGGATGAAAATGGCTTGTTTAATGCAGAGCTGCTAACATACTTATAGAAAGAACATTTGATGGAGGCTTGGGTAAGGACCTGGGTGTGATTAATCATTTACACAGATAAACATTTGGCAGAGAAAATTCTCTTGGGGAGATCACCTCATGAAGACACTCTGTCTCCCAGGGACGTCTACATTGCTTTTCTCTTTCCCTCTAGTTGTATAAGTCATCAATACTTGCAGTTGTTCGGGTAAACGCAGTAAGAGGCAAAGATCCCAACACTTAGTTCTCAGGGCTGAGAGGAAGCAAGGCTTTTAACACTTGATTCTCTGGGCTCTGAGAGAAAGGCTTTGACTGAAAATCCCAGACTAAGTCCTCAGGCCACTTCAGCTTGTCCTTCCCCCATAAGACAGGGGGTCCTGTATTTTAAGTTGTAACAACTTGCATCAAGACCATGCATTTATGCTTTCTAGAATGTCCCATTTCGATGCCAGGTAGCTTTGCTACTCGCCCCAGGTCCATCCCAGTCCCACTGGGACCTCCGTTTTGGGGTGTTAGGAACTACAGCAACTGAAGCCTGAATCAAGTAATTAGGACCAAGTAATTACGCCAGGAGTAGATATACGTCAGAGTCGATCAACTCCCAAATATTAGGAGCATAGCAGTAATGGTTCTTCTGTGTTTAACAAAGAACATTGCTCTAAAGTAAAATATAAAAAGGCTGTAGGGGAAATAGAAAGGCAGGTACAGATATCCAGCACTTCCATGAAATTTACACACAAGTGGTACTACATGGAAAGTATCATGCTAAGCGAAATGAGTCAGAAAGAAAGGGATAGACATAGAAAGATTGCATTCATCTGGGGAACATAAAGTAACACAATAGGAGACTAACACCCAAGAATGGCTGAGATGAGTACCAGGAAGTTCACTCCATGGCTTGGAGGCCAGACACACATGCTAGGGGAAAAGGGAGCTCAGAGAGAGAAGGGAGCACCAAATAAAGGGTGTTGGGAGGTTCCTCTCAGGATGGGAAATGTGTGATGAGAGTAGACTATAGTCCGAACAAGATTGCCACTCGATGTCCCTTTTGCAAACCACAGCACTCAAAAGGAGAGAGAGAACAAAAGGGAATGCCCTGCCAGAGGCAGGGTGGGATGGGGGGATGGGGGGTGGGAGGGATACTGGGACCCGTGGTGGTGGGGAATGGGCACTGGTGGAGGGTGGGTACTCGATCATTGTATAGCTGAAACCCAAGCACAAAAATTTGTAAGTCTACGACTGTACCTCATGGTGTTTCACTAATAAAAATTAAAAGAACCAAATATCCAGGACTTCAAATACAAACCAATACAAATACAAAGTTCAGAATTACCAGAAAGTTTTGGCTTAAGAGCAATCAAGACTGACTTGGGGAACTGTGACAGTGAGAGATAAAACACAAGGGAAAGGTTAAAGATAAACTTTAACTAAGTTAGGGATGCTAGCAAGAGCATGTTAAGCTTCTCTGGGAGGAAGAAAGGGGGCAATTCACTGACAAGCCTAAAACACTTAGGGTTAATATCCAACACAAAGGAAAGGTTGAAGATAGACTTCAACCAAATTAGGGATGTTAGCAAGGACATGGTAAGCTTCTCTGGGAGGAGGAAAGGGGCAGTTCACCAGTGAAGCCTAAAACACGGAGAGTTGTTATCCAACAGGCTGTAGTGCAGAATTTCTTATGCGGAGGACACTAATGTTAGAGTTGGACACTGTGCTTTGGGGCTTCCTGGTGAGTTGAATGTTTCACTGCAGCCCTGACCTCAGTTCACTGGATGCCAGTAACCAGCAACCCCCAGATTGTGCTGCTGATATAGAGTTTTCACATACTGTGTGTGGTCCTGAGGGTAGGAACCACTGGAGAGTGGTGGGTCCTAAAGTCTTTCCCAGGGTCAGCCCTGCACAGCCCTAGGACACTTGCCTGTCCCTTACAGTCTGTGTAGCCTGGGCCACAGCGTGGGGAATTGTCGTTTAGATGCTTGTTTAGAGACTCTCTTGTAAGGGCGACAACATCTCATGGGCTCTGTCCTGTTCCAGGTTTCTTTAGTGGTCAGGGCTCAGCTCTGGAGCCCTTTAGGTCTTCAGACGGTGACCTAAAACCCTGGATATTCTTCACCAGGTCATCGTAAGGGCCCAGTACTCTCCCTCCCTTGACCAGTGGTCATGTGCTTTGGGACTAACCATAGGAGTCCCCACCCAGAGACTGTCTTGCCTGGCTTCTCCCTGACTCTGGCTGAGCTGAGACTGCAGGGATCTGAGTGCCGTGCAGTGTGTTCGGAGGGAATTGTCCACTGATCTCAGGCGCATCACCAAGTAACTGAAGGCTCCTTCCCTGTCTTGGAGGTTTCAAGCCCTGCAAAGGAGACTGGGTGGAGGCTGAATATTGGATCCGACCAGGCACCTGGAACAGCGAGGCTGTGTCTGTGAAGCCACTGAGGTACAAGCGTGTCGACAGGGTAGGTGCTACCTCACTCACACCCCCGTCCCTGTCCACCCTGGCCTCAGTGTTTGCTGTGCAAGGCTCTCCTGGTGTGGACAAGTCTGGACAAATCTATTTCTATTTCTGTCTTGGTTCAGAAAGGTTCTCTTTTTGGGCCAGATCATAGTACAGAGGACCTGGGTTCGACCACCGGCATTCATGGGATCCCCTGAATAAGACCAGGAGTAATTCCTGAGTGCAGAGCCCGGAGTTACCCTTGAGCATCACTGAATGTGACCCCAAAAGAAACAAAACCAAAAGGAAAAAAAATAAAAGAGAGCTTGTGCTCTTAGGGAGAAAGCTTTGTTTCCTGACGAAGCTTGGTCCAGCTCAGCATGCTGGGTGGCTGACGTGGATGTGATCCTGTTTTGCTTACTGGGAAGGAGTGGAGCTCCACGGAGCGGTCCGGGCACACCCGTGAAAGCTGCCAGAGTGGGGCACGGGGGGAGGGAATCAGGTCTGCACAGGATGAAGATGGAGGGTGAGATTGGCTGAGAGGCCACTGGGATGTGGCCTGTTGGCTCGTTTCCACCAGAGCAGCCATCCCCTCTGCCCTAGGCTCTCTGGTCTGTGGGGAGTTCTCCCTGGGGCCCTAGTGCAGGTGGACTGATGCGGGGTGCACATCTCCTGCGTGCTTCTCCATGCTGTCATCACTGTTGGTAGGTCTCCATTTCTAGCCTCTGCGGCAGAAATGGGGTGCTGGATGACAGTATCTTCTTCACCTTGGACTCCCTGAAGCTTCCTGAAGGCTATGTGCCACGTCGAGCAGACGTGGTGAGTGCCGTGGTGGTGGAGAGCAGCCAGTCCTGCTACATGTGGAGGGCGCTGTGCATGACCCCGCTGGAGAGGCGGTAAGGACATGCTTTTGGGAGGGGGCGGCCTCTGGATCTTCATTTCACAGTCACCTCAGGGAGCCCAAATAAGGGACTATGAGCTGAGCTGGCTGGCAAAAAAGTAGGAGAGTGACTTGGAGGTCTCTGCTGTCTTCATGGTTGACTGAAGCTTTCAAGGGTCCTTCAGCTTACTCATACCTTCCTTTGTTGCTATTGTTGAAATGACTGGGCTTCACAGCTGTTGTTGTGCTGGCACACTTAGCTACAGTGCTCACCATGGGTCCTGTTCCTTTGTGGTGCTCAGTGCTTGCTCCCTGGGAGTTGCATACCTGCTCTGGTGCTTGCAGGGTGAAGCCCAGGGCCGCTTCCACACAAGACAAGTTCTTTACTGCCGAGCCTTAGCCTGACCCCTCGCGTATCTCTTAGTTTCTGTGCTCAGCAGAGTCGGCACTAGAGTTATGTGCTCTGTGGACTGCCCGTTCTGATGTAGCACCAGTGGCCCCAGACAGAAGAGCAGCCCCCATGGAGCTCGGCACATGGGTGCAATGGGGATCCTGTTCCCAGCACTACCCTTTTGCCAAGAGGCCATTCTTGGGAGATATCTGGTGATTTTTGGCTTACTCTTTCAGTTTTGACTCTGTGTGTATGTGTGTGTGGGGGGGGTACCCGTGATTCTGGCTTTTTTTATTTTAGAAATCATTGAACACGACCCTTAAAATTATAGGAACATTGCTGCCCCCCTGTTATTTCAGTGCTGTGGTGACTTTCCCCAGAGAGGACCTCCTCAGGTTTCACTTGTTGCTGCTAGAAGTGTTTGGATATTTTGGAAGGCTGAAGGGTGCACTGGTGGTGATGTGTAGGTGCCATTAGGGAGAATCATGGAAGAGCCACAGTGGTGAGCTGTGGCCTAACTAGAGTTGTGCTGGTGGCCAGGTGGGCTCCATCCTGTCTAGCGGATACGGTCATCCTTGGGCCACTTGGGTGTGTGGGAGCACAGGGGCTCATTTGTGCATGTTGAAGGGAGGAGTCACCAGGCCCCTGTCCTCTTTCCTCTGGAGTAGACCCAGAGGAAAGAGGACAGGTATCTAGGAGTGCTGGTTTCTCGGGAGCAGAGGAAGTGGTATAGGTCAGAAGACCAGAGGAGACACGTTTGCTGTACACTAATGGCCCTGACTGACGCGTTCTTGGTTTCCTGCCAGTTCTGAGACCGGTTCGGAAGTCTCTGCCCACATGCTGTAGGGCATGCACATTCGGTTTGGCCTGGGGAGGCAGGACCTTGGTCCCCTAGGCCCTGGAGTCAGGGCCCCTGCAGAGCAGAGCAGCAGCCTTGTTAGTAAAGGCACGCTGCCCTTGGGGGCTGACCATAAAGGGCGGGGCCTGAGGGGGTGGGGGTAGAAACATGAGGAAGCTCCTTTCCAGGTCCAGGAGAGGGGGGAGGGAACAGAGACCAGGGTGGCCTTTGGGTGAAGGGGGAAGTGAACGTGTCACTTGTGAAGTGAAGGGGAGGATAGAAGCTTAATTTCTAGATTTCTCGTTTCCTGATTAAAACATCTCATATAATTGCTTTCAAGTACTTTGAAGTAACAGGTCTTATTTTCCAAAGATTACTGCCTTGGGTCTTGAGTAAGCCAAGAGCTCCCTGCAGTCTGGGGGTGCCCCAGTAATGTCTCCTTCATCCTAGCCCTGCGGACTCCCAGGAGATACAAGGACTCTGCTTTCCGGGTGCTCTGCAGGGCCTGCAGGCTTGGGGCCAAGGGGATGCTCTCCTCTTGGGATGCCAGCTTTCGCTTTTTTTTGGGGGGGAGGGGGCGTAACGGTGCTCAGGGCTTCTGGCTCTGCATTTTGGGATTACTGCTGGCAGGCTCAGGAGACCATATGTGGTTACCAGGGATTGAAGCTGGTTCAGTTGGTGGGAGGCAAGTGCCCTGCCTGCTGTGCTGTAGCTCTGGCCTCCGGCTTTCAGTCTTGTGGAAGTGTCCTGTGATGCTGAACTTGTGTGCTTTCTTCAGAGAACCCTCTTCTGTGAGCGAGGCTGCTGAGGAGATCTGTGGAGCTCTTTTATTGAAAAACAAAGGTGACATCGAAGTCACAAGGACAACAAATTTTGGAACACTTAACGAAGGTGGCAGTAAGAATATGGTGATCTGGATAGAGTAAGTTTCACTGAGATAAACCTACATGGATTCATGGATTTATACTGAAGAATTCCTGTACAATCACACACAAATCACAAATCATCCTGTTAATCGTCGATTGCCTCGAGCAGGCCCCAGTAACGTCTCCTTCATCCTAGCCCTGAGATTATATTCAAGGCTCTTTAGGAGAATGAGACCCATCATTGTTACTGGTATTTGGCATATTGGGGACGCCACGGGGAGTTTGCCAGACTCCTGTACAATCAACTTTAAAAATACTTCTTTACTTTCATCTGCCTTCCTTTTCTTCATTGTTGTGATGCCCGGGGCTCACATCACAGCCTGGCTCTCACGTTTGAGGATCCTGGCTCTGAGCTCAGGGATCACTCCTGGTGGGCTTGGGTGCCATATGAGGTGCTGGGATCAAACCCACATTGTCTGCATGCAAGGCAGTCTTCCCACTGTACGATGTCTCTGGGCCCGTAGGAAAATCTTGAGATTTTTTGCCTCAATATCCTTTCTACTATTTGTGGTTGTAAAGGGGGTTGCCATCCCCATTCACCAGTTAGATTAAAGTCTCCATGTATGGTGACTGGATTATTAATGTTTTGTAGTTTTGACTTGGGAGATTTTGTTCATAGCTAATTTTCTTTTTCCAGAAATAAAGGAGCAGTTCCTCAGAACTTAATCAGCTGCAAACTGGCTGGCTGGGATAAAGCTAAACAGTTCAGACTCCAAATGCTGGATGAAGATCAGATCTCTGCAATGGTTTCTCTCGCCTCTGTCCCTGAGAAGATGCCTTTTCCAGATGGAACGGTCAACTCACTACATCGGGATCAAAAAAGCCAAACCTGCCGATTGGAGAGCGGCTCAGTGAGCAGCAGAGAGGCCTCTCCGGGTATGCAGGGGGCATGTAGACTGGATGTTGGGTCTTGCACATGACCAGTTGGACAGGGTGACCTGAAGCTGCTGCTCGAGGGGTCCTGGGCTTGGGGGGGGGGGTCAGAACATTTCAGCTGCCGCAGCACTTTATGCTGAGAGCGCTCTGGTTCTAGACCCTTCTTTGAGATTTTGGGGCTGGTGGGAATGACTAAACTAGTATGACGTGTGACCAGATATGTTTCGAGGTAGCCATGTCCTGCGAAAACTTCTCACTCCGCCTGAATTTCCCAGGTGCGGTTGTGTCCTTCAGTCTTCCTTTCCTGTTTCTGATGTTTCTGATAGCCTCTTTTATTTGTTGGCACACGGGCACTTTTCAAAGATCCCGTTAATGTGTGTGTGTGTGTCTGTGTGTGTGTGTGTCTATGTGTGAGAGGGAGGGAGGAATGGGAGGGGGTGAGGAGAGGAGAAAGGAGAAGAGAGAGAACGGACAAGAGCACATCACCTGTGGACTTACTGTGCACTTGAATTTACACCAGATGACTGTCCACGTCAAGGAGAGAGTGGAGGAGAAGGAGGGGAGAGCACAGCAGAGCAACAGCAGGTGACAGAGACGGAGCCCCTGGGTCTCATCCCTCCAAGTGGAAAAACCTTGGTTGTAGTTATATGTGAGGCAAAGTACGTGGCTGGAAGGTTTGGAGTGAGTTTACTTCTGGGCCATTTTCTATACTTTTCAGTTCCTTGTGGGGCATTTGTGGGTTGAATGTCATAGGAAAGACTGGTAATTATTTTAGAAGGACAGAAGTTTAGGGCAATACATGTGATAGTTTGGCTTGAGGAAACTGGCCTCAAGAGGTGACTTCCCTTCACCCAATTTCTTGACTTAGAGCATCTGTGGGCAGAGGTTCCTCTGGGCCTCATGGGAAGGGGGTGGACCCTCTCACACCTGCTCTCCTTCCCTCTCTCCCATGTGCCTATTGTGGCCCACCTAGCAGTGCAGGGACCCCTGACCTCTTACCTCTCTGCAGTCCCTTGGCTGTCTGAGTCTGTATCTTGGTATGTCATGGTAACAGTGGCTGACCATAGGGCAGAGTCCCTCAGCTGGAGTTGGGGACAGAGAAGTCCTTTTACATGCAGAAGTCAGGCAGAGGTAGGTAGGAGGTGGTGAGCACACTTGTATTTGTCTTGGAAGTGGTCACTCTGCTTCTTTTAGGAAGCCTGGACCCTTGTCCTGCATAGAGAAGCACCGCAAGGTGTGGAAGGCTGGTGATGCTCAGTCCCTTGCATGTTCAAAGGGAAACTGGGTTGAACTGCCAGTAGGACTGGTACCTGAAACCAGGCTGTGTTGCTTTTTCAAGGAATTCCGGCCGCTGCAAGGAGCTGCTCCTGCTCTGCTTCTCCAATTTCATCATTGGACGCTTCCTTGAAGTGAATGTTGTCAGCAGGGAGGAGGCACTGATTGCTGTCCGAGAACCATTTTCCTGGAAGAAGTCCAAAAGTCCCCAAACTGTCCCAGCCACAAAAACCACAGTCGTGGTGACCACACAGAAAAGGTACCACAGGTGGGAGGGAGCCTCACTGTGTCCCTGGAGCTGAGGAAAAAAGGTCTGTGGGCAGGGACCCAGGGCCCATGGCCTCTGGGAACCAGACTCCTGTTGGATGGCCACCAAGAGCTGTAGAAAGCATGTGGTTTCTGGCACAGAGCAGTCAGCAGTGGCTGATAAAGTGTTAAGAGCAGGGTTGTCAGGTGAAAGGACGTGCCGTTTGCTGGACTCCGGACTATGGCGCAAGAGGGGGCAGGATTCTAGAGGAGAGGCTGCTTCTCTGGGGCTTTCTGAAGCCCTTGGTTCTTGTTAGGAGTCACGGAGTGTACCCTCTGTCTTTCCTTGAGGAGCAGCCTTGAGAGACAAGCAGCCACAGTTGAAGTTGGTCGGCCCTTAGGGGGCTTATGTGAGACAATGAGAGAGAGAGAGAGAGAGAGAGAGAGAGATGGTAACTTTCTCCTGACTTACCTCTGCCACCCCAGGACTGACTGGGAAGACTAGGAGTAATGAATTCTGCAGTGAGGACCCTGCATGGCACGGGCCAGAGCCCCTGCCAGCCCCACCAGGTGGCCTTCAAGTCACACCTGGTGTCTGCTTGGTCTTCTAGGTATAAGAGTTGATCCCCACCACCGATTTCTCATGAGGATTTTCTCTTTGCGGGAAAGAAAAGTCAGACCTATCCTTACCCAGGGTTTCAGGATTCTTGTCTTGCCTCATGGTAAAGAATTTCAGGAATAGAAGAGCAGTGAAGTAAAAGCAGATTTTATTTAAGAGGCCTTTAGAGGCAAGGAGGGAGACAAAGTGAGAGAAGCGAACTCAGGAGAGAATAGAAAACACAAGCTTCTCCGAAGGCAGAGCCTCTACACACAGCCCAGCTTTAGCTACGAGAACATGAAAGTACCCCTCTTAAGAGGGGAGATGCAAGCGCCACACGTGCTCAGCCACGTGGGCACAAGCAGCATTTGGGCTCCGGCGACATACGCATGCCTTCTTTTGTTCACGGGGACTTTTATAGGGTTTTCTGAATCTGCCCCCCATGGGACTTCTGCCTAGGTGAAAATGTGTTGCTAGGATGGTTGCCGAGGGGGTTGAGTTGGGAGTGGTCTTTGAAATTCCTTGAACTTTCTTTCTTGGCCTTTGTTCCTGCTAGAACTTCCTTTGGAGGGGATCCAGCCTTCTCTGGGTCTGTTGTTGGCACCGGAGGGTCTTAAAATCAGGCCTTAGTTCCTCTGTTTGCAACCTTGGCCCTATTTGTTTTATTGGTACCTAGGACTGCGATTGCCCCGGGGGCCTGTCCCTGTCTAACTGCCTACATCACAGTCTCCAGTTACTTCCCTTGAAAGAACACATCATTGCCACCTAGGACTGGTTTTAGAACAAGACTTGCTCCTTTCCTGTCGGTCAGGTTAATGACCCTCAAAGGACCCTCAAAGGCTTTGGCTTGTTTGCCGGAGGCCCTGCCCGCACCACTGGACACAGTGCAGCTAGGCATCCACCCCTCGTCAGGGACAAGAGCCTGTGTGTGCATGCTCTTTCCAAGGTGTGTGGAGTGGGGGTACTTCTCATGTTGTCTTCTTTGAGGACCACATCGTTTGGCATTCCTGGGCTAAGCGCTTAAGGGTGCTACCAGGGGTGCTTGGGGGACCATGTGGTACTTGGGATCAAACCCAGGTGTCCCACATGAAGAGCAGGTGCCCAGCCCTTTGAGCCATGTTCCCAGACATATGGTTGGGGGACTGTAAAAGCTGTATGTGCTAAAGGTATGTGCTGTGGGGATGTGTCCACTCTGTTAAGACGGTCACTAGCACTGTCCACACCCTCTCCCCTTTGTGCTCTGATCACACCCCTGCGCAGGAGACAGTGCTCCTAGAGTTGGGGAAGCTGATGTCCTGGTGTTGCCCAAGGTAGCGGTGGGACTGCCAGAGTAGGGGTATTTGTGGCAGAGCTGCTGTCCCCTCTCCCCACCCAGTCAGAGGCCAGCCCACATGTGGAAGGTGGGGGGCTCCAGGCTGGGACCCCCAGTCCAGGTGCTGCTTTTCAGCTAGCACCTGCTCCTCTGCTCGTTGCCATTGCCATTGTAGAGTGTATTGCTGGTGGCAGAATTCTCATGATGCCCAGTCACCGAACCTGAATTTCCTGGGAAGTGGTAGCCTGAAAACAGATGTCACAGAAGTCTCTTAGCAGGTAGACTTGCAGTTCTCCCACAGGGTGCCATCTCACCCTAGTATTTCGTGTGCTGTCTGCTCCGGCAGAGGGGTTCTGCACACTGGATGCAGAGAAGGATCCAGTGAGTGTTTATCTGGAGAAGGAATCCCAGGGCAAAGACTGCCCTTGGCATGCTGGTGATGCTGAGGTGAGGGCACTTTGCATGGAGACACACATGTCAACGTGATGAAGAGCACACTGACCACAACAAGATCTTTAAAATTTACCCTTGGCACAGCACCAGCCAGGCCAGAAGCTCAGGTGCTATTTTTATGTGGGTGGTTGAGGAGCACTGGCTGGTGCTCAGAGATTACTCCTGGCTCTGTGCTTAGGGATCATTCTTGGTGGCGCTCAGGGGGCCATCTTGAGTGCCAATGATTGAACCTAGTTTAGCCATGTGCAAGGTAAGCACTCTACCCAGTACTCTATTGCTCCAGCCCACTCCAGTGGTCTAAGGTAAGTATCTCTGACCTTTCTTGTGGGAAAGGTGTCAAATAAACCTTTCTGGCACAGAATTCTGCAGATGGTTGAACCCTATCTAACATGTCTGTTTCACGTTTCAGGAACTCAAGACGGCAGCTTCCAAGTTTTCTTCCGCAGTATCCGATACCTGATAGACTTAAAAAATGTGTGGAGCAGAAGATTGATATTCTGACCTTCCAGCCCTTACTGGCAGAGGTGAGACCGCTGGGAGCTGGGAACATAGGAAGACACTGTTGGTAGAGCCCCCACAGTGAACATGCACGTCCTCTCCTGTGCTGTAGCTTAGTGAGAGTCTTCCCTCCATAACGGGAACCCAGGTGTGACTTCGCCTGCCAAGTGACAGGAGTGGGAACAGCATGGCCCCTGTCTAGGTGTAGTGTGTCAGTCATTGCTTCTGACACGGCTCTGTGCCGGCCTCTGTGGGGAATTCTAGCTTGATCTTCCCCTTGCCTACAGATGCTAAGAGAGAAGACCAGCTCCTTTTCACAGAATAGATGGTTCCATGTAGCCAGTACATCTGGAAGAGACATCCATGTGTGTAGACACAGTGCACACAGGTGTCTGCCGGGCTCTGGAGGGGGAGGGAGCAGGAAAGAAAGCTTCCTGGGTTGGGGTGATCCTGGCGAGGGTGTGCAGAGATGTGTTTGTGCCTAGGCCACTCTGAAGTGACTGACCTTGGGTGGACGTGAGCTTCTGCTTCTCCTGCCTCTGAGAAGATGATGTGATTCTGTCTTTCAGATGGTTGAGGTAGAGAATCAGATTGATGTTCACATGTTGAACCACCTTTGGTGCTGGGGGTGGAATCCAGGTTCAGGTCCGGTGGGTCAGCCCCAGGCAAGGGCAACCCTCTTCTTGCTGTACTATCTCTACTGCCTCTCCAGCTCGGGAGTGATTTCTTAAAAGTGTTTCTGTTGGTTGGTTGGTTGGTTGGTTGGGCTGGAGCGATAGCACAGTTGGTAGGGTGTTTGCCTTGCACGTGGCCGACCCGGGTTCGATTCCTCCGCCTTTCTTGGAGAGCCCAGCAAGCTACCGAGAGTATCTTGCGTGCACAGCAGAGCCTGGCATATTTGATAATGCCAAAAACAGTAACAAGAAGTTTCACAATGGAGACGTTACTGGTGCCCGCTGGAGCAAATCGATGAACAACAGGAAGACAGTGCTACAGTGTTTGTTTGGGTATTTTTTTTTTTGCAAGTGCCCTGCCCACTGTAACCTCTCTCCAGCCCCTTTTTCTTAAAGTTTTGAGGAGATTTATCAGTGAGTTACTCTTGGGGTTTTCTTGAGAAGGGTTTTTCTTTCTTTTTTTTTCTTTCTTGTTTTGGACCACACCAAGAGATGCTCAGGTGTTACTTCTAGTTCTGCACCCAGGAATCACTCCTGGAGGTGCTTAGGGGGTGGTACAGAATGCCACGGATTGAACTCAGGTCTGCCCTGTGCAAGGCAGATGCCTTCGCTGCATACTATGGCCCCAGCCTCTCGGGAGGTTTTTTAAGTATAATTAATGCTGGAAGAGTCACCAGCACTTTGGCACATATCTTGAGTGAACTTTGATTTTATTTTGAAGAGTTTGGTCATGCTTCAAAATTGTGTCATTCATTTGCAAAAAGTTGATTATAATGTATGTTTGGTGACGATTCCCCTATGGGGTTAATTAATAAATTATTTTCAAGGAACTGCACGCTGCTACTCATGGGCCCAGGGCTCCCCCGGCAGGCTGAGCTTAGTGCTGAGGAGCAGCGAGTCTTGTGCGCAGTGGTGCTCAGGGGTCATGAAGTACCGGGAATCAAACTCAAGGCCTCACACATGCAAGGCATGCCTCTAACCCTTGAAATATTTTCAGGTCCCTATGAAAGTTTTTATTCTCAAAGAACAGGTGTAAAATCTTATCTCGCCGAAGTTCAGTGTCCTTAGATGGGTGTGACCTGACAAACCGAGGCTACCTGAGGAAGGACAAAAGAGTGTTATCCTACAAATAGGGATTTTTTTTCTCCACCACTCTGTTTTATTGGATATCCGTTCTGACCTTTAATTTTTTTAGCTTAATTTCATTGTAGGTGCCATGGTTTACAGTACTGTTGATGGTAGGGTTTCCTCATAGGCAGTCCATCACTCCCCCCCCGCCCCCCGCCCCCCCCCCCCCCGAGTGTCTGAGTCCCTCCACAGTGTCCTGGTGTTACACTGGGCAGTCTGAGTGCTGTTTCCTCACGTTCGCCAGCTATTTCCTTGTGTGGAGCATGCTGCTTCCTCTCAGGCTCTCAGCCTTTTGGTGGTAACAGCAATGCCAAGGCTGGAATGTCAGGCACGTTGAGCTGGACTGCTGAGCTTCCTACAGATGTTTCCCCCTAAGCCCAAAGTAGGGCGTGGTTGGCCCTTGGGGTTCTTACAGAATGCCCGTTCACGGTCACCATCTAGGCCTTTGGAGAAAAGAGGTTTATTCCTGTTTTCTATCATTATCGGTATTATACTGGTGTTGAGGGGGTGGGAATCTAGGGTTTCATGGGCTCTTTATTGCTTCATCTAAATCTGTAGAGTGGAAAGGGAGAGAAGGGGAAAAAACCCCAAATGGTCAGTGACTAACTCCCAGTTTCTTAATCTTTCTCTGTTGCCCAGCGTTCTGTTGTTTCCATCTTTCCATCCTACCACTGTAGCCACCTAGTCCTGGGCCATGAGCCACGAGGTACGCAGTTCTCACCAGTGGCCTCCATGGGATACTTGGGGTGGATCAACAGGGGGCAAGATAACACCCAGTTGAGAAGTGCTGATCTAAGTCAACCTGGATTGGGGCTGAGAAAATGAATAGGACACTCACTTGCCTTGCATGTATGTGGCTGACTGCCTTCGGTTCCTGACACCCCATATGGCCCTCCAAGCCCTGCCAAGAGTGATTTGAGTGCAGAGCCAGGAGTCTGCCCTGAGCACCGCCTGGTGTGGCCCCAGAACAAATTGAAAAATCCACCAGTATCTATCGAACTCAGGAGCCCAGAGGAGGACCTGGCCTGGCTCCTGTCCATGTGGTCACGTTTCCTGAAGTATCTCTTTGAGGTGGATACCTTGGTGTTGAGACTTGAGGCTGACATTGGTTTCCCAGAGAAGCCAGCTGTCAGCGTTGGCGAAGCACTGACTTTTCTGTCGTCATCCTGTTATAGGCTCAGTCTTTCTGGACGTCCTGATTATCTATCACAACACTGTGTCCTCTGCTGCCCACTCAGCCACACGTGTCCTTTCTGTGGCTGGCTCTGGAGATAAGGTTCTCATTGTAAATGGTGGTTTCTTCATCTTTCCTGGCCAAGAGTCTTTGGCTGATTGCCAGGATTCTTGCTTTTTACCTTGGGTGTTGAATAGTTTCCTGTTCCTAAATGTGAGATCAAGGTGTGGGGGTGTCTGGTGACTGAGAATCATCCCCCTGTCTGACTGACAGAGACAGATGAATGAAGGAAAGAAGGAATTGTGCCACAGGCTGGTTGGTAAATCAGTGATCGTTTATTCATGTCTCCTAGCATTAGTTATATAGAACTCCTGAGGGATTTGGGTACACATGGGTGTGATTGAACATTATAGCAATGAACCGGTATAAAGCCCTTCAGTTGGGAAGTTCTTCTTCTAGATTAACTCAAGGATGAGATCTCTTTTGGGGGTTCAGCACTCTAGATTACTAGGAGATCAGCTCAAGGTCGGGATCCTCATCTGAGGCATATTGCTTTCTCCTTCCTTAGCTAGTAATCCATTTAAACAATCATACCAAATACCATTCGCGGCTGCGCGACATCTTATTATGACATCTCATTCCTACTATGACAAACTGGCAGGCTACCGGATGTAGCTTGCCCACACGGCAGAGTCTGGCAAACTCCCCGTGGCGTACCCAATATGCCAAATACCATTAACAATGATGGGTCTCGTTCTCCTAAAGAGCCTTGAATATAACCTCAGGGCCAGGATGAAGGAGAAGTTACTGGGGCCTGCTCGAGGCAATCGACGAATAACAGGATGATTTGCGATTTGATTGTGACCAAATACTAACATTTCTAGTCACTTTGTATGAACACAGTAAGAGATATATTCAGTTTAAAGTGTGGCTCTTTCTGGGGACATCTCACTATATATCCCAAACTACAGTCCTCAGCCAAGTTAGCCTTTCCTAACTGCAGCAGGGTCCTTATTCAGTTACTTCTTTTTGGGTCCTAACAAGTTTGTTCCATGATTGTGCTCTTAACTTTACTTTTTATGGCACGAAGCCTGTACCTTTTGAATGCCAGGGTAGCTTACAGCTTGCCCTGGGTCCATCCAAGTCCCTTGCCAGGATCCTTCTTTTGGGAGGTTATGAAGTAAGGGCAGCTGAGGCTTAAGTCAAGTAAATATGGTGGATGCCCAGGAGTAAATATTATTCTGAGTCAATTAACTTCCATGTTACAAAAGCATCGCATCAACTGTCTTCCTATGTCTATACAAAAAGGGCATTGCTAAACCATCACTGTATCACTGTCATCCTATTGTTCATCGATTGCCTCGAGCAGGCCCCAGTAACATCTCCTTCGTCCTAGCCCTGAGATCTTAGAAAGTGCCACATTCGAGGCTCTTTCAGGGTCAGAGAATGAAACCAATTATTGTTACTGGTTTTTGACATGTTAAATTCGCCACAGGGAGTTTGCCAGTCTCTGCCGTGTGGGCAGGAAACTTTTGGTAGCCTGCCATGTTCTCCAGAGAGAGAACTAGATAATAAGATGTGGCGTGGCTGCAAATGCGGCCGCACGCTTCCGGGAGCAGGGTTTTATAGTCTCTGGGTCTTGGGCGTTGATGGGATTATACGGCGCCAGGGGTAGTTGGTGTGTGTAACACCTACATACTGGAAGATGGGGCATCTGGGTGCAGGAGGCCCCAGTCCCAATCCGAGCAGGCTTGGAGATCTACGCCCCGGGTCCCGCACAACTGGGTTCCTCTGCCGATTCCTTCACGTGTGAGCCTCGTCCGAACGTGTGGAGAATGGTCTTAAGCTTGGCTGTGGCTGGAACCGGAAGTCTTCAGCTGCCGGGACTCTGCTCGGGGTGGGGAGGGAAACTCAACCCACCCTCCTCCAAGGGGCCCCGGTGAGGACAGCCAGGTGTGGAGGCAGGAGACTCTGCACTGTTCTCTTCCGGGAGTAGGGTTTTATACTCCACACGTTCGGACGAGCCTCACGCATGAAGAAATCAGCAGAGGAGCCCAGGTGCTAAACCATGCAAAGAACACAAAGGAAAGAGAAAAGCAATATAGGGTTAGGAGTGCCTGATGGGATTGGGCATGCTTCAGGAGCACTGTGCTAGAAGTAATTCAGTAAACCTAAGCTCCCTGCTGGAGGAGTAAGGACAAACCAATGTCACTCAACTAAAAAATTCATTGTACTTTGGTCAGGCTAAGTACTCAAATAATTAAGTCACTTGGAAATATCTACTGTTTGGGGAGTGGGGTGTATCTCGCAGTTGTGCTCAAGGAGTTTGGGGGCCATTCCTGGCTGTATTTGACCCACCTGGCTAGCGGTTCTTCAGTGTTTGGGCCAACTGCAAGGATTGAACTGGGGGCTTCACACATGCTGGGAGTCTATCGCCTCTCTCTCCTGGCCCCAACGGCATTTTTTTCCCTTTTGGGACAATACCCAGCAATGCACAAGGCTTACTCCTGACAGGCTTGGAGGGCCATATGGGGTACCAGGGACTGAGCCCGTGTAGATATTGGGCAAGGAAGTTTTCTCCCCCCGTACTCTCTTCAGCTCCCAAAACAGTATTTTTAAGACTGGATTTTAGGCTTTGTTAGGTGGTACCAGAGTTGTTGTATTTTAAGACCAAACTGCTTCTGAACTCCCCTTTTCACCTGGGTAGGTGCTCAGGAACTGGCTTCTCTTAGCCAGCAGGCCTCATTAGGTGACACTTCTCCCTAGGAGGTTTTGTTAGTTTTTATCACTGTAGTGTGTATGCTGCTTGGGACGTCCAAGCACCCTGCTGGGACGTCCCTACCTCTCTGCATGTGGTTGTTCTGCCATCAGAAGTGCCATGGTCAGGGGCATACTTGATTCCTCTCTGACCACTGTTCAGTGAGGGCTCAGGAAACCCTCTGAAACTCCTCAGCCCCCTGGGTGTGCCCCTCAGTGCGGAGGGCACAGCCTAGAGACCCAGACCAGGTTGAAAGTGGGTGCTCATAGGGCATGCGTAAGCTGCTCCCCATTCTCATAGCCTGCCCTGTCCACTGGCGGTCAGTATTTGGAACTTACTCTTTTGCTATTTCTAGCCTCTGAAACGCTCGGTGAGCCTGGGGTGTGTGCCATGCCATCTGCTCTCGGTGACTTGCTTATTCTTCACAGCTTTTGAACATGACCAACTATAAAGAGAAGTTTTCGACTTTGCTCTGGCTTGAAGAAATTCATGCAGAAATCGAACTGAAGGAGTATAACATGAACGGGATCATCTTGAAGAAAAACGGGGGGTTGTTGGTTCTGGAGGTCCCGGGATTGGCTGAAAGTAGACCCTCTCTGTATGCAGGTGGGTTTGTGCTTGGCACATGACTAGCAGCATGGAACCTTGATCTAAGGAAGGTGTCTGTGGCAGCACTGCTCCAGCAGCACCCGGTTCTCTTTCCTTGGGTTAGGTGGGCCCCTGTGAGTGAGTACTTGAGTCTACCATTCAGTTGCACTAGCATTTTAAAGCAGTTGATCTTGGCAGTTTTTGTCCAAGTCGACCTCCTTAAAGTGATGTTGTTGGGGGCTGGAGAGAGAGGATGACCAGTAAGGCGCTTGCCTTGCATATGGCTGACCCAGGCTCAATCCTTGGCACCCACATGATGTGGGTGGACCCCCCAGCATTTCTGGAAGTGATCCCTGAGCACCACCGGGTGTGACCTCAGAACCAAATAAAAGAGACTGGCTCAGTTGTAGGCAGCAGGACTCTGGGGTCCCGTCTCACATGTGGTGGTGATGTATTCCCCATCCAGGTGACAAGCTGATCCTGAAAACTCAAGAGTACAACGGACACGTCATTGAGTACATTGGCTACGTGATTGAGGTAAGAGGTCATTTGAACTATTGACCTGTTGCTTCTGCCGCAGAAGGAATGGGGGGAGGGTTACTCCCTTGATTCAGACAGGTGGTATCAGGATATTTAAGAATGAAGGGAACCTTTACTTCTGATGTGTGTAAAGTTCAATAATCCTTGGAACTTTTTTTTTATTATTAGTGAAACACCATGAGGTACAGTTGTAGACGTACAAACTTTCATGCTTGGGTTTCAGTTATACAATGATTAAGTACCCATCCCTCCACCAGTGCCCATTCTCCACCACCAGTGATCCTAGTAGCCCTCCCATCCCCACACCCCATCCCTCACCTACCCCGCCTCTGTGGCAGGGCATTCTCTTTAGCTCACTATTTCCCTTAGGGTGTTGTAGTTTGCAGTAGAGGTTTTGAGTGGCCATTGTGTTCTGTCTAGAGTCTACTTTCAGCACGCATGGTGCATCCCGAGCGAGTCCTCTGAATATCCTTTAATTGGTGTTCCCTTCTCTGTCTGAGCTGCCTTTTCCCCCAGCATGTGAGGCTGGCTTCCAAGCCCTGGAGCAGACCTCCTGGTACTTACCTCAATTATTCTTGGGTGTTTGACTCCCATTCTGTTACTTTATATTCCCCAGATGAGTGCAGTCTTTCTATGTCTGTCCCTCTCTTCCTGACTCATTTCACTTAGCTTGATACTTTCCATGTAGAACCACTTGTATGTAAATTTCATGACTTCGTCTGAATTTACTTTCTAAACTCTAAACCTGAAAGAGCTCGTCACAAGTCTGTTAGACTGGACAGTGGAGGGGCGAGGAAGGGAAGAGCTCTGTGTTCTGGAGGGAGCATCCTTAAAACTGTTACCTCACCAAATTTAATTCTGTTTTCAAACTAATCTCCTAATTGTCATATAAAATAGACTTTTTCAGTTCTTAGAAGTTTTGTTTTCACTTAGTTACTTCTGGGTATCCTGAGGAGTCTCAGAGGAGAAACACAGTAGGGGTCCAGCTTGAGGGTTTGTGCAGGAGTCTGGTAGGCTGCACTGCTTTTCAGAGTGCTGGAGTCTGCCTCGGGCTCTGCTTCTGGCCTCCTGCCTGTGTGCCTGATGCAGATGGAGAGAGAGCTCTGAGGGCTCACTGGCCAGAGCAGAGGCTGAGGGGGGGCGGGTCTGGGTCTGTACCCCTTCTGCCGCTCAACTTGGGACGGGACCTTTTCCTAGGAGAAGCACTTGGCCAGTGTCAGAGTGCTCGAAGGACAGGTCTGAGATCTGCATTGCTCCCAGCTCACAGAGGAAGGGAAACATCAGGCTGTGAGGCAGTTGGTCAGGTGCCCCCAAAGACAAAGGAAGAGACACAGTTACCATGGCAGGGAATCTGGCACCTTCTCGGAGGAGAGCTTCAGCTGCCAGATAGCATTGGCAGGGCAGACGTGTGGGAACATGGGCAGGACACAGCCTCCTTCCTGGTTGGGGGCTGACTCTTCAGCACCCCCGCCAGGGGGCCAGAAAAGGGAGTTGGGGAGTTGGAGTTCTTGTTTTGTTTGAGACTTGTGATGAGCTCTGGAATCGCTGCTTGCTGTGCGGGGGGGCCTCCTATTCAGCTGGTGGGGGAATGAGATGTGTGTGTGGTGGGGGAGGGGCGTGTCACAGCAGGGCACCATGGACTGGGCTCCTAGAAATGCTTTGACTGTGTTAGGGGGGTGCCCGCTGCTGCTGTGCTTGCAGAGAAGGGCGGACCCCGGGTCTTAGGGACCACGGTCTTGATACTGCTGCCGTAGGGATTCTTGGGAGACACCAGTGCCTGCAGATTCTGGGAGGATGATGGCAGCATGGCAGGCGTGGCTTCTGGTGTTGGGCTGTGCTTGGCCAGCTGCGGGACACTCGCCCAGGACAGTGTCAGGTCCGACTAGGCAGAGAGCCTGCTTCTCGTCTCCTGCAAGACCAGTGGAAGTGGGATGGAGCTGCTGCTGCATGGCGCCTCCTGGGGCTGGGGAGGGAGCCTGCCCTCGTGCCCCCAGACGCCCCCTCCCTCTCAGTCATGGGTTGGGATAGGGGACCCTGCTCCCCTGAGCCTGACACGGGGGAGTCCCTGATCCTGCCTGTTCCCACCCCCTGCAGTAGATTCAGTGAACTCAGTACACAGGCGTCACACTAACCGTAGGGAGAAGTGCTGGACCCAAAAACTCAGTGAAGGAGGGTCCGACACCTCGGCGACAGAACCTCCCTGGTCCCTGAGCTGCAGTTGAACTACAGGGCAGCAGCCGGCGCAGCTGCTCTCAGGGACGCAGGTCGCTGCTGCCCCCTCAGTAGGACAGTCCCTATGGAGAGCTGTGAGGGGTCTCCGTGTGCAGCTCAGTGAGCTGCTCGGCTTTCTGACTTGGCCTCACCAGAGCCTCAGTGGGACAGTGTGCTGGAAGAAGAGAGACAGCGACCATTGAGGAAGTTGACGGCATGTCTTGCTGTCCTGTGACAGGTGTCCTGGTTCCTACTGGAGCCTTTTTAGCACTCAGCAGGACGGTTCGGAGGGGCGTGGAGATAGTCTCCTGAGGTTTGGCCTTCTCTCTGCTAGGGTCTGGCTGGGTGCGTGCCTCTCCCCCAGCCCCCCTTTCCCTGTGACGAGCTTTGTTTTTGTTCCTGAATGCACGTACCCTTCTAACTGCTGTGCCTGCTGCTCTCTGCACTCAGCGTGCCAGTTGCATACACGGCTTTCTTGGCCTATCACGGTTCAGTCGGACAGTCCCTGTGCATCTGTCATTGGCCATCCCTAAGCATCTGTCTCTGGGAAGCCGGTCTGTGCCAAGCCTGCTGTCCTTCCAGGGAGGTCCTGTCAGCTTCTGCTGAGGTAGCTCCCCGTCAGTCCAGTTTCTGCTCCCTCCTTCCTCAGTTTGACCTCCTTTTCCATTTGTGTGGTGTGACTAGGGGTGGGGGGCTTCCTTTTTGCCTCCTCTTTACTCAGACAATCCTCAGGATGGTTTGTCTGGAAGGTGTTAGGCCCCCTGTCCCCTTTGCTGTTCTGGAGGACCCGCAGAACCCGCAGGACCCGACATGTAGGGGAGTGGTTGCGTGTGGTGCTGCTGGCTTGTCAGGACGGGCCTGTGCTGTGCACTCGTGTCTGCAGAGCACAGGGATCGGTGTCGGGGGCACACACTGTGCCACTTGAGGCAGAAGCTCCTCATTTGGGTGATGTGAGGCCACGGTAATTTCCAGACATCTTTGCACAAACTTAGAATGCCAAGTTTTAGTTAAGATGCCTTGCATATAGGACATCCTCTGTATAGCCTGAGCCCCACCGGGATTGATCCCTGAACACAGTGCCTGAAGTAGGCCCTGAGCACAGCCATGTATGGGCCCCAAACAGAATGTAAAAGGAATTTTTTAAAATGTGTGCTATAGGGGCTGGAGCAATAGCACAGGAGGGAGGGCGTTTGCCTTGCACATGACCGACCCGGGTTCGATTCCCAGCATCCCATATGGTCCCCTGAGCACCACCAGGGGTAATATCTGAGTGCAGAGCCAGGAGTAACCCCTGTGCATCTCCAGGTGTGACCCAAAAAAACAAAAACAAACAAAAAACACAAAAACTGTGTGCTGTAGATCATTTCCAAAGAAATTAAGGTAAAACTTGGAAATTAACTTGCTTTGTTTTTAGATTCATGAAGAAGATGTTACTCTTAAAGTTAATCCAGAATTTGAACGTGCATACAACTTTGAACCTATGGATGTGGAATTCACCTATAACAGGTAATTCACATGTAACAGGAATTCATGGGTGTCAGCCTCCTGGCTGGGGATCTTGAGTGTTGGTAGGAGAGGCCAAGGTCAGGTTTCCTGCTCACGGGCTCGGAGTGGGCTCTGTACAGTGCTCTGCATGCCTCATGCTCATCACTCTATTACCAGACATTTCTTTCTTTTTTTTTTTTTGCTTTTTTTGGGTCACACCCAGCAATGCACAGGAGTTACTCCCGATTCATACACTCAGGAATCACTCCTGGCAGTGCTCGCTCAGGGGACCATATGGGATGCTTGGGAATCGAACCCGGGTCAGCCATGTGCAAGGCAAACACCCTACCTGCTGTACTATCGCTCCAGCCCCAACATTTCTTAAGATATTTAAGGGCACTAGAGCGGTAGCACAAAGGACTCTATGTGGCTGGGTGTAGCTCCAACTCTCAGCCCCAAGACAGAAAACTGCAGAGTCGGATATCCATTCTGTCTTGACCCTTAAGTAGGTGAGTCCTTATTGTTATGTATTTTTTTATTGAATCGCCATGAGACACAGTTACAAAGTTGATCATGATTGGGCTTCAGGCATACAGTGTTCCAACACCCGTGCCTTCATTCAGTGCACATTTCCTACCACTATTGTCCCCAGTTTCCCTCCTGAGTAGGTGAGTTCTTTATTACACACAGTCACCCTCAGTTCATTCTTGCCATTCATGTTCTCAGATTGAATTGTGTTGAGGGCAGGTGAATCATGGAGAGCAAGAGACTTACGTTGATTTCCTTCTCGTTGTTGTTTTTGGTTTGGGGCGCACATTCAGTAGTGCCCAAGGTTACTTCTGGCTCTTCATTCAGGAATAACTCCTGGTGGTGCTCAGGGCACCGTAAGGGATGCCAGGGATAGAATCCATGTCAGTCATGTGTAAGGCAGGCACCGTACCTGCTGTACTGTCTCTCTGGCTCAAGTTGATTCCTTTTTAATCTTCTCTGAGCCCAGAGAGTCGAGGTGACTGCAGGGATAGATGAGTAAATTGCACAGGGTTGTTGCAGAGTACAGGACCAGGGCATGTCTGGGGAACACGATGTGCCATGTCCTACGGCAGTGCTTGAAGTCAGCAGCCTGGTAGTGATCTCGGATAGACTACTTAAACTTTGTCCTTTTTTTTTTTCTTTTTGGGTCACACCCGGCGATCGATGCAGAGGGGTTACTCTTGGTTCTGCACTCAAGAATTACTCCTGGCAGTGCTCAGGGGACCAGATGGGATGTTGGGAACTGAACCCGGGTCGGCTGCATGCAAAGCAAATGCCCTAGCCGCTGTGCTGTCGCTCCAGGCCCAAACTTTGTCCTTTTGAGACCTCTTTGCATCTAAGAAATTTTTTTGGTTGTTGCTTTGGGGCCGCTCCTGACTGTGCTCCAGGCTTGCTTCTGGCTCTGTGCTCAAGAATTACTCTGGCAGGCTTGGGGGATCCCGTGTGGTGCTAGGGATCAAAGCCAGGTTGGCCATGTTCAAGGCAAGCCTCCTACCCACTGTGCCGTCTCTCTGGTATCACCTGAGAAAGTCTTTTTGGTTTTTTATTGATTTAGGTGTTTGTTTTGTTTTTTGTTTTTTTGGTGGGGGGAAGGTCACACCTGATGATACTCAGGAGTTAACTCCTGGCTCTGCTCTCAGAAATCACTCCTGATGGTGTTTGGGGATCATCTGGTAGGGTGCTGGCGATTAGCTCCAGTTGGCGGTGGGCAAGGCGGAATACCTTCCTCACTCTTCTCTCTCTCTGGAACACGTGGGAACATTTTAATGAGACTTTTCATTTTTTCTTAAAATTTTCACGACTGCCACATTCAGTTACACAGTTTGATCGGGGTTGGGACTCATAGCTTAAGAAGTTAGGCTCTGAAGCATGAGACAGGTTGTTGAAGACAGGAGGTGAATGTGATGGGAGCATTTATGTAGGTTGTGCCACCGTGCACCTGCTGGGACCTAGTGGTGGAGCAGCAAACTGGGCCCAGGGAGGGGCAGGCCTTACTGTCGGGAAGCGAGAAGCTGGGAGCTGGAGGGAGGCGGGGAGCTGGGTTCAGGATTGTACAGGGGGTGCTTCTGCAGCAAGGGGAGAGTGAGCATGGAGGGGGGGGTGGAAGGCTGCCCAGAGGCAGGCAACATCACTCAGGCCAGGAATGTCCGCCACGGCCAGACAGAGTCCATTTTCAAATTTATTTTCAAATTTAGTCATTGTTTTCTGGGCTATACCCAGCTGTGCTCAAGGCTTACTGCTGGCTTTGTGCTCCGAGATCCCTCTGGGCGGGGCTCAGGAGACCGTATAACAGTGCTGGGGATTGAACCCTGCCAGCTATGCTCAAGGCAAGCACCTTCCCTGCCGTACTCTCTCCAGCCTATTTCACATTTATTTTTTGGTTTTTGGCCACACCCAGTGATGCACAGGGTTTACTCCTTGGGGTGCTCTGGAGCTTTGATTGTTTTGTTATATTCGACATAGCATTTTATTTTTTCTTTTTATTTCCTTGTGTTTTTTTTTTTGGTTTCATTTTCAGAGCATTAATCAAATTAGGTTCCTATTGACAGCATTAATATTTTTCTGGTGCTTATATTTGGGGGGAGGGTTATTTCACTTCTTCATGTTATATACTAAAACAAGTAATCCCAGAAAGAAGGAAATTGCTGCTCTTGTGATACTTGGAATTTTAGAAAGTTCCTAACTTTCTAAAATGAAGCTGCTAACTCTGAAATGTCTTTTAGGAACATTCATCATGAAGTGACTGATGAGGCAGTTTTGCATCTCCCCAATGTGGCCCTCAGCTGACCCGATTTGTTCTCCCATAAGCCACCATAGGGCCACACTCTCACTCACCTGCGGCTGGTACTCGCCTTGCTCTTGCTCTCCCTCAGCTCTTGGGTTTTCTTTCTGGCAGGACCACAAGCAGACGGTGTCACTTTGCACTTGAACAAGTCATCCACTTAGGTGAAAAAGGTACTATTTTTGTGAAATGTCTGTGACATCTCTTGGGAATATTTTTATAAGCTGTATCTAAAGGCACAGATTTTGTGTAAGGTACAGACTTCTCACCTGATTGCTTTAAGTAGAACTGTCAGACAGTATGTTTTATTGGGAGATGTTCGTGTTTCCTTATTATTTCAGTTGTGTAAAATGGCATTCTTAAATTACTGCCCTCTGCCTTTCCCCTCACAGGGGAGCACTCTCTCTTGAGTGTGGACACCTGGCCTTGTTGCAGCCCTTCTTGTACTCAAGTTCTGAGATAGCAGAGAGAGAGGGTGGGCAGGCAGTGACTACTCCAAGACTGACCAGGAAACTTTGTGACATCTGTTCATATGTTTGAACTTCTCGGTAACATCAGCCTTAACTGCCTTCTCTTTTTAAAGTGTTATTTCCAGATGAGATCATTTTGCAGTCTCCCCAAGTGACAGGAACTTGGAATTTTGCTCAGGACACAAAAATCAATGGACAGTCCACCACAAAGGTACCACTGGGATGGCTTTGAGAGTTTTATCAGATGATAGATTTGCTCTCAGTTCACAGAGTCTAATAGAAATTAAGTTCACAAATAATTTAAAGTCATAATTAAAACTAAGATATCTATAAACTAGGTTTCATGTAAAGTGTATATATACATATTTAAGTGTGTATGTATATAGGATATATGCAAATACATATATATGGAGAGGATTTTATATATATATATATATGTGGAGAGGATTTCAATGGTCTCAGTGTAGTAAATGAAAAAGATAGGGGTCTGTTGTGTGAATTCATGTTATTTTAAAAATGTTGTGATTTTTATGCAAACTCAGAACAAGCAACCTATGTGACTGATAAGCACAGAAAGTGCAAGGTACTTAGCAGGTTTCCACACTTGATATCATGAAGAATGTTGCAAAGAAACTTTGTTTTAGCTTCTTAGATCCAGTTGCTACATAAACAGTCAAGTGACACTGTTATGTCCCAGGGTAGTCCTTGGATGCCAACCCATTTTCATGACAGTGTTTGAACAGTAATAAGATTTTCCATGTCATGCTGCTGCTTGTAACCTATGGCTCCATACCCCAGGAGTGTTCCCTGAGCACAGAGCTAGGATTAAGCCCTGAGCACAGTTGGGCGTGGCAAAAAAATCTTAATATTTAGGAACCCCTTTCGCCAGTAGTAGCCTCTCTTGAAACACTGACTGCTTTAAAACGCCTAAATAGTTTTGGAATTTTTTATAAAGGAAGCACCGAAAGATTGATCAGAATCATCGGCTTTGTATTTTGTGTCTGGTCTGCCCTGAACGCAGGAGGGTCTCATGGAACAGATACAGTACCTCTTTCTCTTGATCGCTCCCTCCCTCGTCTGAGTGAGACAGACACTGGCTTCAGGGCCTGAGATGTATATTGGGGGAGTTTGCTGTATAGTGGGCCGGTTCCTGACTGGTTGAATCTTAGTATGGGGTGGGGCGGGGGCTCCTGAGCACTGCTCAGTGAGGTGCGTGGGGGGGCATCCAGTGATATCAGATCCAGTTTTGCCTGCCAGATGGTAGAAGGGAGGGCACCAGGGCACACCCGGTGCTGCTCAGGGACCTAGAGTCGTTGGGACCAAACCTGGGACTTTAGGTACACCAGGCATGTGCTCTAGCCCCTCGAGCTATCTCACCAGAGTCTTGGTGCATTGTTGGTTTCTTGGGGGGTGGCCACAGTTGGTGGTGTACAGGGGCTACTCCCAGTTCTGTGCTTGGGGGACAGTATGATGCTGGGAATCAAACTCGGGCCTTCTGCATGCAGAGCATGTGCTGTCCAGCTCTGAGTCTTGATTTTTGGGGGAATTTGCCAAACAGTGCTCAGGAGACCAGGAGGTTCTCCTGACAGTTCTCAGCCAACGGGGCTGTTGGTTTATCTGAGGATCCAGGATTAGGTTGGTGCTGAGGCCTGAAGTGCTGGGATAACCCAGGCCGCTCTGGTGGTGCTTGGGGCCACCCGAACCACAATGGGCAATGCTCTGAGTTCTCCAGGGCTATACCTGGCAGTGCTCCTGGAACCATGTGGTGCTGGGAATCTGTTCAGGGTTGGCCACATGTGTCCTTGCCTGGAACACTCTCTCCAGCCCCAGGACTGTAGCAGGTTTGAATCATCTAGGTTGCTGATAAGCACTCAGGCATTTCATCTGTCAGTCAGGGTGAAACTACTGAGACTGGATTTATCTTTTAACTAAAATGGGTATAAAAAAGAAGAGAGAGAGAGAGAGATGAATGGAAAGAACAAAGCGTTTTGATGATTATTAGCCCCACGTAATGATAGTTGGACGATTTTCTGAGAGAAGGAAACCACGGGTGAGTCATAGCTGCCTCACTTGAAAGTTTCCAGTCCAGAGGGGCAGAAGGGGGTTAGTGCCCACAGCCCTGTGATCTCGTGGAGGAGACAGTGCTCAGCATGTCTTCAGGCAGTGTCAGCTGGTGGAGAGCAGAGGACGGGGTCTGTTTCTAAGGCCTACGAGAGAGCCCCTTCCCTTTTGTCCTTCCAGCTGAGCACTCCCACTCCATGTGCTCTCGGGAAGGAGAAGAGGTCTGAGAAAGAAACCCAGTGAGAGCAGGATCGTGAGTGCCCGCAGCCAAGTAGGATGCCCTTGTGACACACTGGGTGGCTCAGAGGTGTCCTCCGTGCTGCTTGCACAGTTAGCTCAGGTTGCTGCCCTCTGAGGAGCGTGGGTGTCCCAGAGTTCAAGGATGGTTTGGAGGCACAAAAGTGTAACACTCAGGATGGAGAGGTAGTACAGGAGTTAGATGTTTGCTTGAATGCAGCCAACCCGGGTGTGACCCCCTAAACTGCCTTTAGTCCCCCAGCCATCACCAGGAGTGATCTTTGAGCATCTGGATGTGGTCTTCAAAAAAGGAATACAGCACTCACGAGGCATAAGTTCACTGGCGTCTAGCAAAGACTGCATGGAAACAACTTAGTCCTGAATAAAAGAGTTCCGTTTACTGAAGGTGATGCCCACCTCCCCACCATTCACAGTGGCCCAGTTCACAGACACAGATGCCCAGCAGCGGTTGTAACTACATTTCTGGAACGGAAGAAGACAGGGAGGAAGGAATGCCTGAGCACACCGAGGGGCGTTGGGAGAGAGAAAAATGACTGACTTCGGAGTTAAGTAAATCCACGTCTAAAAAGAAATTTCAGAATTCACAGAAGACCCTACGCTGTGGTAGAACAGTCATAAAAACAGTTGAGTAGAAGCTAAGCAAAAAGGGAAAGAGGGTTGACCCTGGGGACTCTCAGCACCACCAGCAGGCCTAGGACCCTTCAGACCTACACAGTCAAGCCAAGCGTTGTGAGTCGCCCCATCTCTGAGCTGCCTTGGAGCCGTTGAGCTGTGGGCGTATAAACTGGTATAACAACTGCCACAGAGCATCATAGGACTGGGGTGATGGCTCAGAGAGCTTCAGGACATGCTTGTGCATCGAGAGGCCGGGTTTCACTCCTGCCTCTGCATGGTCCCCCAAACACGCCTATGGTAGCTGTGTCCCCAGTGCTGCTGGTCCCTAGCAGTGCTGCTCTCAGGGGTGGTCCTACCTTGACCCTTGTCAGTGGGCCCCGGCTTGAGCCTGAACGGACATATTTGAGAATAAAATCTAAGAATGAAGATAGTTGTCGTTACAGGCCAGGGTCGTGGTACTTGCCTTGCATGTGGCCAACCTCACTTCGATCCTTGACACCACAAATGATCCCCTGAGCACCACTAGGAGTGATCCCTGAGCACAGCTGTCCTTGAGAGTATGGCCCCACAGCTCATCGTCCCTAGAGCACATGCAGACATTGCCTCAAGAAGGTCCCTAGAGCACATGCAGACATTGCCTCAAGAAGGACAGTAGCCTGAATGGGAAGTCAGAGACCAGCACTGAAAGAGGCTCTCATCTCCTTAAGAGAGGCAGAGGGTTTAGATGTGGCAGGTTTTTGATCCACGAAGAAAAGATTGAACATTTCCTTCTAATGAAAAATATTTATAACAGGGCTGGAGCGATAGTGCAGCGGATAGGGTGTTTACCTTGCACATGGCCGACCCAGGTTCGATTCCCAGCATCCCGTATGGTCCCTTGAGCACCGCCAGAAGTAATTCCTGAGTGCAGATCCAGGAGTAACCCCTGTGCATTGCCGGGTGTGACCCAAAAAGCCAGAAAAAAAATACAGTAAGGGAAGTTAATTAAATACAGACTCCCCCACTCCCCCAAAATACTTTGCTGTTCTGGGCCAGAGTGATACTTCCATTGCTGAGCATATGCTGAGCATGTGTTTTGCATGAAGGAACCTAGGTTAGATCCCAGCACTGCTGGGAGTGACCCTGAGCCACCAGACCAGAGCTTTATTGGGTGTGGTCCACAGAAAAATTACCATATAGATACATGGTTAAAGGGCCGGTTGTTTTTGTTGTTTTCAAGCTAACCAGCCTGTGGTCAGGGGCCACTTCCAGTCAGTGTTCAGGAATCAAATTCAGACCTCCTACCTGCAAAGCGTGAGCATTACCTATGATCTCTCTCTTCGGCCATTGGAGACACTCTGGTCCACGTAACTTCCTGTCTGATCAGTCTTGCTGCTTTCTTTTCAGAAAGATGATCACACACAATCTGCCTCCTTCGAGCCAACTGAGGCTCCTGCCTCTGTCCTTAATCGTTCCAGCGCCCCAGATGACAGGATTGCCCACTTTGAGAAATACTGGTTTAACCAGTGAAAAGACAGCTGACAAGTTAATACTATTCCTAACTCACATTGCAGGCGAAGGGCTTGTTCCTAGAATAAATACTGAGAAGGGGTTGGGGAGGTGGCTCACAGGCCGCAGCACTTGCTCTTCTTGCGGGACCCGACATTTTTTTTTAATTAATTTTTTCATTTTCCAACACCAGTCTCACCACCATTACACCTTCCCACCACCATATTTTGAATTTTTCACTCTGACCCCCAAAGCCTACCCCAAAATAGGACCTAATTTATTTTGCATTGGTTGTTACGAATGATCTGCTAAAAGTGATCCCCAAAAGTTTCCTTAGAGAAAAGTGTGTGAGAATTGTTGTATTTCGCCCTGGAGCCAGTAAGCTCTTACATAAGAGATTGCTAGTTGAGCCTCATGTGCTCATATTTATTCATTTTCTGTTATTGGTGACCTCTCTACATTGCCGGGTGTGACCCAAAAAGAAAAGAATAAAGACTCTTTTTAAAAAATAAATAATAATAGTCAAGAAATGGTGTCTTAGCCCATGAAAACATAGTCATCAGCTTAAATCTTTTGCCTTTTGTTTTTGGTCCGGACCTGGAGCTGCTCAGGGGTTATTGCCTTCTCCTTTACACCCATCAGATACGGTGGGCTACTCTTGGTATGTCAGCGGGGTAGGGTGTGAGATGTTGTGTGGCTGCATTTGCAGCCATGCGCTCCAGGAATTCTAACATTTTAATAGGGTGATACAGCTGAGGTTAATCTAAATTTTTTTAAAACTTCCTGGTTTCTCTGGGGCCCGTGGGCATCTCTGCAGCATGTTGCTCTCCTGTTGCTTTCTTCCAGGAGGTTTATTTGCGTCTCGGGATAGGAGCCTAAGTTTTGACTTTTGGCACTGCATGGTTCTCTGGATTGTGAGTCTCTGGATCATGGCCATTAATGAGCTTAGATGGCGCTAGAGTCAGTTTGTGGGCATGACTGCAAGGCTCCTGGAAGCATCCCATGTGAACCTGGAGATTTCGGTCACAAAACCCGAATACCTGGGTATTTCAGCAGATTTACTCATGGAAAAGGGTCATCCAGATCTGTGGAGATTGGCCATGAGCATGGCAGCAATAGAGTTCTGGGGGTTTGGGGCTGCCAGGGCTCTGTTGGGGCAGGTGGAGGGACTCACCCACCCCCCTCCAGGTTGCCCCGGATGAGACAGCCTGGCACGGGGTCCAGAGGCATCTCTGCGGAGTTGCTTTCATGTTGCTATCTTTCAGAGATTTGAGGCTCGGCATAGGATTCTAAGTTTTGACTTTTGTCACTTCATGGTTTCCTGAGCACCCCCAGGAGTGACCTATGACCCCAAAAATGAACCCTTCCCCCCAAAATTAGAAATAGACTGAATATTTGAACAGTTACCATACTCAAGAATATGTACAAATTTTTGCAATAGTACAATGGGCAGAAGGTTTACCCTGCATATGGCTGACCCAGGTTTGCTGCCTGACAGCCCATATGGTCCCCCAAGCCCACCAAGATTGATCTCTCACTGCAGAGCCAGGGGTAAGTCCTGAGCACTGCTGGGTGTTGCTCCCCTAATTAAAAAAAATATAGAGAAATGGTGTCAGGACTGCGATAGCACAGCAGGTAGGGCGTTTGCCTTGCCTATGGCTGACCCAGGTTCGATTCCCAGGATCCCCCATGGGCCCCTGAGCACTGCCAGGAGTAATTCCTGACTGCAGAGCCAGGAGTAACCTCTGTACATTGCCGGGTGTGACCCAAAAAAGAAAAGAAAGACTCTTTTTAAAAAATTAATAATAATAATAATAATAAAATGGTGTCTTAGCCCATGAAAACATAGTCATCAGCTTAAATCTTTTGTCTTTTGTTTTTGGTCCAGACCTGGAGATGCTCAGGGGTTATTCTTTGCTCTGTACTCAGGCATTGCTTCTGTGCTCAGGGGACCATAGAGATGCTGAAGATTGAACCCAGGTTGGCCATGAGCAAGGTGTATGTCCCACCTGCTGTACTACTGCTCCATCCCAGGAAGCTTAATGTTAAAATTACAAGATTCGAGGCTGACCACACGCAAGGATGGGGAGTCAATATTGAGGATACACGTGGTGAGGGTTGCATCTCAGCACTAAACATGTGCTTTACACGAATGAGGCCTTGCGTCATCTGGCACACCTACACACACAGGGATGGTGCATGTATATTTCATTGCAAGCTGGTGTCCTAAAGAAGTGAGAACATATGAAGATCTCCACAAAATCTTATACATAGATGTTCACAGTTTTGTTTGTAACAGCCAGAAACTGTCAACAACCCAGTGTCCAGAAAGTGTGATGTGTCCTCATAGCAGAGTGACAGTCGTCATTTGGAAAGGTGCACAGTGTGGGTGAGTCTCAGTCACACCGAGTAAGAGGCTGGTCCCAGGGAGCACTTTCCTTGTACTCACTGACCTGACTTTCCAGAACCTGTGAGCCAGTCTTTGTGACAGGAGGGAATGACTGCGCAGGTGCTCAGGACACTTGTGGGCTTGGTTGTGGGGATTTGTCTATTGAATGATGATGGTTTCATGGTTGTGTACATGATTATAAATGTGCCTACTTGTGTTGTCTGTCTGTTGCGCTCTGTAAAATGAGATAAGGGGGGCTGGTCTGTACTAAAACTGTGAAAATTGTATGAATTATGGGCGATATGTATAAAATATTGAATGTGGGAACTTCTGGTGCAGCAGTGTTCCTTTTAGAAAGAGTCCTCTGAAAATAGTGACATGGTTGCCCATAGATTGCCAAGTAACAGAAGCTTGAGAGACAGTTCTAGTTCATCCATGCACTCAGTTCTGCTTCCCCACAGACAGAATCCCCTTCCTCGGGGGGTCGGGTGCAACGGACACCTTGCCACTTGGAAGGTGTGTGAGAGTCTTCGGAGGGTGTCTGTGGGCCTGCAGAACTAGTCGGGTGTTGGCGGATGTCCTTACTTACTCTGTTAAAGCTGTGCAAGCACAAAGCTCTTTCATAACCTCTTTTCTGCATGGTCGCTTCTAGACTAGGAAAGCTGTGAAGGACCCAGCTAACCCTGCAGCGCAGGAGAGGCGGGCTGGCGCCCAGGACACGCCGGGGCTCAGTAATCTGGGTGCGTATTTGCTGGGCTGGGCGGAACCGCGCTCACTCACATGGCCTGGGGAGCAGGCCCTCAAGGAGTCTGGCCTGGGTGGCGTGAGTTTTCTCATGGCCCTGTGACTCGGTCACACTGGAGGTCAAGTGCAGACGTCTTCTAAAGATCTGGAGGCCGGCACACGTGTGTGCAGTGGGTCCCCCTCATGTTGCCTGGCCCACGTGTGTGTGCTCGTCGCCAAGTTACCTTAAGGAGGCCCAGGCAGATGACGACACAGACCTGCCTCATGCCGCTGTTCCAGTGCTGTGTGGTTGTGTCCTAGTGTGTCCTAGCCCTCACGCTTGGCCGATGCTTTCCAGCTGGTAAGAGGTGTCTGGTCTCTTAACTGACACGGCTTCTCCTCCCGACCACAGTCCACGAACCACAGATCCCAAAAGCCCGAGACAAGGAATTCTTCAATCCAGTGCTCAACGAAAACCAGAAGTTGGCAATTAGAAGAATTCTGAGTGGCGACTGCCGCCCTCTCCCTTACATTCTTTTTGGGCCTCCTGGAACAGGGAAGACGGTGACCATCATAGAGGCAGTGTTACAGGTAACGATGGCTGCCGCTCTGCTCTGTGTCATCAGCCGCAGGATTCCACATCTGAACTGTAGGCTCTGCACTGGAAAGAGCTTCAAAAATAGTTTGTTTCTAGTTGAAGTTGTTTTGTGTTTATGTAAAACTTGAAAATTTCACTTCAAGGACTGGAGAGAGGGTAGTGTGTCAGCACTTGCCCTGCATGCTGTGGCCAACCCGATTCCATCCCTAGCACCCCATTTGAACCCCGAGGCCTGCCAAGAGTGATCCCTGAGCACAGAACACAGCCACGAGAAAGCCCTGAGCACCTCCAAGCTGTGGCGCCCAGACCAAAAAAAAAAATTTTTTTTTTTAAATAGTAAAATAAAACTTTATTTCATCAGTTTAAAAATGACCTTTTCTTTTTTGGAATAGTAAACCATTCAGCACATGCCCACCCTCTTTTTTTTTTTTTCCAGAGAAAACCTTTCCTTTATAATAGCTTGCTACTCTACAGAATTTTTTGGTATCTTTATTTGTATTTGAAATAGAGTTTGGGAAGATTGTGCTTAGTAGGGCTTAGGATTCAGATCAGCAGATGCATATAAGGCATCCAGCTGGCACTGTACATACGTTCAAGGCGTGAGACGCCCTGCCTTGGAGAGTGGTTCAGGTCTTGGAGAACTTGGTACCATTCGTTTGCATCTTGTTGGAAAAGGCCAGCGGCGGCTGAACCGTGCAGTTTTGCTTGAACAGTGTCTCTGGAAGAGGGATGGGGATGTCTGCCCATGCCTGCGCCTGTGCTGTGCGCACGTGTGTATTGGCATCGTGTGCCACGTGCGCAGGTGAGCCGCTGCATTGCCTGTTGTTTCTCGCTGTGTCCCGCTGCAGGTGCACTCCGCTTTGCCCGACAGCCGGGTGCTGGTGTGTGCGCCGTCCAACAGTGCTGCGGATCTCGTGTGTCTGCGCCTGCACGAGAGCCAGGTGCTGAGGCCGGGCACCATGGTTCGGGTGAATGCCACCTGCAGGTTTGAGGAGGTGAGGACGGGCAGGTCCCAGCAGGCTGACCAGGTCAGGGGGCATCCCACAGCCCTGCCTTCTAAGTGGCTCTCCTGGTTCTCGGGAGTGCTGGTCTCCTTCCTGAGTGTTGGCTTAGGCTAGCTTCATTCAGCCTCAGTGGCCCTGTTCCACTGTTCCCAGATGTTTTGTTTCCCTGGGTTCTATTTATTGGTTTGACTCTAAATATCATGTAAGAAATAGCATGTCTTGCTAATAGAATAAAGTATGTATGAAGGGGCTGAAGAGAAGGTTCAGCAGGTAGAGTGCTTGCCTTGCATGTGGCCAACCCGGGTTCCATCTCTGGCATCCTCTCTGGTTGCCCTGAGCCCTGCCAGGAGTGATTCCTAAGTGCAGAACCAGGAATAACCCTTTGAGCATCGTCAGATATAGCCCAAAAACAAAAACAAAAACAAAAAAAAGAAAAAAATATGGATTAGGTTTCCAGAAAAAAAAATATACAGGCTTGTGTATTATATTCAGGGCTCTACAATCTGAAAAATGTGAGCCAAATTTATATGAAACAAAGCATTTAGTTTCATGGGAAAATGTCTTTATTACATAAACATAACAGGTAAGAACAGGATGAGGTGGTCTTTCAGAGTGAATACTTTTTGAGTGGGGTTGTTTAAAGAAGTGCTTGATGACTTAAAAGGAGGGGCGCTTGCCTTGCATGCAGCCAACCCAGGTTTGATCTCCAGCATTCCATATGGTCCTGAGCGCTGTCAGGAATAATTCTTGAGTGCAGAGCCAGGAGAAACCCCTGAACATCACTGGGTGTCGCCCAAAAAACAAAAAAAGTAAAGAGATTTGCCATAAAGGGATTGTGCCAGAGCAATAGTACAGTGGACACGGAGCTTGTCTTGCACGTGGCTGACTGGGGTTTGATCCCCAGCACCCCATATGGCCCCTCAAACCCCACCAGGAGTTATTCCTGAGTGCAGAACCAGAAGTAATCCCTGAGCACTGCCAGGTGTAGCCCCAAATCCAAAAACTAAAAGAAGTAAAGGGATCTGTCTTTGCTCAGACCATCATTGAAGCCATCAAGCCTTACTGCAAAGACGGAGAGGACATCTGGAAGGCCTCACGCTTCAGGATCATCATCACGACCTGCAGCAGTGCCGGCCTCTTCTACCAGATTGGCGTGAGGTGAGAACTCGGCACGGGTGGGATGTGGGCACCCAGGTGGGCACAGGCTAGACTGTGGAAGGGCAGGTACTTGACTGGCCAGAAATGGCTCTTCTGGGAGACATCAGAAATGCGAGGAACCCAGCAGTAGGAAGACCAACAACTTGGACTAGCATTTGTTTCAGAAAATCCTGAGGACAGAGAGCCCCGGGCATGAGTGTATGTTGTGATTTGGCAGTGTTCAGGGAATGCGGTAGTCACTCTCAGGGAGACTCAACCTAGCAGTAACGACTTCTCAAGCCTAGTGGTTCAAGGGGCTGAGACACACCCAGTCGTGCTTAGGGGACCGTGTGGTGCTGGGGATCAAACTTGGGGCCTCAGACATGCCAGGCATACACTTCCGCCTTTTAAGCTGTTTCCTCAGCACCCGAGCTGTGTTGCGAAGAACTGAGAGATGGCCCAGGCAGATACACAGATGCATAGAGCAGCGTTCTTTAACCTTTTCACACCTGGGGCCTAGCTCTGCTTTCTGGGCCACAGACTAGCCGTTTCATAAGCACGGTGGCTGACCCGTGGCTTCAACATTCCTACACTTGCGATTTTCAGTAGTCCGTGGGCCGGTCATTGGAGAGCACTGACTAGAGCAGCCGCCTTGCAAGGGGTGGTCGTGAGTTCAGATCCCCCTAGTTCCACACACTGAATTCACTCACACGTATAGTACGCCAGGGTGGGAGGCTCGCCATAGCACATGCGCGCACACACAGCCTAGGTGGGAGGCTTGTCACAGCACACACTTGCGCCTACACACACATACACAATACACACAGCACTAGGTGGAGGGCTCATCACAGCACACACGTGTCCTTGCACAAACCCACATAAATACACAGCAGTAGGTGGGAGACTCGTCACAGCACACACATCCACGTACACACACACACACACACACACACACACACACACACACCCTAGGTGGGAGCCTCGTCACAGAACACAGGTGTGCACGCACGTGTGCACACACATACACACAGCCCAGAAGGGTGGGAGGCTTGTCCTTCTCACAGTGGCTTGTGACAACTGCCTGCTGTCTTCTCTCGGGCAGCCACGGTGGGCTGGGAGCTTCATCACCTAGGCCCTGCCCCAAGCAGCTGACTTGGGTTCTTAGGTCAGCTGCCAAGCGGTGATGGCACCTGCCCAGGGCCACACGCAGACTCCTGGAAGGAGTGCTGGCACCATATCCCTGGGCAGGCTGCCTCTGTCCGCATCCTCCCTCTAGGTCTTGTGAGCACATGGACGGCTGACAGTGACATCTGTTCTCACGTCTCTGCCTGTTGTTCCCGCTGGGTATCCTGCCTTCTGGGCATGTTGGTGTCCACAGTGCTGACAGAAATAGCCCCGTAGGGGCTGAGGGGCCAGAGTGATAGGACAGCGGGGAGTGTGTTTGCCGTGCATTCGGCTGACCCAGGTTTGTCCTTGGCACCCTGTATATGGTCTCGCGTGTATTGCCAGGAGTGACCCCTGAACACTGCCTGGTGTGGTCCAAAAAGAGAAAAAAAGACCCTTGAGTTTGTCTTCTCTCTAGAGTTGGACACTTCACACACGTGTTCGTGGATGAAGCAGGACAGGCAAGCGAGCCCGAGTGCCTCATTCCCCTGGGACTGATCTCGGATGTCAGCGGCCAGGTGAGGTGACGTGTGTGCTCCTGTTTTCCTCCTTTGTCTCTCCAAGAGCAGCTGGGGCCTTGCCTTTGGTCCAGACGTGGGTCCTGGTTCCGCGGACACAGAGGCGGCTTTCTTGTGAGCAGAGCCTGAGACAGTGCAACAGCAGGCCATAGTCCCAACAGCACCTCGGGCTCTGAGCCCTCATGTCCCCTGTCCATCCTCCTGCTCGACGAGTGTGGCCTGAAGGGGAGTGGGGGCAGCGTAGCCCCCCTGTGCCAGGAGCTCAGCAGGTTCTCACGGGGCTGAAGATAGGAGTAGGAGGGGTCCTGAGAGCCACGTCAGGAGTAGGCAGGACAGTGACGGCACTGTAAGCTCCGGCGGGAGATGCCAGACTCCCAGATCAGAGCTGGATTTGGGGTGCTGAACACAGGACAATGTGCCTCTTCCGTCCCTGCATCCAGTGGCCAGCTTGGCCCCCAGCGGCATGGCCTTGACTCCCCAGCCAATGCTAGTGGAAATGCTCTCTTGTGCTTCAGATTGTCCTTGCTGGAGATCCCATGCAGCTTGGCCCGGTCATTAAGTCCAGACTGGCCATGGCCTATGGGCTGAATGTCTCGATGTTGGAGAGGCTGATGTCTCGGCCAGCGTACCTGAGAGACGAGACGGCTTTTGGAGCTTGTGGCGCCTACAACCCACTGTTGGTAAGCGCCCACCCTGCACACGCTTGGCTTCTGAGGCAAGGGAGCCTAGGGCCCATGGGGAGCGGGTTCTAGGAGTCTGATGCCGATGGCTGGGTGCCATGTGGCCAGAGAGTGCATGAGCGGGAGGCTCCGTATCCTCGTGGGGCACCACCCCTGCCCCGAGCCTTGGATTCACACTGTCTAGGTGCTTGACACAGTACAGCTCTGGGCTCTCAGCGCACCTCCAGCTCTGGGGGTGCCTGGCAGAGGGGGACTGGGTTGGGACCTTTGTTAAGGTGGCACAGAGCAGTGCTCTTTGTGTTCCTGCAGTGTTGGCACTCGACAGTAGGACTGGAGACAGTTCGGGAGCTCAGCACATGGGCCCCAGAGCACTGCTGGGAATAGCCCTGACCCCAAACCAAAGTCATGAAACATTTAGGAGAGATCAAGGAGGGGGTTGAGGCAGCTCTCAGCATGGTCTGGTCCTGCTCCAGCGCTCAGCACCTGGGCCCTTTCCCCACTGGGAGTAGAGTGAACGTGTGGAGGGGAGAGGAGAAGCCATGGGAGCTGAGGGCTCTGGAGGGTGGCGCTGGGGGACTGCAGGGGGCCCAGCTGGCTCTGGGTCTACATCGGGCTCAGAAACAGCGCTAAGCGGCGCTGTCTGAGGAGGCGCCCACAGCTTCCAGTGGACCCCGCTGCTCAGTGTACTGGGCCCAGAGGCAGCCCCACCTCTGGCCAAGAGGACACCCAAGCCTTTGGTGCAGACTCAACTGGCCTGCCCAGAGGGGTGCCACCCACCGGTCCCCACCTGTGTCTTAGCTGTGCACCCAGGAGAGGACCCGCCCCTGACTTCTCCCACTCCTAAGTAGACCTTGGTTAGCATCAGGCACACCTCAGTGAAGTGGCAAGTACATGCCCAGAGCGGGTGCTGTGGCTGTGTGTGGTGTGAGCCCGGTGTCGCTGACAGTGCTCTGCTTGCAGGTGACAAAACTGGTGAAGAACTACAGGTCCCACTCCGCCCTGCTGGCCCTGCCATCACGCCTCTTCTACCACCGTGAGCTCCAGGTCTGCGCAGACCCTGCTGTGGTGGCCTCCCTGCTGGGCTGGGAGAAGCTGCCCAAGAAAGGCTTCCCGCTCATCTTCCACGGCGTGAGGGTGAGCATGTGTGCGGGGCCCCACGCACCCTCAGTGCTGCGCTGAGATCTCCTGCCCACCCGACCACCTGCTGGTGCGGCCCACAAAGTGGAGAGATGGTTTAGGGGTGGGAGCTCATGTCTGGCTCATTTGCCACAGGCACTGCCAGGTCTCAGCCTGAACCTTCAGGGCCTCACTGTGGCTGATTGCCCACAGTGATTGCCCAAGGGTCGCCTTGGGGCCCTGGAGCACTTTGGGGAAGCTCCTCAAAAAAAAAAATGGAGTAAGGCAGTTTTAAAAACTAGGTTAAAAAAGTAACCTGAGAGGCTTCTTGCCTTGAAGAACTCGCCCTTGGCCACTTGGCCATTGAACACAAGCAGCTCAGGACTCTGAGGCCCAGTGGCAGCCTTGACCGTCCTGGAGGAGGCAGATGCTGGGAGACGAGGGAGGGGCAGCCCCCACGGCAGCAGCTTCTCAAATCAGAGTCAGCATGGGCATCATGGCGTGAGGCTTCTTGTGGGATGGGGTCAGAGGCCATCAGACCAAAGTGGCCATCTTAGGAGTCAGGACCCCAGTGCACAAGCCAGCCTCCTCAAGTTTCTGCCAAGAATCAAGGGACACCCCTGGACTGGCGCCTCCTCCACTCTGCATTTCCGGCTGTGTGCCCATCGTCCTGGGCTTCTGGATGGGCCTGGCCCCAGCAGCATTCCGACTTCATGTCTGTGGTTGGGTAAAGGGGAGATGTGTGCCCAGCAGTGATGGGTGGATTGAGGGTATAGAATTCCCAGGGTTTGGTTGGGGCACGACCTGCCCCCTCCCTGTGGCTGGTGCTGCCCATCCCTGCCTGCTGGTCTCCAGCAGCCTCCCTGGGTACCAGGAACATGGAGGGGTTCAGAGACCCTCCCCTGCAAGCTGGGACCCCACTAAGGGAGAGCCATCAGGTGACATAACAGCAGAGACAGCGGTTGTTTCCCTTCAGTTCCAAGTGGAAGGACATTTCAGTGACCTGTTAGGTTCTGTAGCACTGCAGCACTGTCCTCCCATTGTTCAGCGATTTGCTCGAGCGGGCACCAGTAACATCTCCATTGTGAGACTTCTTGCTACTGTTTCTGGCATAGCAAATACGCCATGGGTAGCTGGTAGCTTGCTAGGCTCTGCCATGTGGGTGGGATACTCTCGAGCACTTGAGAGGGACGGAGGAATCGAACGTGGGTCGGCCACGTGCAAGGCGCTTACCCGCTGTGCTATTGCTCCAGCCCATTCTTCATCAGAATCTAATTAATTATAGTGTCACAAAGCAATTAGGTTCTGATGAAGAATTATTCCTGTCTCTTGAACTGTATTTTTATTTGGTAAAGGTAGGGGACGAAGGGTCCCAGCCAGTGGTATTCAGAGCTTACTTCTGGCTCCGTGCTTAGGGACCACTCCTTGACCCCTCTGCTGTACTCACTCTTCAGCTCCTGAAGTCTCCTTAAAAATGTCACAGGACCAAAGAGATCGTTTAGAGTTAAGGGCTCAGACCTGGCTGACCCTGGTTCCATCCCCAGCACCACATATGGTTCCCTGAGCACTGCCTGGAGTGACCCCTTAGTACCACCAATTGTAGCCCCAAAACATAGAAAAGAAAATAACCCACTCTTCATGAGAATTAAAAAAATGTGGTCACGTAGCTGACAGTCTTGATTCTAAGGGCACCAAAAAACGTTCATGGTCTCTCTTTTTGGGGACAAAAGAGCTCCTGTCCTTGTGAGTGTGAGGGGGGCATGGTCCCAAATTCCACAGTAGTGCCTTCCACACAGAATCCTGTGCCTGACCTGGTCCATGTGTGAGATGGACGTTCCCCACACTGACACACACATGCATGCACACGCGGACACACGTGCCACAGACACACTGATGCACATAGACACACGCACACTGACAAACGCACAACGCACACAGACATGTTCAGTCTGCTCTCCTCTCTAGACTCTTGGGGCCTCTGCTGGCGGGAGGGTGGGCAGTGCCCTTCTCCAGCCTCGCCTTCAGTGCCTCGTGCACCAACACTCAGGCGACTGCTCCTCGGGGTCTGGGCGCTCACATTCCACTTTCCTGCATGTTCATCTCGCTGTAGAGCAGTGAATCCCAGCCGAGCTTCTCTGTGCACCATAGCAGTGCTGCTTCCTCCTGCTTCGTTCTCTGCTTGCTGTCCTGTGAGCTCTTACTCTCGCCTGAGGTTGCCCCATGTGTGTCTGTCCCTCCTCCTCTTACCGGGTGTCCTGGTCTCGTGTTGTGACTGACGAGTAAGCAGCCTGAGAGCTTGCGCAGGAAGAAGGCATCCACTTCGCGTGTGTGCAGCCCACCCAGCCAGATGTCGGCTCTCCCAGCACACTGGTGGGTGTCGCCCTGACCCTCCCACCCAGCTTGTATAGAGAAGGGGTAAATGACAGTGTTGAACAGCTGTAAAGATACCCTGAACATTGGACTGGAGCAATCTTGGAGCAACAGAGGCAGGGTGCTTATTGCACATGGCCAGCCCAGGTTTGATCTTCTGACACTCCATATGGTCGGTCCACTGGGCCCTGCCATTAGAGAAGACCCTGGGCACAGAGCCGGGGTCAGCCCCGAGCACTGCTGGGAGTGGTCCAGAAATTAGGATCCTGAAAATTGATAGACACTTCTTCATGTGTTCACTTGCTTGATCGAGGTGAGATACACATAACGTGAAAGCTACTAAGCCCCCCATTTCTCAGGATTGGGTTCAGCGGTGCTGAAGCTCCTGTTTCCCAGCCAGCCTCAGACTGCATCCATCCATCCTTGGGCAACCCCCTCAGTACCTGTCCTCCCAGCCGTGGCCCTTGAAACTGGCTTTCCCTGCAGTGTGCTTGAGCCCACCCAGGCTGCACAGGACAGAGTGCCCAGCCCTGCAGGCCCCGCTGTGCTGACCGCTCCCTTCTGTTCATGGCGCTGCAGGGCGCTTGCGTTGCGCCTTGGTGAATGTGCTGCTCAGGACTCGGACAGGCTCCTGGAGCTGCGCTGCCCCTGTGGGTGGTGTGGGGCTTCTGCCTTCCGTTTGCACCCAGCTGGCACAGCAGCTGCGCCAGTTCCCAGTCCTGCTGCACTTGCTGCGAGGTGGGGACAGGAGCCCCTCATGGGGTTGTGCGGAGGTGTGTGCATTTCTTCACGACTGATGATGAGGGGCAGCGTCTCAGCTGTTGACGGGCTGGCTGAGAGCCAGGCCTTGGGGACAATGTTGGGATGCATTACACAGAGCCATCTGCGAGCGTGTGGCACCCGGGCTTTGGCACAGGGCCTCCCCTTCATCTTGCCTGGGTTCTGTGCGCCTAGTGCCTTCTCATTGGCCCCGACTCAGACTGGCCAGGCCAGGCCAGTCCTCCCTCCCGTCCCTGTAGCTGAGAAGGCTTTCTTCATGCACCGCTGGTGTCTCACTGTCTCGGCCTCTTTCCTTTCCACTCAGGGCAACGAAGCCCGGGAGGGGAGAAGCCCCTCGTGGTTCAACGCTGCCGAAGCTGTCCAGGTCATGCGTTACTGCTGCCTGCTGGCCAGGAGCCTCTCCAGCCCAGTGCCGGCCAGCAACATCGGTGTGATCACACCCTACAGGAAGCAGGTGTGGCCTCAGCCTGAGTCTGTGCAGGCAGATCAGCCCAGCCCTCCAACACACGCACCACACTGGTCCTCCCGTGGAAGCTTCTCCTCTGCCTAGATGTGTCCTGTGGGGCAGGAAACAGTTCTCGTGGACCATCACCTCTTCCCCACGGTCCCTAATCTGAAATCAGGATTCAGGTGCAATCACTTCAGATTTGATGAAAGTGATTTGTCATTGAATACTGCATGTTGGTCAGTATTTTCCTTATGCTCTGAAACAAAGAAATGATCAGATTTCTGAGATTTCTTTAATTTTTTTTAATGTTTGGGCAGAGGGGGTTACTCCCAGCAGTGCTCAGGGTTTCCTCCTGGCTCTGTATTTGGGGATTATCACTCCTGGCAAGTTCTGGGGACCACACAGGATACTGGGGATTGAGCCTGGGTCGGCCATGTGCAGGCAAATACCTTACCCGCTATACTATCTCTTTGGTCCAATGTTCTTTGATCTTTTTATCTAACTTGTAGGTAGAGAAGATCAAAATTCTTTTGCGAAATGTTGATCTGGTGGACATAAAAGTCGGCTCTGTAGAAGAGTTCCAGGGGCAGGAGTACTTGGTCATCATCATCTCCACTGTAGGTACCTGTGCTTGGAGAGTGGGTGTACTGGGGGGGAGGTGCTTGGGGGCACCCAGGTGCTCAGGTGGGAAACAGCTGAAATGAGTGACTCAGCAGGGCTTTCCTGGGCCAACTCCCCACGCCACAGGTCTCAGCTCAGACAGTGACCAGAGGGAGTTATTCTGTTTGGGGGACACACCTGGCAATGCTTTCGGGGTTACTCCTGGCTCCGCACTCAGGAGTTACTTCCCGTGGTTCTCAGGGGACCCTGTGGGAGACCGAACCTACCCAGTTGGCTGTGTGCAAGGCAGATGCTGTATCTGCTGTGCCATCTCTCCAGCCCCCTTAGGGAGTTCTTGAAAAGAAAAAGTAGACATCAGCAGAAGGGGAGAATCCTAGAAGAAATGGTGAATGCGCTGGAGGAGGGACGGGCTGTGGGAGAGAGGCAGCCGCGAGTGTCAGCAGAGAAGGAACTGGAAGAGCAGATGTGGGAGGTGACGTGGGAAGGAGGCGCCCACACGCCCACGGCAGTGCTTGCCCCGCGGGAGCTCAGTCACCGCTCAGAACACCATCCGCTGTTTCCGAAGTAGAGTCAGTGTTTGCTGTGGTCTTGTGAAAAAACAGCAGAAGGAAAGATCGGCTTTGAATCCTGTGCTGGCCTGCCGGGGTGGCGGGAGTGTCCCCCTGGACACGAGCCCCTGCTGCCCTAGTTCTCAGTAATCATACAGAGCCGGAACTTTGTGTTTTTTAGGTGAGGTCAAATGAAGATAGATTTGAAGATGACAGATACTTTTTGGGTTTCTTGTCCAACTCAAAGAGATTCAATGTTGCCATCACCAGACCCAAAGCCTTGCTGATTGTGCTGGGAAACCCTCATGTTCTCGTCAGAGTGAGTGGGGGCAGGGTGCTGGAGGGGGGCGGCAGGGGGTGACGCCCCAGTGCTCTAAGGCCAGGCTGTGTCCCCAGGACCCCTGCTTTGGGGCGTTGCTGGAGTACAGCATCACCAACGGCGTCTACACTGGGTGCAACCTGCCTCCGGAGCTGCAGACCCTGCAGAAGTGAGTGGGGGCTGGGCCCCGGGGGAGGGGGGGTTGGGGGGCCTCTGGTCAGCACCCTCCCGACAGTGCTCTGGGATGCTGCTCCAGGGAAGCCTGACGTGCTGTGTCTCTTTCCTTCCCCATCAGCTGTGACTAATCCTGTCCCTCACTGCCCAAGATGGACTGGAGTGGCGCTGTCCAGAGCCCTGTTGGTGAAGAACACTTGTTCTCTGAGCCATGGGCAAGAGTGTGGGGGCTGGGGCCGTTGGCGGGAGCCACCCTGCAGTGAGCACGACCCTCAGAGGAATAAACACGGACTGGGATGCCCAGTGTGGCTCTCTGCTTGCACTGCGCCAGGAAAACTGCCCCTCTGGCCCTGAGGGGCCCCACGTACCCATTTCTGGGAAAGGCTGGATGTCCTCACGTGTGTGTGTGCTCCAGGTGGGGGTTGCACCAGCCCTCCCTTGGGGAGTCTGGGGTGTCACTGGTGTTTAAGGCGAGCAGAGATGCCTTTCTGCAGGGTTGCTGGTGACACCTTCCAGTCCAGGAGGAGGAGTGACCACCCAGCACTGAGCCCCCGGAAGGCGGGCTGGGGGTGGGGGAAGCACCTTCTGCAGTCTCCCTGGCCCTGTGGTGGCTGTCCCCTGCCCGGTCCCACAGCCCAGCCATGTCTCTGAGGCCTGGGCGTGATGCGCAGACGCTGGCCTGCCAGTTGCTGGCTCTACCCCTCACAAAGGTCCCTCACTGCGCCACTCCCCGGTGGGTGGGCTGCATCCTGGGCTGTGGCCGGGGTCCACCGGTGCAGTGGGGTGCTTGGGAGTCGAGGACATTGCTGCCTCTCCTCCAGGGTCCAGACAGTTGAGCCAGGGTGCTCGCTGGGCAGCATGCATGGTAGTTGCTGTGGGGGTGAGAGTGGGGGCGAGGGCCGAAGGGGACTGGGGCTCCAGGATTTAGCCTGCCGGGGCCTCTGTCGTGCCCCAGCCTCCTCTGTAGTGGACAGCAGCAGCTCGGCCTTCCCGAAGGGGCACCAGACTGAGTATCGGCGCCCACACCACACGGCAGGTTCCAGAACAGCCCTGAGGTCTCCAGGTCGTGGGGGCGGGGGGGCTGTAAACGGGGTGTTGGGTGTTCTTTACAGAGCAAGAACCGGGACTCTCAGACCCACAGAGATCTTTAGAGAACTTTTTTATTGTGGGGCTACCTCCCCCCAGAGCTGCTCGTCAGCCCAGGGCCACTGCAGGCATCCCTTGGAAGCCCTGCCCTGCGGGGCTTGGACTCAGGGACCCACGCGTGGATGCCGCTCTCCTGAGCCAAGAAACCCTTTTCCCTCCAGCCCTGGTAACTGGAGTGGCCCCTGCTCAGACGCGACGGCCACTCCCGTGGCCAGTGCACATTCAAGGGCTCGGGATTCTCGCTCTGGAAACTTGACCAGGCCCTGGAGAATGTATGGAAGAGCCGGGAGCACACGGCCAAGTGATGGCCAGGGCCGTGCTGCTGGCCTCCAGCGCAGGTGCTCACCCTGGCGTCGGGGATGAGCCTCTCCTGGGGGCGCAGGGGGCCGGATTCCAACTCGGGGGGGGCTCAAAGAGGGTCTGATGGCCCAGAAGTGAAGGGTTCCCGGAGCGCGCCGAGGCAGGGAGGGGCAGGTGTGGCCCCAGGGGGACGCGGCTCGGCCCCGCGCCCCGGTCCCGCGCGCCGGCCCAGACGCTCCCCATCCGGCGGGTTTGAGGCTTTCTGCAAAGTCATCGCCCGCGCCGCATCTGCGTGGCGGGGGGGTGCGGCGGGGGCGGAGCCACGCCGCCGCGCCGCCGCAGGTAAACAGCCCCCTCCCCGGGCGGGAGCGGGGCCGGCCCCAGAGCGACCCCGCGCGCCCGCGCCCGCGGGGGTCCCGCCGCCGCCCCCGCCGCCGCCGCCGCCGAGCTCGCGCCGCGCCGGGCCGGGCCAGGGCTGCAGCCGAGCGGGGGCGGCGGCGGCCCCCGCGCCCGCGCGCGCGCGCCCGCCCGCCCGCCCGCCGGGCCGACCCCTGCCCGCCGGCGCCCCGCCCCGCGCCCCCGGGCCGCCCCGCGCCCCCCATGCACCACCTCCTGGAGCCGTCCGCGGACATGGCGACGGCGCTGCTGGCGGGCGAGAAGCTGCGCGAGCTCATCCTGCCCGGCGCGCAGGACGACAAGGCGGGCGCGCTGGCCGCGCTGCTGCTGCAGCTGAAGCTGGAGCTGCCCTTCGACCGCGTGGTCACCATCGGCACCGTGCTGGTGCCCATCCTGCTGGTCACGCTGGTGTTCACCAAGAACTTCGCAGGTGAGGGCGCGGCGGGCGGAGGGGGCGGGAGGCGGGAGGAGCGAGGAGCGAGGAGGGGCCAGGTGCGGGCCGGGCCGGGCCGGGCCGGGCGGGGCGGGCTCGGGCCGCCGAGGGTGTGGTCTGGGCCGGGGGCGCCCCGCGGCTGCCCCGCACCCAGGGCCCCCGGGGCCGGGCGCCCCAGGGACACTCGGGGCTACCCGGGCCCAGAGCGGGAGACCCGGGGGCTGCCAGACGTGCTCACGGGGGACCCCCACGCGGCAGCACCAGCCTGTCCTTCACACACCTGCGCGGGGATTCGCACACCTGCGCGGGAACGTCACACACCTGCACGGGGGACTCGCACACCTGCGCGGGGACGCTCACACACCTGCGCGGAAATGTCACACACCTGCGCGGGGGGATTCACACACCCGCATGGGAACCCGCACATCTGCACAGAGACTCACACACCTGCAAGGGGACTCACCTGCGCGGCAGTTTCACGCACCTACACAGGAATATCACACCTGCACAGGAATATCACACCCGCACACGATTATCACACACCTGCGCGGGAATATCACACCTGCACGGGGATGCAGCAGCAGGGGGACTCACACACCTGAATGCTGCACACCTGTACTGGGACAGCTGTGCAGTCCCAAGGAACTGCTGGTTTGGGGAGTCTGCGCGCCCACTCAGGGTGCACATCTGCTGGCTGTGGCAGGTGGGTGCTGAGCACCTTCCAGTGATCTCAAAACGGACCTCACCAGGTGAGTGCTACAGCACACGCCTAGCACGTGTTTAGTGCACGCCTAGCACATGCCAGGTCCCAAGTGGTCTAGCACACGCAAGGCCCAGGATCTGGCCCCGGGCACTGCATGTGCCTGCCCTGGGCAGCCCTGTGGAGTCCAGACACGTGGGCAGCTCCTCTGAGCTCATGCACCGCAGGTGTGCCCGCCGCCTGACGACAGGTGCCAGGAGCAGCCCGCACGCCTGTGGCACCCACTGAATCCTGCCTGGCCGCAGCTCTGTGAGAGGCGAGACCTGCTCTGGGGGCTCAGGAAGGCAGCTTGAGCACCATGCCCTCCAAGGACTGATTTTGTTGGGGGCAACAGGGCCACTCGCGGGGTGCTCGGGAAACAACCACACAGTGCCAGGGCCATTCCAGCCCTGTGCTCAGCATGTCCACCATCTCTGCAGGCCTGCCCTGCCGGGCTCCTGGGCTGCAGGGGGCAGGTGCTAGGGAGACCCCACCACCATGCACGTCCTCTCGTCCGGGCCAGCCCGGGCTACCTCCCTCTGCCGCCTCCTGAGAACCTGGCCGGGTCTCCCCCACACCTGCAGTGTGGCCACAGGTTCCAAGCCCAAGTGGGGGCAGCCTCCTCCCCCTGCCCACAGGCCAGGCCTGTGGTGGTTCGGAGCAGCCTTGGCAGAACTGTGAGCATAGGTAGCCTGGCAGGCGGCGGTGTGGGAGCAGAGGGGGCACCCTGAACCCTGCCACTCTGCCCTGGCTCCCACCCACCTCTGTGCTCCCAGAAAGGACCCCAGCTGCTGGCCAGGCTCCTCACTCCACTCTGGAGTGATGGGGCCCGCATCAGGGCTCCCGGTGAGTCTACGTGGCTGCCTGGGCAGGTTGGTTGTGTCGCTGCAGGGAGGTGTGTGTGTGGGGGGGGGGGGCCTGGTGGGCACGTGTGGGCCAGCAGCCCCCCTCCTGCTCCACAGACAAAGGGATAGACGGTGCTTCTGCGCCTGTCATCAGAGCCTCGGCAGGGCCGCCGGCACAGGGCACACGCGTCCGGGTGGGAGGCAACAGGCCCGGATGTCCCCGCAGAGCTGAGCCTCTCCTCCCAGCTCCCTTTAGCCTGCCGTGTGGGAGACGCAGCCCCCAGCGGCCAGGGCCCTGGCCAACTGCCGTGCCGTGGACTGGCCTCCCCTGCCTGCCTCAGTTTCCCCATGTAGGCACATCCGGGTGTTGGGCAGGGGTTGAGATTTCAGGGTGCAAGGTGCCCCCCCCCCCCGGTGTGGGAGGTCGAGGGCGCCGGGCGGCAGGAGCCCAATCCCCTCTCCCCGCCCGCCCGCAGAGGAACCCATCTACTGCTACACCCCGCACAACTTCACCCGCGACCAGGCGCTCTACGCTCGTGGCTACTGCTGGACGGAGCTGCGGGACGCGCTGCCCGGCGTGGACGCCAGCCTGTGGCCGTCCCTGTTTGAGCACAAGCTGCTGCCCTACTCGCTGCTGGCCTTCGCGGCCATCATGTATGTGCCCGCGCTGGGCTGGGAGTTCCTGGCCTCCACGCGCCTCACGTCCGAGCTCAACTTCCTGCTCCAGGAGATCGACAACTGCTACCACCGGGCGGCCGAGGGCCGCGCGCCCAAGATCGAGAAGCAGATCCAGTCCAAGGGGCCCGGCATCACGGAGCGCGAGAAGCGGGAGATCATCGAGAACGCCGAGAAGGAGAAGAGCCCGGAGCAGAACCTGTTCGAGAAGTACCTGGAGCGCCGGGGCCGCAGCAACTTCCTGGCCAAGCTGTACCTGGCGCGGCACCTGCTCATCCTGCTGCTCAGCGTGGCGCCCATCTCCTACCTGTGCACCTACTACGCCACGCAGAAGCAGAACGAGTTCACGTGCGCGCTGGGCGAGGCGCCCGACGGGCCGGCGGGCGCGGCCGTGCGGGTCAGCTGCAAGCTGCCCTCGGTGCAGCTGCAGCGCATCGTGGCGGGCGTGGACATCGTCCTGCTGTGCTCCATGAACCTCATCATCCTCGTCAACCTCATCCACCTCTTCATCTTCCGCAAGAGCAACTTCATCTTCGACAAGCTGCACAAGGTGGGCATCAAGACCCGCCGCCAGTGGCGCCGCTCCCAGTTCTGCGACATCAACATCCTGGCCATGTTCTGCAACGAGAACCGAGACCACATCAAGTCCCTGAACCGCCTGGACTTCATCACCAACGAGAGCGACCTCATGTACGACAACGTGGTGCGGCAGCTGCTGGCGGCCCTGGCGCAGTCCAACCACGACGCCACGCCCACGGTGCGCGACGCCGGCGTGCAGACGGTAGACCCCAGCGCCAACCCCGCCGAGCCCGACGGCTCCGCCGAGCCGCCGGTGGTCAAGCGGCCGCGCAAGAAGATGAAGTGGATCCCCAGCAGCAACCCGCTGCCCCAGCCCTTCAAGGAGCCGCTGGCCATCATGCGCGTGGAGAACAGCAAGGCCGACAAGCCCAAGCCCGTGCGCCGCAAGACCGCCACCGACACGCTCATCGCCCCGCTGCTGGACGCGGGCGCCCGGGCCGCACACCACTACAAGGGCGGCAGCAGCAGCGACTCGGCGGCCCCCGCCGGCGACAAGAAGCATGCCCGCCACTTCTCCCTGGACGTGCACCCCTACATCCTGGGCACCAAGAAGGCCAAGCCCGAGGCCGTGCCCGCCGCCCTGCCCGCCTCCCGCAGCCAGGAGGGCGGCTTCCTGTCACAGGCTGAGGAGTGCACGCTGGGCCTGACCGCAGCAGCCACCAAAGGTAGGTGCAGCCGCGGGCCAGCTCGACCCGGGAGGGGACAGCCCAGCCCCGTGGAGGGACGCCCCCACCCTCACCGGTCAGCAGGCAGCTCCTGGGAGACTGGGAAAGGAGGGAGCGGGGGGAGGGGGCAGCGGGGCCCAGACAGGGGATCCCAGCAAGACCCCGAGGGCCCGGGGCGTGGGGAGGCTGCCCCTGAGACGGTTCTGGGACCCGGGGTCCGGGCAGGGGCAGGGGCAGGGCTGGCGTGCAGTGGCTGTGTTCTCCCGCAGACGCCCCCCTCCCCGAGAAGGAGGCCCTGTATCCAGCAGAGTCTGCCCTGGCCACGCTCCCCACGGGGGCGCCCTTCCACGTCTGCTCCCCCACCGCCGTCCCCACCACCGTCCCCCCGTCACCCAGCAGCCTGGGCAGTACCGACCCCCTCACCATCCTGAGCCGCAATGCCACCCACCCGCTGCTGCGCGTCAGCACGCTGTACGAGGCCCGCGAGGAGGAGGACGTGGCCCCGCGGGCCGCCCCCGAGGTGGGCAGCCTCATCGCCATCCCGCCGCCCCAGCAGATCCTCATCGCCACCTTCGATGAGCCCAGGACGGTCGTGAGCACCGTGGAGTTCTGAGGCCCCTGCATGCCCGCAGCGAGCCCCGCCCCTCGCCCCCGTGCGTGGACACGGCCTCGGCTTCCCCGGCACCCCTGCACCGGCCTCCCGTCCGCATGCCACGGGGCTCAGCGCCTCCCCTCCCGGCCCCGGATGGCGCCCCGGGCACTGGGGCCCTGGGGGCCGGGCTGCGGCGGGAGCCCCCCGCCGCCCTCCCCAGCCCTTGGCTGCAGCGAAGAGTTTATTTTTTTAGTCGATTCGGTCTTGGGTCCAGGATGCCGGCCTGGGGGGACCGGGCTCTGGCAGGACAGCTCAGGTCTGAGCCTGGAAGGTATCTGGGGTGCTGGCAGCTCTGAGGGTCACACTTGGCCTCGCCCCCAAGGGTGGGGGTGCCCTCCAGGGGGGCTGGTGTCCGCCCTCCTGCCCACGGCCCACATGCACTTTCTCCCCTGCCCCAACAGACCTGTATTTTATTTTACTATGACTACTGTAACTAGAGAACATATTGGCTGTCAGGAGATGCGTGCGAGTGTGCGTGTGCCGGCGCCACGAGCCCGTGTGCACGGAGGTGCCAGTGGCAGCGAGCAGGGCGAGGACAGCTGCATGTGTGAGATGAGCACGGGCGTGCGTGTGTGAGCGCGCGTGTGGCCGCACATGTGAGAGCATGTGCATGTGTGCGTGCAAGCGTGTGTGGGTGTGCATGTGTGAGGAGCACGTGCGTGTGTGAGAGCATACGTGTGAGACGACCGCATGTTCATGAGTGTGGGTGAGCACACGTATGATGAGCTGGAGCACGTGTGAGTGGGTGAGCACACATGTGAGAGGAGCGTGTGTGTGAGTGGGTGAGTACATGTGTGAGAGCATGTGCGTGAATGGGTGAGCACACGTGTGAGGAGCGTGTGCATGAGTGGGCGAGCACACGTGTGAGGAGTGTGCATGTGTGTGAGCGGGCATGTGTGGGGTGAGCGGGCATGTGAGACGAGTGCATGTGCGTGAGTGGGCAAGCACGTGAAAGGAGCGTGTGCATGTGCGTGACTGGGTGAGCACTGTGAGGAGGGTGCATGTGTGTGAGCGGGCATGTGTGGGGTGAGCGGGCATGTGTGAGACGTGTGCGTGTGTGCTGGCGTGAGTGAGCGGGCTTGTGTGAGACGGGCATGGCGCCAGCATGTGAGGAGGGAAGGAGTCCAACGCAATAACCACGTTCCCCTTCCCTGGGCCCAAGCCCTGTCCCGGGGCCCAGCCGCGGCCCACGGGAGTCCAGGGCACCCGGCCCGCCCCTATTACCTCAGCCGCGGCGCCGTGACAGTGTTCACGAGGTAGCTCCGAGCAGATCAATAAATCGTATTCTGATACTGCCGTGTCCACGTCATCCCTGCAGCTCAGCTCCTGGGGCAAGGCCCACCCGGGAGAGCTGACGGCGCGGGGCGGGGCGGGGGTCCTGGGGCTGGGGGCTGGGGCTGAGGGCGGGCGGGGGTGGCCTGGGTTGCCCTGCAAGGTCACTGGGGGGCTGCGCCTTGGGTGGGCCTGGCCGCGCAGCGGTGCCAGGCAAGTGGAGGAGCGAGACCCTGGACTCCCCGCACTCCGGGGGCAGCCCCTGGGTCCCGCAGGCGGCCCGGTGTGCCGGCCAGTCCGGCTGCGGGCCCTGCTTGCCGTGGGCGGGCACTTGGCATGGGCCTCGCTGGCCAGAGCTGCCCGCGGGTCCGCCGGGAACGGGGCCTGTCTCCTCCCCGCGCTGCCCCTGTGGGAGGGGGCAGGGGCTCACCCCGCCCCGGACCCCCGGAAGGTGCCACGAGCGCACAGGCCCCGGGGCCACCTGTGGGCCCCTGTCCATGGCTTGTGGGGGGCGGGGGGCGGCGCCGGACAGGCCCGGGAAGGACGCGGTGGGCAGAGCACCGGAGGGGCCCAGCCGGGCAGGGGTCCCCCGGCCGAGGCCCGCCAGGGCACCGCCAGCCTGGTGGCCTGTGGGTTGGCGGGCCCCAGCACCCACACTGCCCACACGGGGAGGGGCTGCCGGCCCCACTCCAGCCCCGCGTGGTCCCAAGCGTGTCCGCGGCGGCCCGGGTGCGGGCAGCTGCCGAGGGTGGGGCCTGCGGGGGCGGGACGGGCTGGCGCGGGCCAGCGGGCTGCCACGCGGGTACGGAGGCCCGGGGGGCGTCTCTCCGCGCGGCGCCCTCCCCTTCCCGGCGCCTGCTCGGAAGGCGCGCCCGGCCACGCTCTCCGCGGGAGGCCACGTCCGCGCCGCGCCGGGGACTCGAACTCGCGCTCCCGGCGCGGCCGGCGCCGCCTGCGTCCCCGAGCCGCGGGCGCCGGGCGGGGCGGGGCTTCCCGCCCGCGGGCTTCTGGGAAGTGTAGTCCGCGGCCGCGGCCCGGCGCGCGCCCGGCGGCGGCGCGCGGGCCCGCGGAACTACGGCTCCCGGCAGGCCCCGCGCGCCCGGCCCGCGGCCGCCCCGCCCGCCCCGGCCCGCCCGCCCGCCCGGCCCGCCCCGTCCGGTGGGGCCTCCCGCCGCATGGAGGCCGGCTAGGAGCGCCGCCCCGCCTCGGTACGCGGCGCGCGGAGCCGGCTCGGGGGGCGCGCGGGGCTCGGCCGGGGCGGGCGCGCGGGGCCGGGGCGGCCGCGGGGGGCGCGCGGGCCGGGCCGGCGGCGGGGAGGGGGCCGGGCCGGGCCGCGCGGGCCCGGGGCCCGGGTCTGCCCCCGCGTCCACCCCGGACGGACTCGGGTCTCGGCTCCGGCGGGGGGCGGGGGCGGGGCTGTGTGCAGCGGGTCGGGCCCGTGCCCAGGGCCGGACCTTGCACGCCTCCGACCCCGGCCCGGCCCCCGCCTGGCGCCGCGAGCACCGGCCGCCGTGGCCCAGAGACCCCCCGCCCCCGAAAATAAAACCCGGACGGCCCGAGGTGCGGGTGTAGCTGCCCCGGCCGGGGTGGGGGTCTCCAGGAGGGGCGAGCCTGTGAGCCAGGGGGACGCAGCCGGGCCGAGCCCCGCGCCCCAGTGCGCCCGCGCCCGGCCCCCTGGGCCTCATCCTGGGGGCCGGCCGCCCCGCCGGGAGGCCACTGCAGGCCAGGCCCGGCCTCGCCTCAGCCCGGCTGCAGGTGGCTGCCCGGAGGCTCCGCCCCCTCTGCACCTGGACAGCCCCCTTGGCCGGAAGTGAGTGTCCGCAGAGCTGACGTGCCGTCCAGCTGTGTGGCGGTTCCTCCCGGCCCGGGTAGCCCCAGGTGTCAGCTGGTCTCATCGCGGCCTCAGGTGACCACCCCGGGCCTGGGGTGGTGGTGCCGGGTATACCCTGGGCTGGGCCGGGGGGTGGGCCGCCGTGGGACCCAGGCCCAGGCCCAGCAGCCTCTGCTGAGTGGCTCCGGGGACGTCGGACAGTGCCGTGCTTGGGGTCCCAGCGAGCGGGCCCGGAGGGTACAGCGAGGCCCTGGGCAGCAGCTCCCATCTGCTCGGTTGCAGGGCAGTGGGAGGGACGCCCACTTCCTGCTCCCCGTGCCAGGCTCCCCGCAGGGTGCGGGGAGCTGGGCCCAGCCTGCGCCCAGCTCAGACGTGGGTCCTCGAGACACCCCTGGGGGCACCCCGGGTGAGAAGGGCCTTGTTGCTGCTGGGGTGCCACTGCCCCCTTCGTGGTCAGCTCGGGGTGCCTGTGACCCTGCGTGCCAGTGAGTGCCGGGGCTGAGCAGGGCAGGACTCGGCCGACTTCCCTTTTGAGGACGGCTGTTCTCCGCCCCTCGGCACCCTCAGTCTTCCCATCGAAGTTCCCGTCGGCTGACTGACGGACAGGCAGGCAGACAGACATGGAAGCAGCTGTGAGCCCCACAGCCTGGAGCTGGGCTGTTGCTCCATGGCCCTGCCTGGGCGCCCTGCTAAGGCTGGGCCCACCCTCCCTGGCCCAGGCGCCTTCCGTGGGCTTGTGGTCTCTTGGCCGCCTCCTGATGGGTCCCACCTGTCTCAGGTGTGTGCTCCCAGACAGCAGACCCAGCACAGGCGGCCGGACTGGGGTGGGGGCTGAGCCGGCCTTCCCGTGTTTACCAGGCAGGCCCTTGGCAGTGCGCCCTCCCCGGACCTGAGCTTTGAGACATTTTTGGGCTCCGGTGAGCAGGGGGCGGGGGAAACACCCTCTGATGCTCAGGGGTTCCTCCTGGCTCTGCACTACTCAGGAATCACGCCTGGCGGGGCTCAGGGGACCATATGGGATGTCGGAGATCAAACCCAGGTCAGCCACATGCCAGGCAGCATCTTAACCCACCGCACTAGGGCTATGGCCCCTCGGGGGCTGTCTTTTGAAGGGCAAGGGGACCACACCTGGCTCCAGGGACCGTCCACAGAGCTGGGGCTAGACCCCCGGTGGGCTGCAAGCGAGGCAGGCGCCTTAACCGTGCTCCTCTCTCTCCGCCCCCGGGTTCCCGCACTTTGCAGCCGCTTCCTCGAGCTCAGCCTCGGGCACCCTCCGGCTCCCGGCCACACTCTGGTCCCCGGGCTCAGGCTCCTGAGCAGGCAGCAGGTGCCACCAGCCGGGGTACCCGGCCCCCAAGCCACCCTGGGCTTACCCAGCTCGGCTTCCTGCCTGGGTCCGCGGACGCAAAGCCAACCTGAGCTGACTGGAACAGAAGGAAGCTCCTGGGGACGTGCCCCCAGGCTGGCCCAGGCTTCCTGCAGCTGCCACAGACCCAGGTTGTCCGGCTCAGGGCCACACCCCCGAGGCGCCCCAGGCACCTCCGCCAGGGCTTTCTCTCTTTTTCCTTTTGGGTTGTGGTCCACACCTGGCCCTGCTGACTCAGGGCTTCCTCCTGGCTCTGTGCTCGGGCCCACTGGTACCCCTGGTGGTGCTCAGGGGACCCGGGGATTGAACCCGACACCTTCGGCCCCTTCGGCCTGATTTTCTGCCAGGAAGTTTAGACGTGGCCTTCTGTTCCCAGGTGCTGCCCGGGGCTGCTCCCGACCCACCTGCTCCTTCCGGAGCCCCCATCCGGGGCGCCTGGTGCGCTCGGCCCTCTCTCTGCAGGCTTCCGTCTGTGGTGCCAGCCCTGCTATGGATGGGGCCCCGCCGGAGGAGGAGCAGCCGCCTCGTGAGGTCAGAGGTGCGGGTGGAACGGGCGGCCCTGCACCCGGGCAGGAGGGGGCCCGGCTCAGTTGGCCTGTCTGTCCTCTGCAGGCCGATGCGGAGCCCACGGGGACGGTGGCCGCACCTTCGGAGGTGGTCCCTCGGGCTCTGCCCGCAGAAGCCCAGAACCTGTGTACGTGGCGGCTGGGACTGGGGTGGGGGGCGCAGCAGGAGCCGCTCCTGGGAGGGCAGGAGTCCCCCGAGAGGGTGCGGGGGGCAGTGGCAGCCCCTGCAGCCGGCCCCTGTCCCCACAGCCGACGTGGACGCTTTCAACCTGCTCCTGGAGATGAAGCTGAAGCGCCGGCGCGAGCAGCCCCGGCTGCCCCGCACGGTGACCCAGCTGGTGGCCGAGGACGGGAGCCGGGTGTACGTGGTGGGCACGGCCCACTTCAGCGACGACAGCAAGAAGGACGTCGTGAGGGTGAGGCCGGGGCCCAGCGGTGCCCGCTGCGGGGCGGGGCGGGGGAGGGACTCGGGGTGAGCGGCGTGTCCTTGGCAGACCATCCGCGCGGTGCAGCCCGACGTGGTGGTGGTGGAGCTCTGCCAGTACCGGGTGTCCATGCTGAAGATGGACGAGCGCACGCTGCTGCGGGAGGCCAAGGAGATCAGCCTGGAGAAGCTGCAGCAGGCAGTGAGGCAGGTGCGCGTGCGCGGCGGGGACCTGGGGGGCGGGGCCCGGTGGGGGCGGGGCCCTGGAGGGGCGGGGCCTGGGCTCGCTGACCCCGCCCCTCCCCCTCCCCCCCCAGAACGGCGTCATGTCGGGCCTCATGCAGATGCTGCTGCTGAAGGTGTCCGCACACATCACGGAGCAGCTCGGCATGGCCCCCGGGGGCGAGTTCAGGGAGGCCTTCAAGGAGGTGAGCGGAGGTGGCGGCGGCGGGCGGGTGTGAGGGAGGCCCCTGCCCCCCGGTGGCTGAAGGGTCCTGCCCACGCCCGCCCCTCCCAGGCCAGCAAGGTGCCTTTCTGCAAGTTCCACCTGGGAGACCGGCCCATCCCCGTCACCTTCAAGAGAGCCATCGCCGCGCTCTCATTCTGGCAGAAGGTCAAGCTGGCCTGGGGCCTGTGCTTCCTGTCGGACCCCATCAGGTAGGGGCTCCGGGTTGAGGGCCCCAAGGCCTGCACCCCCCAGGGCCCTCTCGCTGCCCCTCCCTGGCTCCTCCCCGGCCCCACCTCTCTCCTCCCTGGGCCCCGCCCCAGGCCCCGCCCCTCTCCCCGTAGCTCCGCCCCTCAACTCCCAGTCCCGCCCTTTCCCCTCCCCCAAAACCCGCCTCTCCCCTCTTTGGCCCTGCCCCTCCCTCCCAGTCACGCCTCTCTCCCCTCCCTGGCTCCGCCCCTCTTCCTCAGCCCCACCTCTCGTTTCCTTGGACTTGCCCTTTCCTCCTGGTCCCCCTTCTCTTCCCTCCCAGGTCCCACCACTCTTCTCCCCCAGGCCCCGCCTGTCTCATCTCCTTGGATCTGCCCCTCCCTCCAGGTCCCGCCTCTTTCCTCCCCAGGCTCCGCCTCCTGGCTCCTCCCCTCCCCGCCTCTCCCATCCCAGGCCCCTCTCCTCACAGGCCCCGCCCTTTCTCCCATCGTCCCTCCCAGGCCCCGCCTCCTGGCTTCACTCCTCTTCAGCAGGCCCCGCCCCTCTCCTCGCAGGCCCCGCCCTTTCTCCCTCTTCCCTCCCGGGCCCCACCCCTCTCCCCAGGCCTTGCCTCCTCCCCTCCCAGGCCCCGCCCCTCTCCTCCCCAGGCCCCGCCTCCTGGCTTCACTCCTCTCCCGCAGGCCCCGCCCCTCTCCCCCTGCCCCGTCTCTCCCATCCCAGGCCCCTCCTCTCTCCCTCCGCGGCTCCGCCCCTCTCCTCGCAGGCCCTGCCCTTTCTCCCTCTTCCCTCCCGGGCCCCACCCCTCTCCCCAGGCCTTGCCTCCTCCCCTTCCAGGCCCCGCCCCTCACCCCAGGCCCCGCCTCCTGCTTTGCTCCTCTCCCACAGGCCCTGCCCCTCTCCCCAAGCCCTTGCCTCTCCCATCCCAGGCTCCGCCCCTCCCCTCGCAGTCCCCGCCCTTTCTCCCCTCTTTCCTCCCAGGCCCCCCGCTCCTCTCCCTAGGCCCCGCCCCTTCTCCCCCTCTTCCCTCCCGGGTCCCGCCCCTCGCCCCAGGCCTTGCCTCGCTCCCCTCCCAGGCCCCTCCCGTCTCCCCCAGCCCCGCCTCTCCCATCCCAGGCCCCGCCCCTCGCCCTCCGCAGCTCCGCCCCTCTCCTCGCAGGCCCCGCCCTTTCTCCCCTCTCCTCCCGGGCCCTGCTCCTCTCCCCAGGCCTTGCCTCCTCCCCTCCCAGGCCCCGCCTCCTGCTTTGCTCCTCTCCCACAGGCCCCGCCCCTCTCCCCCAGCCCTCGCCTCTCCCATCCCAGGCTCCGCCCCTCTCCTCGAAGTCCCCGCCCTTTCTCCCCTCTTTCCTCCCGGCCCTGCTCCTCTCCCCAGGCCTTGCCTATCTCCCCTCCCAGGCCCCGCCCCTCTCCTCAGGCCCCGCCTCCTGGCTTCACTCGTCTCCCGCAGGCCCCGCCCCTCTTCCCAGCCCCGCCTCTCCCATCCCAGGCCCCGCCCCTCGCCCTCCGCGGCTCCGCCCCTCTCCTCGCAGGCCCCGCCCTTTCTCCCCTCTTTCCTCCCGGGCCCCGCTCCTCTCCCCAGGCCTTGCCTCCTCCCCTCCCAGGCCCCGCCCCTCTCCCCAGGCCCCGCCTCCTGCTTTGCTCCTCTCCCACAGGCCCCGCCCCTCTCCCCAGCCCTCGCGTCTCCCATCCCAGGCTCCGCCCCTCTCCTCGCAGTCCCCGCCCTTTCTCCCCTCTTTCCTCCCGGCCCCGCTCCTCTCCCCAGGCCTTGCCTCTCTCCCCTCCCAGGCCCCGCCCCTCTCCTCAGGCCCCGCCTCCTGGCTTCACTCGTCTCCCGCAGGCCCCGCCCCTCTCCCCAGCCCCGCCTCTCCCATCCCAGGCCCCGCCCCTCGCCCTCCGCGGCTCCGCCCCTCTCCTCGCGGGCCCCGCCCTTTCTCCCCCTCTTCCCTCCCGGGCCCCGCTCCTCTCCCTAGGCCCCGCCCTTTCTCCCCTCTTTCCTCCCGGGCCCCGCTCCTCTCCCCAGGCCTTGCCTCTCTCCCCTCCCAGGCCCCGCCCCTCTCCCCAGGCCCCGCCTCCTGCTTTGCTCCTCTCCCACAGGCCCCGCCCTTTCTCCCCTCTTTCCTCCCAGGCCCCGCTCCTCTCCCTAGGCCCCGCCCTTTCTCCCCTCTTTCCTCCCGGGTCCCGCTCCTCTCCCCAGGCCTTGCCTCTCTCGCCTCCCAGGCCCCGCCCCTCTCCTCAGGCCCCGCCTCCTGGCTTCACTCCTCTCCCGCAGGCCCCGCCCCTCTCCCCCGCCCCGCCTCTCCCATCCCAGGCTCCGCCCCTCTCCTCGCAGTCCCCACCCTTTCTCCCCTCTTTCCTCCCAGGCCCCGCTCCTCTCCCTAGGGCCCGCCCTTTCTCCCCTCTTTCCTCCCGGCCCCGCTCCTCTCCCCAGGCCTTGCCTCTCTCCCCTCCCAGGCCCCGCCCCTCTCCCCAGCCCCGCCTCTCCCATCCCAGGCCCCGCCCCTCGCCCTCCGCAGCTCCGCCCCTCTCCTCGCGAGCTCCGCCCCTCTCCTCGCGGGCCCCGCCCTTTCTCCCCCTCTTCCCTCCCGGGCCCCGCCCCGCAGCGCCCCTCGCCCCCCCTCTGCCTGCCCGCAGCAAGGACGACGTGGAGCGCTGCAAGCAGAAGGACCTGCTGGAGCAGATGATGGCCGAGATGATCGGCGAGTTCCCGGACCTGCACCGCACCATCGTGTCCGAGCGCGACGTGTACCTGACCTACATGCTGCGGCAGGCGGCCCGGCGCCTCGAGCTGCCGCGCGCCTCTGACGGTGACGGCCGGCGGGCGGGCGCCCCGGGGACCCCCCGCCCGCCGCCCGCTGACACTGCTCCCCCCACAGCCGAGCCCAGGAAGTGCGTCCCCTCCGTGGTGGTGGGCGTCGTGGGCATGGGCCACGTCCCGGGCATCGAGAAGAACTGGACCACCGAGCTCAACATCCAGGAGATCATGACGTGAGTGCGCGCGCGCGTGCCCGGCCGGGGCGGGGGGCGCGCCCGAGCCGGACCGGACCGGACCCAGCGCCCCTCCCTCCTCCCCAGCGTGCCCCCGCCGTCCGTCTCCGGCCGAGTGTCCCGCCTGGCCGCCAAGGCCGCCGTCCTGGGCCTGCTGGGCTACGGCCTGTACTGGAGCGGGCGCCGCGCCGCCGGCCTGCTGCTGTCGCTGCCCGCCGCCCAGTCCTGCCTGCAGCGGCTGTCCGAGGCCCGGCCGCACCAGTAGGCGCCGCGGAGCCCCCCGCTGACCCGCCGAGGACCACGACCACCACGAGCCGCCGCGGGGAGGGGGGCTCCCGGGCGCCGCCGCCCCCCCATGGGGGTCCAGGCCCGCCGCGCGCGCCCTCCCCACCCCCGCCCCAATAAAGAGTTATTTAACTGTCCCGAGCGCAGGCGTCCCCGGCGGGGCTGGCCAGCAGCTGGACCAGCGGGCGAGGAGGGCTGGCCGGCGGCCGAACCCCTACCTCACCGTGCCTTGGCGCCCGGCCGCGTGCTGGCCGAGGGCTGGCCGGAGGGACCCCGGCCCTCCTGCGGGGGGAACCTCGCGGGCCCCGGCCTGCCTGCCGAGGGGGTTCTGACTTGGGGGGGCGTTTGCGATTTTTATACTCAGGTAACTTTAACTTAAGCATCGGAGAGACTGCAGCAAGCGTCAGGACATATCAGCCTTAAATCTGGTTGGGACAGAGGTCACTTCTCCCCGGGGTCTCCGTGCGGGAAGGGGCGGCGCGCGGGCAGGCCGGCCCCAGACCCCGGTGGGGTGCGGGGGTGGCCGGGCACGGCCCTGGCCAGCGCGCGGTGCTCGGACGCGTCGGTCACGCCGTCCCTGCGGTTTCTGCAGCCTGCCAGCCCCGGGACGTTTGTGTTGAAACCAAATTCCAGCGCCGCCAGGCAGCCTTCGGCTCGCCCCTGTCGTCAGTCCACGTCTGTCTGGTCCTTAGAAACCGAAATAAAATCTAGTTTTGGAAGCGCCTGTTTTGTGCCGCGTGGCCAGCGGGGAACGACCCAGGAGGCAGAGGCCCCGGGGCCGGGGTGGGTGCCATGCGTGATCCCCGCGAGGACCCCCCAGGGGCTTGTGTGCCCGCCCTCATAGGAGCCTGGGGGGGCAGCAGGCTGATGCCGCCAGGGGGAAGGGGGTGTGTGGGGGCTGGCGGGGCCTCCCCGGGCCCCCAGAGCGCTGGAGCGGACGCGGGCAGGCGGGAGGGGCTGCGGGAAGAGGCTCCGCGGTACCCAGGGGGCCTCGCCGCATTGCGCCCTCCCTCGTGTGCGACATCTGTCTTCGTGGCGGCCCCGAGCCGGGTGGGGGAAGAAGGGAGCCTCGGGAGGACGCGCAGGCCGGGACGGAGAAGGGTGCGGGGCGGCCGCCTGGGCTGCAGTGCGGGGAGGGGGCGAGGGGCGGCGCGCGGGCTTGGAATCCCGGCGCCTGCAGGCCGCGCCTCGGGGTGCGAGGAGCACGGCGCGGGCCCCCGGACACGCCCGGGGTGGGGGGTCCCGGTGCGGAAGCGGCGGGCCGGCGGCCGGCCGCAGGGCTGTGGGTCGCCCCCACTCCGGAGGGACCCGGAGGAGACGGCAGCGCGCGCGGGGACCGGAGCCCGGACGCGGGGCGGGGCGGGGCGGGGCGGCGGCGCAGCCAATCGGCGCCCGAGTCCCGCGGGCGTGCCCCGCGCAGGCGCGCGCTCGCGCTCGCGATTGGCCGGCGGGCGCGGGGCGGGGCCTCCGCAGCGGCTTCCGGCCCGCCGCCCGCCGATGGCCGCTCTGAGGCTCGCGCTGGGCCGCGCCGCGCCGCTGTCCGCGCCGCTGTCCACCCCGCTGTCCGCGCCGCCGCCGTCCGCGCCGCGGGCCCGCGCCCGCTCGGGCCGCGCCGCCATGGAGCCGGCGCCGCGCTGGCTGGCGGGGCTGCGCTTCGACAACCTGGCGCTGCGCGCGCTGCCCGTGGAGCCGCCGCCCGCCGCGCCCGACGCGCCGCGGCCCGTGCCCGGCGCCTGCTTCGCGCGCGCGCGCCCCGCGCCCCTGCGGGCGCCCCGCGTCGTGGCCCTGGCGCGGCCCGCGCTGGCCCTGCTGGGGCTGCCGCCGCCGCCCGCCGCCGCGCTGGCCCAGGCCGAGGCCGAGGCCGCGCGCTTCTTCAGCGGCAACGCGCTGCTGCCGGGCGCCGAGCCCGCCGCGCACTGCTACTGCGGCCACCAGTTCGGCCAGTTCGCCGGGCAGCTGGGCGACGGCGCCGCCATGTACCTGGGCGAGGTGGTCACGGCGGCCGGCGCGCGCTGGGAGCTGCAGCTCAAGGGCGCGGGGCCCACGGCCTTCTCCAGGTGGGCGCCCGAGGCGAGCCCGCGCGCCCCGGGTGGGGGCCGGGGGAGGCCCGGGCAGGGCGCGCGCCGCGTGCCAGCCGCCGCCCGGGGTCGGCTGAGCGCAGCCCGTCCCGCCCTCCTCCTCCGTGGCCGGCCTGGGAGCCCTGGTGTCCCCCCCCACCACCACGCGCGGCGGCTCGTGCAGGGTGCCGCTGCGCCACGCCTGCCCGGTGGGCAGCAGTCACAGGGAGCGAGCCCTGGGCGCCGGGCACCTGCTGGGCTCAGCCGCGGGCCGAGGGCTCAGCGTGAGGGGGACGGCCACACCACCGCGGGCGTGCAGCACGTCGGGGCCGGAGGGCCATTTCTGAGCGGCCCAAGTGACCCCGGCCTGAGCCCGCAGGGCCTGGAGCGCGGTGCGCCCGCGGAGACGCGAGCCTGACACCTGCCTCCCCCCACCAGCACTTGGGAGCCCAGCCAGGCCCCGCGGCCAGTACCGAGGGCTGGGCGGCCTTGATAGGGCTGGAGCGGCGGCACAGATAAAAGGCCAGGCCCTGCCGCGCCCCAGTGGAACCTGCCCTGGGCTGTCCTGTTCAGCGCCAGGGAGGGAGGCCGGCACTGGCCACGGCACTGGCCACTGTTAAGCACCTGGAAGGTGGCATGGAGCCTGCCAACCGGCCGTCCTGCGGCCCAGGAAGGCGCACCAGAACTTGAAACTGAAGGAGCCCGTGTGCGAGCCCTCAGTCTCCAGCGGGAGCCCACTAGCATCTCTTGCACCCATGTGGGGTGGCACCTGGGGCCAAGCCAGAGAGTAGTGACAGGTGGGGGAGGGGGGCCCTGGTTCTTTGTCACCAAACACTGGCTTGAGTTGGGGACAGGGAAGAACCTTGCTGGCAGCAATGGGAGGCGCCAGGGCCAGGCTGTGCTGCTGGCCGCTGTGCTTGTGCTGTGGGGGAGGCCGTCGTCTACCTGGATCCCAGCAAACTCCTTTTGTTTTTTTTTTGTTCTTGGGCCACACCCGGCAATGCTCAGGGGTTACTCCTTTACACCCAGGAACCGTTCCTGGTGGTGTTCAGGGGATATTATGGGGTGCCAGGGATCGAACCCACGTCAGCCATGTGCAAGGCAAGCACCTCCCCGCTGTGCTATCACTCCCGTCCCAAACTCTTCTCTCAGACTCTTGATTGCTTCATGGGCTGCACTTCATCTTTTGAGGATTTGCGGGGAGTGGTTGGGTCACACCTGCTCCCCTGTGTTCGTTGTGGACACAGATGTGGTCGGTGGTGGTGCCTGCCGGGACAGGGCAGCAGTGTGGCCCAGGACCCCGGGAGGCACAGCACAGCATCGGCCTCATGCTGGCACACGTGGGACACCAGGGATTGAGTTGGTGACCATGGGCTCCCCAGTCGGGCACTCAGGGCCCCAATGGAGTTTAGTCTTTAGTCTCTTTTGTTTTTTGCTTTTTGGGTCACACCCGGCAATGCACAGGGGTTACTCCTGGCTCTGCACTCAGGAATTACTCCTGGCGGCACTCAGGGGACCTGTGGGATGCTGGGACTCGAACTCAGGTCGGCCGCGTGTTAGGCAAACGCCCTCCCCGCTGTGCTATTGCTCCAGCCCAGTCTTTAGTCTTTTTCGTTATTTTTGATCTTCGCGTGGAAGCTCTTCGGGAATAACTGGATAATGTCAGGAGCTAGGGCTCCCTGAACGAGGGGAGAGGCAGCAGAGGAAAGGCACCTCACTTGCACTGGCACAGTGAGCCGAGCAGGCCAGCCCCGGTGAGCGTAGCCTAGGGGGCGCCTCGGGACATGACGCCACGACCGTCTCCTTTCGTGAGGGAGTAGTTGGGGCTTGGACAGGTCCATAGATGCCTCCAACAGAAGCTGAGGCCGGGAGTAATGGGCAAAACGCAACCCAACATGGTCCAAGGCCAAGAGTACGAGGAAGAGAGTGGGCTGCGGAGCTCTTCTGGACCCCAGGAGCGGTCGAGTGTGACACGCGTGGAAGTTTGTCGGGAGATGACGCCAGCACCTGATGTGGCGCTGAGGAGGGGGGTTTGTCTCCAGGGCTGACTGCCCACCGCCCGCCCCAAGGCACACAGCTGCCTCCCACGGCTTCTCTGATTCTGACGGGCTGCTTCCAGGGGTTCACCTGAGTCACGGTGACGCTTCCGGAAAAGGCGGGCGGGCAGCGAAAGGGGCAGGGCGGACTGGGAGACCCCAAATCCCGCCCGACCGGTTCTGGCTGCCTGGGCTACTTAGGGCGTTGGGGTGGCCCCTCCTGTCCGGCCCTCCCGGGCCTGTTGGGCAAAGCCACAGCGCCTCCGTGTGAAAAGGCTGCGGTGGCCGTGGGCCTCTGCCGGCAACACAGCCGAGCCACAGGGGCGCGTGTGGCTCTGCGGGCTGGACCCTGCGTGTCCTCAGTGGTGCCCTGCAAAGGCCCAGAGCTGGAGCAGCCAGAACTGGATTGTGGCCTGGCGCCAGGCAGCACCCTGGGGAGCCCCTGTCCGGGCCCCCGTGGTGGCCGGCGTGCTGACCCCCACGTCTCACTCCAGACAGGCTGACGGGCGCAAGGTCCTGCGCTCAAGCATCCGTGAGTTCCTGTGCAGTGAGGCCATGTTCCACCTGGGCATCCCCACCACGCGGGCGGGTGCCTGCGTCACCTCGGAGTCCTCGGTCGTGCGCGACGTGTTCTATGATGGTAATCCCAAGTCTGAGAAATGCACGGTGGTGTTGCGTATAGCTCCCACTTTCCTCAGGTAACCGGGGCCCTTCTGCCCGCGTGTGTGGAGACAGTCAGGACCGGCCCCTGGCACGAAGGGGCGGGGGAGGAGCAGGGCCTGGCATTCGGGGGCCGATGTCACGTGTGCCAGGCCCTGCTGATGGTCCTGCAGGGAAGGGGAGGCCAGCGGGTGCCAGGCGTCCCCAGGGGCTGCCGCCCCTCCACCCGCCTGCACCCTGGCTGGTCCCAGTCAGGTGCCCCTGGCTGCGCAGGCAGCTCTGGGGATGGAGACCAGCCCTGTCGTGTAGGTTCCGGAACGAGATGGACTGTTGGGGGGCCGTGGCTTACCTGTGGGCCGCGGCTGGCCGTTGACCAGAATCCTGGTCTGGCTGCAGGTTCGGCTCCTTCGAGATTTTCAAGCCCACGGACGAGCTGACGGGGCGCGCGGGCCCCAGCGTGGGGAGGAACGACATCCGCGTGCAGATGCTAGACTACGTCATCGGCACGTTCTACCCCGAGATCCAGGCTGCACACGCGGCGGACACTGTGGAGAGGAACCTGGCCTTCTTCCGGGAGGTAGGGCTCGCCCGCGCCGCACAGCCCGCCTTCCGCATTGTCCCTCAGGAGTGCCGCTGTCCAGGCCTCAGCGCCTGGCCTGTGTCAGCCCCGTTCCAGTGTGGCTGGTGCACCCGGGGTGTGCGCTGTGGAACACGGGGAGGTGCCCGGGGCCCTCTGCAGCCCGGCAGGTGGCAGCCGTGTCCGTGTCCCAGGTGAGCCGGCGCACGGCCCGCATGGTGGCGGAGTGGCAGTGCGTGGGCTTCTGCCACGGCGTCCTCAACACCGACAACATGAGCATCGTGGGGCTCACCATCGACTACGGGCCCTTCGGCTTCATGGACCGGTGAGCAGGCCTGCAGGCCAGTTCCGGGGCCTGGGCGAGAGTCCAGCAGGGAGGACACAGCCTTGCACACGGCCGACCCGGATTGGTCCCAGTTCTGCCACAAGTGGGCCCTGAGCTCAGCCAGGCGTGGCACAGAGCAGTCGGCTCGGCCATCCTGAGGGAGGGCCCGCAGGGCTGGGGCAGGGCAGGGCAGTGCCCGTCTCTGCTGTGCGCAGGGGCCCGGGGGAGGCCAGTTCCCACGCGCGTCAGAGCACTCACCTTGCAGCTGCCACATGGTCCCCAGCCCGGCTTGGTGTGGCCCCAGAATCGGGGCCTGAGCCCAGGAGGCCATGAAGTCCCCCCCAGACCAGCCGCGGTCGCTCTTGCCCCATGCAGGTACGACCCTGAGCACGTGTGCAACGCCTCTGACGGTGGGGGGCGCTACGCGTACAGCAAGCAGCCCGAGGTGTGCCGCTGGAACCTGCAGAAGCTGGCCGAGGCCCTGGAGCCCGAGCTGCCCCTCGAGCTGGCCGAGGCCAGCCTGGATGAAGCCTTCGACGCCGAGTTCCAGAGACACTACCTGTGGAAGATGCGCCGCAAGCTGGGCCTCGTGAGCACGGAGCAGGACGACGACGGCGCACTGGTGGCCAGGCTCCTGGAGACCATGCACCTGACCGGTGAGCAGAGCCCTGCCGGCGCGGCCGGCACCTCTGGGACCTCACACGCCGTTCCCGCTCTGCTCGGCTTTTCCACTTTTTGGGTCACATCCTGCAGTGCTCAGGGGATGGGAGTTGGAGACGGGACCTGGTCGACTGCGTGCACGGTGCACGCCCTACCCAAGGAACAGGACTTGAGCCCTGCGCTCGGTTTTGATGAACCGTTTCTAGTTTACTGGTGTATCTGCAAGGTTGCTCGGAGACTTGGAGCCTTTCAGCCTTTTAGAAGGTCACCTGTTCCCACTTTCACTTGATTTTAGTTGCGTCAGACTTTTTTTTTTTGCTTTTTCGGACACACCCAGCCATGCTCAGGGGTTCCTCCTGGCTCTGCACTCGGGAATCACTCCTGGCGATGCTCGGGGGACCCTATGGGATGCTGGGAATCGAACCCAGGTTGGCCACATGCAAGGCAAACGCTCTACCCGCCAGTCTTTCAAAAAATATTTTTTAATTCTTTGTATGTTTTGGCCACACCTGACATGCTAGGGGCTTCCTTCTCGCTCTGCACTCAAGGAATCACACCTGAGTGGTACCAGGGATCAAACCCGGGTCAGCTGCATGCAAGGCAACCAGCCCCAAGTTTAATTTTTCTATGAAAATGGCTCCTTTCTCTACTGCTCTCCATTGCAGGTCTCTGTTTTTTTTAATGCCTCGTAATTGTCTTTTTATTTTGCTTTTTTTTGGGGGGGGGAGGTTACACCGGGCCAATGTTCAGGGGTTCCTCCTGGCCCTACACTCAGGATTTACTCCTGGCAGTGCTTGGGGGACCATATGGGATGCCAGGAATCGAATCCAGGTCAGCTGCCTGCGAGGCTGACACCCTACCCGATGTACTGCCACTCTGGCCCCTTTGTTCTTGTTTTGAACCTTTTTATTTTCCTTTCGTCTTTTTGAGTCACACCCAGAAATGCTCAGGGGTTACTCCTGGCGGGGCTTGGGGAACCATGTGGAATACCGGGGACTGAACCCAGGTCGGCCACGTGCAAGGCAAAGGCCCTACCTGCTGTGCCCCCGCTCTGGCCCCATTTTGGCCCTTTTTCATTGGACCTTTGACCCCATGCTGTTGTTGGGCTCAACACCCTCATTCCACCAGAAGTGGCGCTGTCCACACGCAGCTGGTAATTCTTGTCAGCTCTGGGGAACCCTTCAGTTTCAGACCTAAGTGTTCGGGGCTTCTCTTGCCATTTCCTCACAGGGAGGGGTCGGAGGAACGTAACCTTTCATTACTGATGCATTTCCCTGCTTTCTGTACAGTTCTGATTTCTAGCTTCATTCTGTTGTGGTTGGAAAAGAGCCACATTTCGTGGGGGGCCCTCCTGGGACAGAGCCCCAGACCCTGAAGGCAGACTCTGTGTGTGTGTGTGTGTGTGTGTGTGTGTGTGCGTGCCTGTGTCCTTCCTGCTTCCTGCCTTAGTCCTTGGGCCGCTCCACCGGGCTGCAGGCTATCCTGTCCCAAGTGTGGGCCTGTCCCGGGGGCCATCCCCCCGTCCAGCTGCCGGCTCTCTGCTGCAGGCGCCGACTTCACCAACACCTTCTCCCTGCTGCGCACCTTCCCCACGGACCCGGAGTCCCCAGACCTGGAGGAGTTCCTGGCCGCCCTGGCCGTGCAGTGTGCCACCCTGGACGAGCTCAAGATGGCCTTCCGGCCCCGCATGGACCCCCGGTGGGTGCCCGCCTGTCACTAGGGTCGGAGCCGCAGGGAAGGGCCACGCCAGCGACAGCCTGGGGGTGAGGGCAGCTTCCAGGCAGAGGTCGGGGCTGGGGACCGGGGCGCCGGGCATGGTGGTGACCCGTCTCCCGGTGCTCTGCAGGCAGCTCTCCATGATGCTGACCTTGGCACAGTCCAACCCGCAGCTGCTGGCGCTCATTGGCAGCAGCCGGGCGAGCCTGGCCAAGGAGCTGGAGCGCGTGGAGCAGCGGTCCAAGCTGGAGGAGCTGAGCCCCGCGGAGCTGCTGTGCGGGAACCGGGAGCGCTGGACCCAGTGGCTGGCCGAGTACAGGTACGTGCCGGCTCGGCCACCCCGCGGCAAGGTCTCTGCCCCCCGCGGCGACTGCAGTGGGGCCTGGATGTGATTGCAGAGTCCGGCTGGAGGCGGACAGGGCGGGCGCCAGTGACACCGACAGCTGGCGGGCCGAGCGCACGCGGGTCATGTGCGCCAGCAACCCCAAGTATGTGCTGCGGAACCACCTGGCCCAGAACGCCATCGAGGCCGCCGAGAAGGGGGACTTCTCCGAGGCAAGCGCACGCCCCTCGTGCCCCTCGCCCCTGGGCGGGCCCGAGTGGGGGGCCGGGGATGCCTACCCGCCTTGCTCTGCCCCCTCAGGTCCACCGGGTGCTGGAGCTGCTGGAGGCACCGTACCCCGGGGCGGAGGAGGCCGAGGAGGCCGAGGCCGTGGCCTCCTACAGCAGCAAGCCCCCGCTCTGGGCGGCAGAGCTCTGCGTGACGTGATCCTCGTAACTGCCTTGGCGGCCCCCGCGCCCCAAGGCCCCGCGCCCTGCCCAGGGTGCGAGAGGCGCCCCCGCCTCTCCATGACGGCAGAGACATCCAGTCAAGCCGACCTGCCTCTGTCTGACCGCGCCTGCGGCACGCGCCCCCCCACCCCCAATAAACCCGCAGCCTCCCAACCGGTGTCCGTGCGTCCCTCCAGCAGACAGGCAGACGGGGCGGGGGGCTCAGCCTTTATTGGCCCGCGCGCGCGTCCTGGTAGTAGTTGTTGAAGTTGATCCGCAGCAGGAAGTCCTCCAGGTGGGGCTGGTAGCCCCGGTTCACCAGCTTCGTCACCACTGCGGGGGGCACAGGTCAGTGGGTCAGCGGCTCGCTCGGCCCCCCTCCCCCGGCCCCCACGCCGCCACCGCCGCCGGGCGCTCACCTTTGAAGAGGAAGTGGGAGTAGTACTTGAAGGTGTTGTAGGACTGCTGCAGGAGCGCGAAGTTGGGGTGCTCGGGCCCCGGGCCCCAGGGCTGGGAGATGAGCTGGCTGCGGAACTTGAGGACCAGGCTGAAGAGGCTATGGATGATGTTCATGACGGGCGCCGCCTTCTCCGTGAGCAGGCCCCTGGGGAGGAGGCGCGGTGAGCGCTGGGCAGGGCAGGCCCGGGCCAGGGCCGGGTGGGTGGTCGGGGGCAGGGGCCGGCGCTCACCTGAACACGGCCTTGTGCAGGTACTCGGCGTGGGCGCGCTGCACCTCCTCCAGGTCGCGCACGGTGGCCAGCCGCGCCCGGAACTCGCACCAGGTGACGTGCAGGATCTGGTTGGCGATGTAGCCCTGGATGACCTTGACGAAGTGCTGCATCTCGTGCTTGAAGAGCTGCAGCTGGCGGAACTGCACCGAGCCGGCCACGTGGCTCAGCAGCGCTGCGGGGTGGGGGCGAGGGGGCGGGGTCAGCGCGGGGGCTGGGGGCGGGAGCGGGTCCAGGCACGGCCTCCCCGCGCGGCCCACCTGTGCGCTTGAGGTGGAAGCAGACGTCCTTGAGGGTCCACATCATGAGCTTCAGCTGCAGCAGGAAGGAGAAGATGCCGCTGTACCGGCCCAGGCAGCTCTCGGTCACCACGAGGTTGAGGGGCCAGTCCACCTGCAGGGGCCAGCGGTCAGCGCGGGGCCCGCGCGCCCCCTGCGCGCCGCCCGGGAGCCCTGCTGACCTTGTACCTGAGCTCCAGGCAGCTCAGCACGTCGGGCGCGTTGGGCGCGAAGGCTTCGGGCAGGAACTTGAGGGCGAAGGAGAGGTTGTGCGCGAGCGGGCCGTGGCCGTGCAGGCTGAACTGCAGCGCCTTGCTCAGCAGCGCGTTGAGCACCAGCGGGGTGAGCAGCTCCCCCGGCGTCTGGCCCGCCCCGAGCTGTGGAGAGGCGGCGCTGCGTCAGCCGGCCCACCCCGCCCCGGCCTGCCCGCCCGCCCGCCCGCCCAGGTGCTCGCCTTCTCGAAGAGCAGGTCGCTGAGGGACTGGGCGAACTCCCCGTCCTCCATCAGCAGGAAGTGCCGCAGCGCCTCCAGGTGCGCCTCCAGGTGCAGCTCCACGAAGAAGTAGTCCACCACGGCCTTGTTCACCAGGGAGATGCTGGGGGGAGGGACGGGGTCAGCGAGCAGGCCAGCAAGGCCACGGGGGGCAGTGTCCGGGCCGGGGCGGGGCGGGACACTCACTGGGCGGCCAGCGGGGCGGTGAGCGAGTGCTTCATGAGCACGGGCAGGGGCAGCAGCTCGCTCAGCTGCACGGCGGGCTCGGCGGCGGGCTGCTCCCGGGGGCCGTCCGCAGGGGCGCAGGCTCGCGGCAGGCCGTGGTGCAGGAGGCGGGCCACCGGGGGCTCAGCTGCAGGCGACAGGCCATAGGCATGGGGGCCGCCCAGCGGCTCCCGTCCCCACCCCCGGCACAGGGCCACTCACACATGGCGGTGAAGCTGTCCGGGTACTGCTCCAGGCGGTACTGGCCCGCCAGGCCCTCGATGTAGGCCTGCTCCCTGCGCTGGGCTGCGGCTGCAGCCTCGGCCTCCTCCTCGTCCTGGTCCTCCTGCCGCCACTGCTGACCCAGGCCAGGGCTGCTCTGGGCAGCTGCTCCTCCCTAGGAGAGCCCAGCCTCAGGCACCCGCCCTGCTGCCCCTTGCCCCTGTGGGGGCTCCCAGGCTGCCCATCCTGCTCTCACCTGAGAGCCGGGAGGCCTTCCTGGGGCGGGGTCCTCGGCGTCCCCGGTCTTCCCTGGAGAACAAAAAGGGGGTCATCGGGACACCAGTCCCCAACCTCCCCAGCCCTCCCCCCTGGACCCACTGCCAGGACAGCTCCGGGCTACTGACCAGCATCCTTGGGGACACTGTCTCCCAGGACACCCGGCTGGGCCTCTGGGCCAGCCTCCTCCCTGCAGCCCGTGTCTGAGCCAGCAGCCTGCACCCAGGGGCTGTCTGCAGGGGCCTGTGCTCCCAGGTCAGAGTGCTGTGCTCCCGGGTCTGCGTGCTGTGTTCCCAAGTCAGAGACTGGTGCTCCCAGGTCAGGGTGTTGTGCTCCCAAGTCAGAGGTTGGTGCTCCCAGATCACAGCTGAGTGCTCCCAGGTCAGAATGCTGTGCTCCCAAGTCAGAGACTGGTGCTCCCAGATCACAGCTCAGTTCTCCCAGGTCAGAATGCTGTGCTCCCAAGTCAGAGGCTGGTGCTCCCGGGTCAGGGTGCGCTGCTCCCAAGTCAGAAATCGGTGTTCCCGGGTCAGAGCTCGGTGGTCCCAGGCCGTGGGACTCCCCCTCACAGGGGCTCCCATGTGGTGCTGGCCTCTCAGGCTGGACTTCCTGGGTGAGCACCCCAAGGCTTATCTGGGACTGAGACACGTGTCCATGCACGTTCCACCGGGGCCGGGAGGGGGCCACGTCCCACACGAACTCCCCGACTTTGATGTTGGCATCAGACACGTGTCCGTGCACGTTCCAGCGAGGCCGGGAGGGGGCGCTCCCAGCAGCCTCACCCTGCTTGACGTCACCACCCTCCAGCGTGTTTCCCAGGGGCTCCTCCGCGGCCCTGCTCTGCTGCTGGTCACACTGAGCCGCCTGCCCCTCAGGGCCACGCCCACCCTGCTCCCCTGCACGGCATAGGCTGCCTCCAGCGGTCTCGAAGGGCCCCGGGGAAGCCGGGGTGGCCAAGCTGGGCCTCAGGATGGTTCTGAAATCGTAGTCTGGTGTCCCCGCGGGGGAGAGGGGCAGGTCTGAGCCAATAGTCTGCAGTGCCTCCTCGAGGACGGGGGTCCGGGCTGTGCAGGGAGGCTGCTCGGGGTGCCCAAGCGGGGGCAGAAAGTCGCCAATGCTGAGGTCCTCAGAGAACGGCCCTGGCACTGCCCCGGGCCCTGGGCTGCAGGTCTCTCCTGAGGCCGGCTCGAGGGCCACTGGGGAGGGCCCGCGGGGGCCGTCTGAGGCAGCCTCGGGATGCTGCGCTGCCTGCTCAGAGCCGGGACTGCCGTCTGGAGGGTCAGCCTGCAACACAAAGAAATGCTCACCGAAAGCCCTCGGGGGCTGTGGGACCCCCAGCTGCTGCAGGGCTCCCCGTGCTCACCTGCGGCTCTGCAGGGAGCGGCGTCAGTGCAGGGGGCTCCTTCCCCTCTGCTCGGTCCTTCAGCATCCCCTGGAATTCCAAGCGGCTGAGTGACGAAACAGCCACGCCAGGCCAGGGGCATCAGGGGCCCCGCTGCACAGCCCCCAGCCTGGGCCCCCTGACTCCTGGAAGCGGCCCCGCCAGCGCGACCCGCCATCAGTTCTCACAACCCAGGAATCCCATCCCCCTTCCCAGCCGAGCAGTTTCTGGGGAGAGACACCCCAAAGCCCAGCGGCCACCCTGGCGAGACCTGAAGGAGCTTCTCATCTTCTGAAAGGAACTGCAGCCGAGCACTGGCCAGCCGGTGCCTCTGGACGCGCCACAGGGCCCTCTGCTCGCGGCGAGCGGCCTCCCCCGACAGCCGGCTGTAGTGCTCCACCAGCGCCTGCCTGGACCACACGGGGCTCAGGGCAGGCTCTGGGCCCTGGGCACCCGAGACCGGCCGGGTGGATTCCTGGGTGAAGCCTGACCGAGTGGGCCCCGGGTCACGGAGGCCTCTTCTGTGAGGGTGAAGCCGGGCACGGGGAGGAGAGCCCACAGGGAGGAGAGCTCACCGCGACACCCAGGGCCTGGCCCAACCTGGCACCCTGGCCATCCCGGTGTGGAGGGGAGAACGAGAGCAGGAAATGGAAGTGTGGAGCAGAGGACGGGGACCCCCAGCTGGCTCAGCAGAGCGGCCGCCTGGCTGGTGGGAGCCCGAGGGTCTGACTCACAGCACGGCCCAAGGGGACCCTTTCGTGGGACCTCAGAAGAGACTCAGACACAGATGAAGACGGGCAGCAGGGAAGGGCCGGGCAGGCAGGGACCCCCAACACCCCACCTCCAGCCGTGAGCACGGGGGCGGGGGGAGGAGGCAGCCCCACCAGGTCGGGCGCTCACCGGGCTGTTCTCTCCAGCTGCTCCTCCAGGGCCCGCAGGCGCTTCTCACGGTCTCGGAGTTCGCGGGCATAGCTGAAGTCGTCGTCCAGCTCTTCCTGCCGGGCCGCCCGCCGCCGCTGCACAGCACAGACCCACCTGCTTGCCGGGGACCCCACTGCCCCCACGGCCCCCAGGACTTCCACCTCCGGGGCCCCCCTGCCCCCCGGGCCCCCTCCTGGGACCCCCACCTCTTGGTCCTTCACAAACTGCTCCTTCAGCTTCTGAAACTGTTCCCGCTTGCGGGCATCCAAGGCCATGCGCTCAGACATCTGCCGATCTGCAAGAAGATGGAGGGGGGTGGGTGGGTGCATGACGAGCCCCCAGGAGCGGCCCAGAGCCAGGGAGGGGACCCACTCCTCACCACTGAGCTCACGCAGCACCCTGGACGCGGCTTCCCACGCGTGGACGATCAGCTCTTGTTTTGCAATCTCCATTCTCAGCTCCTGAAAGAGACTCGGTCACCAGGCACCCCCCACCCCGGGACCCTGGGGGCCCGACCAGACGCACCTCAGCAGTCCCCTCGCTCCCTACACGGGCCTGGGAGGGGCGTCCCCACCGCGGCCCCCGGGGGCCAGGGCCTGCACACCTTCTGCTCCTTACTGACGGAGCTGTGGCGGGCCACGCGCTCCATGCGGCCCACGTAGAGGGCGCAGGCCTTCTGCAGCTCCCTCAGCTCCTCCAGCGAGAACAGCACCGAGATCCGCGGCACCGGCACCTCTGACCAGCACAGGTAGTGCTGCGGGGGGTGGGGAGGGGGAGGCGGCTCAGCACGGCAGGGCTCAGCTCCCCGCCCCGCCCCCCTCGGCCCCCCCTGCCCCCGCGTACCCGAGGGCAGCAGAGCTTGAGCAGGTTGATGGTCTTCCCGCACAGGTACACGTCGTGGGCGATGTCCTTCAGGAACACGGGGACGCAGTCCTCCACCTCCTTGGAGATGAGCACGTAGCCGTGGGTCCAGTAAAACTTGTCTGCGCGGGGACAGGACAACCCGCTGGCCGCTGTCGCTCCCGGGCGGCGGAGGCCCCCCACAGCGGCACCTACCTCGGAAGCCCAAGTAGTCGTGGTTCACCTGGATCATGAACTCGCCGTACGCGTCCCTGAAGACCCCGCTGTACACCCAGTCGTGGATGAACCTGAGGGGGCACGGCGGCGGTCAGGGGCCTGCCCGGCTCCCCCGCAGGCCCCCACCCGGCCCCGCCACACACCGCGTGTAGGGCTCGCAGCTGGCCTTCAGCAGGGACAGCAGCACCGGGTAGTGCTCGTTGCTGCAGTTGTCCAAGGCCTCCTGGTACAGGTAGGACAGCAGCTTCACGCCCTGGAGGCAGGGTGGGCTTCAGGGCGGCAGCGCCGACCACAGGCAGGGATGCCCCCACCCCCAAACTCTGCAGCGCCCCTCGGCCGGAACCCGCACTCCAAAACTCACGGTGGGGAACGGGACCCTGGGCTCGCCTCCACCAGCACCCGGGGACACGGTGCCAACCCCGCAGAGCTCGGCCAGGTACCTGGGCACACAGCGGGCAGAGCGCAGCACTCAGCGGGCAGGCCCTCCCCGCCCCCGGAGCCACAGCAGAATCGGGGGCTCCCGCCGTCCGCCGCGAGATCCCTGCCCCCGGCACGCACCTGAGCTGCCGGCCAAGCTTCTTGAAGAGGAAGCCGATGGTCAGGAGGCTCAGGGTGGGCGGGGTGGCCAGCACGCAGGCCCGGTAGTACTGCAGGTACCTCCGCAGGCCACTGGTGAAGGCCTGTGGGCAGGAAGCAGGGCAGCGGGGCCGGCTCAGCCCGTCCAGGTGGCCAGGCTCCAGCCCAGATCTGGACTGAACGACCATCCACGGCACCAGGCAGCATGGCCCCAGCCAGGCTCACGCCTCGACAGACTGGCCTGCACTGAACATTCCGGAACCTGTTGGCTGACCCCCAGACTGCTGCTGCCCCGTGTACCTCGACCGACTGACAGGCATTCCTGCCTCCTCAACTTCTGTCCACCCTCCTGTACGCTGCACTGTCCCTCCCGACTGTCCACCACCTGACTAGTCAAGCCAGAGACCTGTTAATGGGCAGGCACTGGGGCCAGCCACGCTCCTCCCGCCCCACCCCCATGAAGCCCCCCCACTCACCCCCAGGACTCTCTCTGAGGGCCAGGAGCCCAGGGCCGTACCTGGAAGACAAGGCCCCGGCTGCAGGTGCCCTGCGCGGGCTGCACCGAGAAGTGGCTGAGACGCATGTAGTGGGTCCCGCAGGCGGCCACCTCCGACAGGAGGCTGCTGACGCTCTCCGGGGACGCTCCCGAGACGTGGGTGCCCCGCGTCACCACGAAGGCCTGCGTCAGCTGAAGAGGGAGGGCACCATGAGCCAGCCCCCATCCATGGCACCGCCCAGAACATCCCCACAGTGGGCGGCCCACGCTGAGACAGCCTGGGACTGTCCCAACCACGGGAACAAGGGCCAAGGATTCCCCCGAGGACCGGAGCAACAGCACCGAGAGCAGGGCGCCTGCTTGGCACACAACCAACCTGGACGGGACTCCCTGCACCACACACGGTCCCTGATCCCCTCCAGGAGTGGTCCTCGAGCACCACCAGGTGTGGTCCCCCCAGGGCCCTCCACCAAAGAACCATCCCTTCAAAAATTATCTGCAAGTGGGGCCAAAGCGGATATATCCAGACGTTTGCCTTGCACGAAGCCAACCTGGGCTTTAATCCCCAGCAAACTGTATGGTCCAAGCCCTGAGCAGAAGCCAAAAAAAAAAAAAAAGAAAAAAAAATATATCTATGATATCTATGTATATATATACACCTATCACATATCGATTTGCTCGAGCGGGCCCAGTAACGTCTCCATTGGAGACTTTGTTGTTACTGTGTCTGGCATATCGAATACTCTCGGTAGCTTGCCGGGCTCTCCGAGAGGGGCGGAGGAATCGAACTCGGGTCGGCCATGTTGGCCGCTTGTAAGGCGAACGCCCTACCCGCTGTGCTATCGCTCCAGGGCAGCTAGTGATCGTTGGTCCTGCTCACTAAGACTTTATAGAATTCTGCGTCAGGTTTTGTAAGAGCATGGCTCTGCGCGTCTTTTGGGGGGAGGGGCGGTGGGTCACCAAGCCTGTTTTGTCTCCCGTAAGCAGCAAAAATTGGCTTTGGTTTTCTGATGCATCCTGCCACCCAGGACCTGCACCGGACTCAGAGAGGACCCACAGGGACATCACCAGGCGCCCGTGACAGCACTGGGCTGTCCCCACAGCCTCACACACGTCCCTGCCGGCACAGAACAGACCAGGGGCTGGAGCAAGCGCAAAGCAGGGAGGGCCCCTGCCTTGCTCACAGCCAACCAACTCCAATCCCTGGCATTCCATACGGTGTCAAAAGCTCTGCCAGGAGTGAATCCTGAGCACGGAGCCTGGCATAAGCACCACTGTGCAGGGAGGGCGGGAGGGCAGCCTGACGAAAGGACAAACTCCTGGAAGTAAATCAGATACTCCAGAGGAGACACAAGGTCCCACACGCAGAGGAAACGCGCACTCCAACACTCCCGAGAAAGAGGAGGTGGTGCAGGCCTCCCTCGGCCTCATGCCTGGGCAGCTGCCGGGTACAGCTCCGGCTCATCAGAGGCCCAGGAAGCTCCTGGAGAAGACTGTGGGTTCCAGCCCACCAGCCAGCAGAGTCCTTCAACCCCACACCTCGGCCCCCGCTGCTGCTGAGGGGAACCGGCCCCGCAGTCGGAGGGTCTGTCTACAGCAGCACCACGGCAGGGCTGGCCAGCTGGCCTGGCAGTGCTTGGGCCATCAGCACCGCCCGTGGCAGCGCTCAGGGGGCACCCACTCTCAGCCCCACTGTGTCCCAGGCCCACTGCATACCCCCTCCACAGTGGGTCCCTTCCACAGGACGCCCCCTCACCCACCAAGCCGGTCATGACCCTGAGCGCCCAGTGGGGCTTGTAGAAGTGCAGTCACAAGAGGAGAGAGAGGTGCAGCATACCACCCCACAGAACCAGTCTACTGCACCACACATATCACACAGAACCCTGCGCACAGCACCACAGACCACACACAACCCTAATGCACACAGCATTAGACTACAGCACCGTACACACACCACACAGAACCCCCTGCACACAGACCACACAGAACCTGCAAACCGCACAGCACAACGCTGGCCAAGCCTGGACAGGACAATCACAAGCCAGCCGCCCCGGTGTGGCGCCCTCCTTACCTGGCAGAGAGAGAAGGTGGCCGACAGCACCCCGATGAGGACGTTGAGCACGTCCTTCACCAGCTCGCACTCCCTCACCAGCACGGGCGGCAGCGTGTCCAGCAGGCCTCCCCCCAGGACCTGGAGCTCTTCGTGGTGTAGTCGGCGGAAGTGGTCAAAGGCATCCCTCCCCGCCTCCGTGAGGTAGGGATCCTCACCGTGTCCAGGGGGGCTGCGGAGACAGGAGGCCGCGGTGAGCAGAGAGCACAAGGGCAGGCGGGACCACCACCGCCTGCCGTGAGCTGCGAGGACGGGCCCGGCTACCCATGAGGAGGCAGCAGCGGCCATGGTCCCCGCACACCCCCCCCCAGGCTGGATGCCACTCACAGACCAGTTCACCTCAGTGACCACAAACTGCAGCCCAGGTTCTCCCGGGACACAACATGACCCACACACAAGCACATGCAAAGAATCAGGGATCAAGCAGGAGCTCTTTATGCTGAGGGCACCGTAGGCCAGAGCACCTCTCGGGTGACCTCAGAAAGAACAAGGGGAGCACTTCTGTCCGAGCTGCGGGGGGGGGCTCGACTGCTCCAGCAAAGAACCCAGACCAGCAAGAGACCCACTCGCAGGGAGAAAGCATGTGGGGCACTGGCTGGGGTGGGACGGGGCCAGACCCACCCTGGGAAGGGGTCTGAAGGCAGGAGTGAGTGGAGTAACCAGACGCTGCTGAGCTAGCTCAGAGCAGAGAAGGGCCTCCCACACGCTCACACCACATGGAAGGGCACAAAGGAAGGGCAGAGAGAAAGCCCTCGCTGATCTGCAGGGCGGAACCGGCAGGCCCGGAGCACATGCCCAGCACAGGGCCACCGGGCACCCCCGTCACTCAAAAGCAGAAAGACACAGGGTCAGGTTTTGGTTACTCCCTTGAAAATCCATCAATGCTAGTGAAAATTACCAATGACCCAAATTCTGAAATGCACAGGAAGGGGCCAGGGAGCCCAGCAGACAGAGCGAGGATGGTGCAGGCACGAGCCCAGGCCCAATCCCCAGCACCACACGGTCCCCTGAGCACTGCTGCCTCAGGCTTGGAAGCCACGGTGGGCTGGGTCAGACCCCTGTCGCGTTACAATGTCTACAGCTGGGAACTACAAAGGGCTCTTGTCAGCAATGCGTGTGGCTGACCCGTGTTCCATCCCCCGCATCCCCTACGGTCCCACAAGCACAGCCAGGAGTGACCCCAAGAGAACAGCACCAGGAGTAAGCCCTGAGCACCGCCAGGTATGGCCCACAGACCAAAACAACCAAAACCAAAAAAAGGTTTTATCTGCGAGATATGTCACTAAGATATGTCCCTAATATGTCCTTTGGGTTGCTCACCCCAAGAATCAGGGCTGCTATGGGGTGGGCGGAGAAGACAGGTGCTGGTCAGGTGCCGGAAAGGGCAAGCGGTGGGAACACTGGCACCCGGTTCTGGTTCTGAGACACGGGGTCTCTTGCTGGACGTTACCTTCCCTTTCTGGCCCGGGACGCCCGGGGCCACCTACCAGCCGATCCGCTCCCAGCACCGGCGCCTGCTGGGCTTGTAGGTGAGCGCAGCGTCCCACAGGTCCAGGTCTGGGGTCAGGCCCAGCTCAGACTGGGAGTCCGGGGTCAGGTTGGAGGCAGACTGGAAGCCCTCATCTTCCGACTGGTCCACGCTGCACGGAACCTGGAGGGCACAGCAGAGAAGCTGCCCTGGGTCTCGGCCACAGACCCAGGAAAGGGACAAACATGGTCCACCAAGCCGCCAGCCTGACAGGCCACTCAACCAGTACAAGGACACTTCTCACAAGCTGCTCTGAATCCAGAAGTCCGTTATTTGGAAACCAACACGCAAGCAAAGGTCATACCAGATGCAAAACCTGTCCCCTGCACCAAGTTCCTCCCTACGGCAAGAAACCGTCCGTGAAATCAGAGTCCCCCAAAGCTAATGGGCCACTGCCTCTTTTTCACAAATCGCTCACATTCCCCCTTGGCAATCTACTTTTTGTTTTCTGGGGTTTTCTTTCTTTGGGGGTTTTAGGCCACACCCATCTGCTGGGGTGATAGCTGTGCGGTAGGGCGTGTGCCTTGGCACAGCCAACCGAGCGGAGCCGGGTTGATTCCTCTGCCCCTCTGGGAGAGCTGGCAAGCTACTGAGAGTATCTCGCTGTAGGGCAAAGCCTGGGAAACTATGTAGTGATGTACTGATAAGTCAAACACAGTAACAACTGTCACAATGGAGACGTTACTGGGACGGCCCACTCAAGCAAATCGATGAACAGCGGGAGGACAGTGACAGGCCACACCCATCATTGCTGGGGGGACCTTACGTGGTGCTGGGGATTGAACCGGGGAGCAGCCAGGTGCAGGGCAGGCTCCCTATCCCCGTACTATATCCCTGCGCTCCGGAGCTCGGGTCCCTCCCGTGGAAATCTGCCTTCTGGAAGCAAAGGTAGCCCCTCCCCATGCAAGGGGGGCAGCTCAAAGGCTTGCTGAGGCACGCCAGAGGGGGCTCCCGTGCCCCCCAGAGACACGCAAGCAAGAACACCGCGGCGGGGCGGGGCCGTGGGCGTGGCCGTGGGCGGCGGGCGCTACCTTGATCGCCAGCCCCGCGAGGTCGGCGCCGTCGGGCACCGGGGGCAGGTCCAGCCGGACGTCCACGTCCCACGCGCGGCTGTGCGCCAGGGCGCCGAACAGGGCGCCGCGGGGGTCCCGCTCGAGGCGGCCGGCGCCGGAGAAGCGGCCGCACGCGGCCAGCCCGCTGCCCGGGGCCGCGTCCAGGGCGCGCAGCGAGGCGCGGGCCCAGTCCCGGGCGCGCTGCTCGTCGCGGGCCAGCGCGGCGCGCACGTCCCGCTCGCGCTCGCTCAGCCCCGCGCAGTCGTAGCCGCCGTGCGGCGCCGCCCGGCCCGGCCGCCCGTCGCCGGCCAGGGGGTCGCGCCGGGGCCAGGGCGCGCGCGGGGGGCCGCTGCCCGCCAGCAGCACCAGCAGCTCCAGCGCCGCGGCGCGCTCGGCCGGCGCGGGCGCCGCCTCCAGCGCCGCCAGCAGCTGCTCCAGCCGCTCGGCCTCGCGGCGCAGCCCCGCCACGCGCAGCTCGAACGACAGCAGCAGCGCGCGGCTCCGCGCCGGCACCCGCGGCCGCCCGCCCGCGCGCGCGCCCCGGCCCGGGCCCTGCAGCAGCGGCGCCAGCAGCGCCTCGAAGGCCGCGCGCCGCAGGCCGCGCGCGCCCGTCCGCGCGCCCCCGGCCCGCGCCACGGCCTCGCACAGCTCGTCCAGCAGCTGCGGGACGCTGGCCATGCCGCCCGCGCCGCGCCCCGGCCGGACGCCGCGTCCGAAAGGCCCGCGGCCGCCTGAGCCCGCCGCCGCCGCCGCCGCGTCACAGGCGCGCGCCGGGCGCGCCGGAAGGGCGTCACCGGCGGAGGAGGGCGGGCGGGGGACGGGGCGGAGCCGGGAGGGAGGAACGCCATTGGCGGCTGGGGAAGGGGGCGGAGCCCGAGGGGCGGCAGGAGGGCGGGGCTCCGCCGGCGACCGGGGTAGGGGGCGGAGCCCCGGCGGAAGAGAGGGACCCCATTGGCGGCCGGGGGAGGGGGCGGAGCCCAGGCGGGAGGGAGGGGCCCCGTTGACGGCCAGGGAAAGAGGGCGGAGCCCAGGCGGGAGAGAGGACCCCATTGGTGGCCAGGTAAGGGGGCGGATCCCAGGAGGGCGGGGCTCCACTGGCGACAGGGGGGAAAGGGGCGGAGCCCAGGCGGAAGAGAGGGATCCCATTAGCGGGGCCGGAGAAGGGGGCGGATCCCGGGAGGGCGGCAGGAGGGCAGGGCTCCACTGGCGACGGGGGGGGGGGGAAGGGGGCGGAGCCCAGGCGGAAGAGAGGACCCCATTGGCGGCCGGGTAAGGGGGCGGATCCCAGGAGGGCGGGGCTCCACTGGCGACAGGGGAAGGGGGCGGAGCCCAGGCGGAAGAGAGGGACCCCCACTGGCGGCCGGGTAAGGGGGCGGATCCCAGGAGGGCGGGGCTCCACTGGCGACAGGGGGGAAGGGGGCGGAGCCCAGGCGGAAGAGAGGACCCCATTGGCGGCCGGGTAAGGGGCGAATCCCAGGAAGGCGGGGCTCCACTGGCGACAGGGGGGAAGGGGGCGGAACCCAGGCGGGAGAGCGGGACCCCCATTGGCGGCTGGGGAAGGGGGCGGAGCCCGAGGGGGCGGCAGGAGCCCCGTTGACGGCCAGGGAAAGAGGGGCGGAGGACCCCATTGGTGGCCAGGTAAGGGGGCGGATCCCAGGAGGGCGGGGCTCCACTGGCGACAGGGGGGGAAAGGGGCGGAGCCCAGGCGGAAGAGAGGGATCCCATTAGCGGGGCCGGAGAAGGGGGCGGATCCCGGGAGGGCGGCAGGAGGGCAGGGCTCCACTGGCGCCGGGGGTGGGGTGGGGAGGGTGGGGGGGGAGGGGGCGGAGCCCAGGCGGAAGAGAGGACCCCGTTGGCGGCCGGGTAAGGGGGCGAATCCCAGGAAGGCGGGGCTCCACTGGCGACAGGGGGAAGGGGGCGGAACCCAGGCGGGAGAGAGGGACCCCCATTGGCGGCTGGGGAAGGGGACGGAGCCCAGGCGGAAGGGAGGGGCCCCGTTGGCGGCCTGAGAAAGGGGGCGGGGCCCTATTGATGGCTGTGGAGAGGGGTGGAACCTTGGGGGGGGGTGGAAGAAGGGGGGCGGAGCTCAGGCGAGAGGACGGGGCCCCATTGGTGGCTGAGGAAGGGGGCGGATCCGGGGAGGGTGGTATGAGGGCGGGGCTCCGCTGTAGACGGCGGGGGGGGGGGGAGGGGGCGGAGCCCAGGGATGGAGGGAGGAACCCCATTGGCGGCTGTGGAAGGGGTCGGATCTGGAGAGGAAGGGTGGGGCCCCATTGCCGGCCGCGGAGTGGGGCGGAGCCCGGGAGGGAAGCGGGAGGGCGAGACCCCATAGGTGGCAGGGAAAGGGGACGGACCCCACTGGCTTTGCGGCTTCCCTGGGCGAGAGGGGAAACTGAGGCCAGAAGCAGGTCCAATAAAGGACGAGGGGTCGGGCTTTAGCGTAGCAGAGTTTACTGATGGCGAGCAGGGAGCAAGGCCGGACTTCCCTTCAGGGAAGTGTCTGGGAGTTCCAGGTAGCTGCCTGAACAGATAGATGCCTTGGGTAAGCAGGACGATGCCCCAGCAGCCTTGTGCTGGAGATGGCTGCACCACAGGCTCCTGCCTCCAAGGGGTGTGGCGACTCCCGCTGGGCCCATTTCAAGTGCTCACGGCACTCTGGGAGGAGCTGGGAAGAGACACCAGACCTGGCTGGCACTGCTAGGAGCTAGCCCAGGGAAGTTCCCCTTTCCAGGGCCCCGGCTGACCTTCCCTCCCTGTCCAGCCTAAGCCGTGTCTGCTGTCTCACCCGCCACCTGCAGCATCTTCCACTGTGGCTCCAGCTGCCGTCTCAGGCAGGCCAGGGCCTGCGTGTCTTCTGGCGAGGCCGCTGAGAAAGGTCCCAGGCTGGGGGGTGAGTCCCCACGCAGCACCCGGGCCAGCACCCCTGCCAGCTGGGCTGTGGATTCCTGGGCCAGGGCCAAGTCAGAAGCAGTGAGCCTCAGCCTTGTCCACCTCCCACTCCACAGCATATGTACCCGGCTTCCCGCCCGGCTCACCTCTTCCACCAGGACCACGACTCTGCCCCCCACGGGCGCCCGCAGCAGCGCAGTGAGGAGAGCAGCTTGCGGGGCCTTCAGGCTGTGAGCCGGCCCCAGCACCACCAACACCAGGTCAGGCTGGAAACTATAGGCCAGTGGCAGCACCAGGGCCAAGAGGCAGCTCAGGAACCCACCAGTCGTCTGAGGAAGGACCACAGTTATCACCTCCACCACACAAGGAGCACCCTCCAACCTAACGTGGGCAGCCACACCCACGTGCCATGAGGAAGCAGGAAGGGCGTGCCTGGTCCCGGGGTGGCGCCACAAGCCATCACTCACCCCTGGCAGCGGCGTGGAGATGTGAAACAGGGAGAGAGCGGATGCCTCCTCGGCCCCAATGTGCAGCCACAGCGCCCTCCTTCCGGGGACAAGCATACAACAGGGGGTGTGAGCAGCACCCCTGCACCGCCAGGCACGGAAGGGCAAGGGTGTGGGTATGGCTGGACGGAGGTTCCATGGCAAGACCCTCAGGGGCTCCTCTGCAGAAGACACCCCCAGCCCCGCACACCCCCGGGACCAACCCACAGGCAGGACTGGATAGGCCCCTGGGCCAAGGGTCCTACCTGTCATCAGCAAGGTCCAGGGACCAATCCAGCTGTCCCCCAGTCACACAGAGTAGCCTGGAGGGAGAGTCAAGTCCTGACACTCCCCACTATCTGGAGTCCATCCCCAGAGCCTCTCACGGTGGCCAGGGCAGGCCCTGAGCCTGTGGCTCCTGACTTTGAAGGCTGGCTGGGTGTGGCTCACCTCTGGGCTCCATGGGCCAGACCGCGCCGGACGGCGACATCCAGGGTGGCAGCCACTGCAGAGCTCGGGATGGCTGCGAGGCCACTGCTGACCTGTGGGGAGAACAGCACTGGGGGTGACTAGACCACCCCCCTGCCCTGGGGGTCTACAACTCTGTCCCCAGCACTGCCTGGCTTCACACAGCAGCTCACTCCCCTTCCTTCCTTTACGCAGTTCCTGAGCTTTCATGCACGGTCCTGGCTCTGGGCCTCTGCGGAGCGGGTGGGACCCCTGACCACCGCCCACAACACCCAGTTTGTATCATCCCCTTCCCTCTGCCAGTGACTTGCTCAGGAGGGCCCCTCCAGAGGCCACTCTGCGAAGGATCCCGGCCATGGGCAATGCTTGCACCCACAGACTTCCGCAGCCCTGCCCAGGCCACCAGCCCCTCTGAGGTGACCCACCTGTGCAGCCAGGACCCCATCCAGCAGGGACAGGACCTTCCCCAGTGTGCTGAGGGCCTCCTCCTGGGCCAGGACTGCGTGTGGCCTGCAGGGGAGACCAGAGGGATGCACAGGCCACCAGGGCCTCACACACGAGCACCTGTGCCTCCCCACAGCCCGCTGTGCCCACCTGGCCCAGGCCTGCGTCTCCTTCTGTGTGGCTGAGCCCTCCTGGGGGAGAACGTCAGGGGGCAGGTCCAGGGGTACGGCCGACGTGGCCAGGATGACCGCCACACAGACGGGCGGCGGAGGGCGGAGGCAGAGCTGGTCCAGGAGGGGGCTCTGGGTCGCCTTGACTTCGGGGTCCCCCGGCAGCAGAGGGGAGCAGGGGCTGGGGCCCAGCAGGGGGGCCGGGTCCAGGGGACAGTCCAAGTCCTCCACCCTGGCTGAGCCGCCCTGGCCTGGGGCCTGCATGCTGGTCCAGTGAGGAGCCTGTGCGGCCCGCACGCTCTGGATGGACTGCAGAGCACTGTGGGCAAGGCCGGGTGGAGCGGTCAGGCTGGGCCTCCAGCCTCCGCCCCTCCCGTCCTGCATGCCCTCACACCTGTGGTGCGGCTCCATGGCCCCCGACAAGGGTGGCGCAGGGTCCCCCAGCAGGGCCTGCAGCGTCATGCACACAGACTGCGCCAGAGCCTCCAGGTGGTAGCCGCCCTGGGGGTGGGGGGGACAACAGGGGGGATTGTTTGTGGGATAGGCACTGCACAGTGCCCCTAAGCTGCGCCTCCTTCCCGACAGAAACAGTCACCTCCAGCACCGCGCAGACCCGGCCGCCCGCCAGTGCCTGCAGCAGCTGCGTGAGGTGTGCGAAGCACTCCGGCGTGGCACACATCTGCCCCTGCAAAGAAAACCGGGAGTCACGTGGCGGCCTGGACCCACAGCGGCCCTCCCGGCCAGGCCAGGTCGCACCTCGGGGTCGCCGATGGCAGAGTCGAATCCTGCTGAGATGAGAACCAGCTCAGGGTCGAACTGCCAAGCGGAAGAAGACAACGGGTGGGAGGAGCCCTCCCAGAGGCTCCTTACCGCCCTCCCACCCTCCTCCACGCAGCCCACCCGGGAGCCCCCCCCTCACCTCAAAGGCCAGCGGGAGCAGCACATGCAGGAAGGCGGCCACGTAGTCGGCGTTCTCCAGGCCCACCTGCAGCCACAGGGAGGGAGTTGGGCGCTACCCCCGCCTCGGAGGGTCCTATCCTGGGCCCAGTGCTGTGCATCCGGGGTGGCGGGGGGTGGGGCCGGGGGGCTGTACCTGGTTCCAGGGCAGGTTGACAGTGAAGCCGAGGCCTGGCCCCCGCCCCACGGCGTCGGCATCGGACTCGCGCAGGTGGGGCCAGAAGCGCCCATGCTCGTAGCGGTGCCAGGAGAAGTACAGGACGCTGCCGAGGGCGGCCCGGGTGGAAGCCGGGGCTCAGGGTCTGGGACTGACCTCCACCCCACCCCTGGCCTCAGGGAAGGGTGAGTCCCCACCCCAGCACACCTGGGGTCATCTTCAAAAGTATACTGGATGCCCTGGCCATGGTGAATATCCCAGTCCACAATGAGGACCCTGTGACAGACAACAGCAGAGCAGGTGATGGGCCTGGAACCCAGCGGGTGGGCAGAGGCGGGTCCCTTTATCAGGCCCCGCCCCCGGGTGGTCCCGCCCCTCCCGGGAATGCCACGCCCCCTCCTGGTGGCCCCGCCCCTCCCGGGAATGCCACGCCCCCTCCTGGTGGCCCCGCCCCTCCCGGGAATGCCACGCCCCCTCCTGGTGGCCACGCTCCTCCCAGGGCCTGCCTGGCCCAGCAGACCCGGGCACACACCTGCGCACACCTCGGTTCTGCATGGCGTGCCTGGCTGCTATGGCCACGTTGTTGAACACACAGAATCCGTTGGCAGCTGCCTGCTGGCTGTGGTGCCCAGGAGGCCTGGGGTAGGGGTGGGGGGGAACAGTGGGGTGTGCAGCCCATCAGGGTCAGCCGCACCGCCAGAGCCACTCAGGTGGGGCCTCGCTCTCACCTCACCAGGGCCAGCCCATTGCGCACGGCTCCGGTCAGCACAGCGTCCACCAGCTGCAGCGCGGCCCCCGCGGCCAGCCGGGCACAGTGGAAGGTGGCCTATGAGGGCAGGGCTGCAGCTGAGCGCCCGCCCGCCACCCGGCTCAGGCCCTGCCCAGACCTGTGCGAGGCTGGGCCGAGGGAGACGCACCGGGTGCAAGTAGACGGCGTCGTACTGTCCAGACAGCGCCTGCAGCTCCCGTGTGTCCAGGGTCTGGGTCCCCCGCATCAGAGCCACGTACTCAGGGCTGCAGGGGGCAGGCAGGGTGACCAGCGGCAGCGGGGTGGGGGGAGGCGTGGGAGCGCGGGAAGCCTCCCCTCCCCGCCCCCTCGCCCACCTCTAGGCCGCTGCGGGAGGGGCTGGGGCGAAGGCGAGCGGGCTGGGGGGCACTGGGGGCTGACCTGTGCACCAGGGCCAGCTCGGCCTCCGAGGCCTCCCTGGCGGCCACGCGGAGGCACCTCTGCTCCAGGCCCCGCTCCCGCAGGCACTTCAGGGTGGCGGTCAGGCGCTCGGGGCGCTCGATCTCACACTCGGGGCTGCGGGAGAGAGCTGAGTGCCCGCGCCCGCCGCGCCCGCCCCGCCCCGCGCCCGCCCCGCGCCCGCCCCGCCCGCAGCCCGCGCTCACTCGTCCCAGAGCAGCCTGGCCGCCGTCATGTCCTCGTGGCAGACGAGAGCGGTCCCCATGGCCCGCTGCGCCCGCTCGGGCCGCCCCGGCAGGCAAACGCCCCGCCCGCGGCCCAGCGAGTCCCCCCCGCCCCGCCGGGGACACCGACCGAAGGCCCCGCCCCGAGCGAGCGGCGCGGAGTCCAGCGGGCGGCTTCCGGCTTCCTCGGCCTCGGGCTCGGTTCCGCCCCGCCCCGCCCCGACCGGCCCCGCCGCCCCTAGCCCCGCCCCGACACCACCTAGCGCCGCCCGGCCGCCCCACACCTGGTCGCACGGCCAACCAATCCCTGTACGGCCCGGGACCAGCCCTAACCACGCCCCTTCGCTCCCACCTAGCGCCTATGGCCCCGCCCCCTACGTCCCTAACCACGCCCCTTCGCTCCCGCCTATCGCCTATGGCCCCGCCCCTAGGGCCCTAACCACGCCCCTTCTGCCCCACGCTATTCCCTGTAACCCCGCCCTTCTACGCCCCTACACTCCCACCTATTGTCTATAGCCCCGCCTCCCAGGGCCTAACCACGCCCCGTATGCCCCACCCTATTTCCTGTTATCCAGCCCTTCCACAACCCTAACCACGCCCCTTCGCTCCCATATATTGGCCTATGGCCCCGCCCCTACAGCCCTAACCACGCCCTTATTCCCCCCACCCTATTCCCTGTAACCCCGCCCTTCTACAACCCTAACCACGCCCTTTGGTCCCACCTATCGCCTATAACCACGCCCCTTCTGTTCCACCCTATTCTCTGTAACCCCAGGAACCTTCGGTCCCGCCTATCGCCTATAACACCTCCTTCTGCAGCCCTAACCACGCCCCCTTCGGTCCCATATATCGGCCTATGGCCCCGCCCCTACAGCCCTAACCACGCCCTTATTCCCCCCACCCTATTCCCCGTAACCCCGCCCTTCTACAACCCTAACCACGCCCTTTGGTCCCACCTATCGCCTATAACCCCGCCCTCTACAGCCCTAACCACGCCCCTTTTGTTCCACCCTATTCTCTGTAATCCCAGGAACCTTCGGTCCCGCCTATCGCCTATAACACCTCCTTCTGCAGCCCTAACCACTCCCCCTTCGGTCCCATCCTATCACCCGCAAACCCGCCCCTGTACAACTCTAACCACGCCCCTTTCTGCCCCACCCTATCGTCTGTAACCCCGCCCTTTACAAACATAGCCACGCCCCCTTCGGCCCCACCTATCACCTGTAATTCTGCCCCTTTAAACCCGCCCCTGCACAACTAACCACGCCCCTTTCTAGCCCGCCCCTGTCGGTCCCGCCCCAATTATGAACACGATCCCGCCCCTTCCTGTCCCCCTCTATAAAAACTGAGCCTTCGCACTGCCTGAGAGGAGCTGGGCAGGCCTGGCTTGGGTTCCTGGTCTCCGCCTCTCTCCGCCCCGCCTCCACCCTTGCACAGCAGTTCTCTGGGCCGCCTCGACCGTTCTGGAGCTCCGAACTCGGCAGGCACGAAGACCCAGGCTCAGGCCTAGACTGTCACACCCCTGCTCCCTTCCACCCCGAGTTCCCCGCAGCCCTAGGGTCTGACGTTCCCGCCACCCCGTACCAGGACCCACCCCAGCTGCAACTCGGGGAAGGGCTGGTGCAGGGATCCTGGCTCCCTGGCCCTGGACTGCAGCGACGTGAAGCACAGATCCAAAGTGAAGAAGTGGGTGACATGGTGTGAACTCTAGGCTGAAGAGCCTGTGCACTGGACGCTGTGTGATGGGTGAGTGGGAGAGTGGATGGATGTGTAGCAAGATGAGTGATGGGTGGGTGGATGGGTGGATGTACAGATGAGTGAACGGAGGGATGGGTGGATGGGTGGATAGATGGATAGATGAGTGGATGGATGGGTGGGTGGATGGGTGGATAGGTGGATGGATGGGTAGGTGAATAGATGAATAGGTAGAAGGAAGGGTTGATGAATTGATGGTTGGAAGAATGAGTAGATGGACGGAGGATGCGCAGATTGATGGATAGAAACACGTGAATGGATGGAAGGATGGTTGTTGGGTGGGTATATAGATGAATAACTGATGAGTGGGTACTGAGTAGTGGATGAATAGACGGTGGGTGGATGTGTGGTGTGTATATCGATGAATGGGTGGGTGTGGGGAGATGAATGATGGTGGAACAATGAATGGATGAAAGGATGGGTGGATAGATGATGGGTGGAAGAGCAGATGGGTTAAAAAAAAGTGGATGGATGATCAGTGGGTGGATGAACAAATGAATGGGCAAAGTCAGGAAACGAGGAGGCACTGGCAGGGCCACAGGATATGCCAGCCTGAAACAGAGCCCTGAGCACTTGCAATGTGGCAGACCTGGGTTCAATCCCCAGCACCACCGATGGTCCCCTGAGCTCTGGTAGGACCTGAGCACAGAGCAGGAATAAGCTCAACACCTCCAGGTGTAGCCCAAAGAGCAAAACCAAAAGAAAGAACACAGACAGGCCTTTTGGTGGGGTCCTGGCAGGGGCTGTGGGTCTCGGAAGCTGGACATCCGGGAGGTGGGCCCTGAGATGGAGTCTTTGGAGGAGCCAGTCGGAGTCCTGGGAGGTTTGGAGGGGCTCCAGGCCAGCCGTCTGAGGCAGCACGGGCCCTAGAGGCCCCTCAAGTCTTGTTCCTTACTCACCACAGCAGTGCAGGAGCCCAGGGTAGAAGGGACATGGATGATGGGCCTGTTAGTGACCCCCCACAGCGTCCCCCTCAGTTCCCTCTCAGCTGGCCATGAAGCACTGAAAGTGACGGATCTGAAAGGTTCGGGCCAGCCACATGGCAAGTGCTTTGGGAGACTACAGATGGAGCCTTTGGGGTCAGGGCCCCAGGGGACATGCTGACATCATCACAGGTCCAAGACAGGCAGGACTTACAGCAGACACACCACCTCCTAGCCCTGACCATCTGGGGAGGGGTTGGCCACAGGGGCACAGGGTCCCTGTGCAGACAAACCCCATGTCAAGCACAGACACACTGTGGACATGTCCAGCTATACAGGAGAATGAGGACACAAGGCCTGCTTGGCCAAGTCCATCCTACTCTGGGCCAACCTGGCAGTGGCAGCCAGCAGGGGAAGGAGCAAGATGACCACAAGAGCCCACACGTGGCCCCTGGCCCAGCTGGTGGCCCCCACCGACCTTAAAGGTCCTGCAGGGGGCAGGGGACCTTGTCACCTGGGAAGAGGCCCTCAGCCTGCCTCTTGCACTGACACGGGAGGGTGAGAGCCAAATAAAGTGGAAACTGCCCAGGGCAGGCACACAGCACAGCCGGGGGGGGGGGGGGTCCAGGGCCAGGACTGGCACAAGCCCAGTGCCCGTGAGGGAGGCAGGGGCGTCAGACAGGCCGGCAGCTCACACCCGCCTGAAAAGTCAGCAAGGAGGCAGGCGTGACACGTCTAAGGCATTTATTTCCCTCCAGCCACGTGGCCACTCCACAGCCCTTCCCCAGGCCCCCAGGAAGGCGAGTGGGGGTCCCACCCCATCCCCCTTCTCAGGGATGCCCAAAAGAATGGAGCACTGCTGTCCCCCAAAGCCAAGGGTCAGCTCAGCTGGGGGAGAGCAGAGAAGTGGGTCTGAGACGGGGTCTGGGCAAGAGGTCACTGAGGTGCTGGGCAGGGCCAGCCTCAGGGGTAACCAGGATGCCCCTTCCAGGGAAGAGCTGTGAGGCCGTAGCTGGTGCCCCACAGGCACCCCAGGGCCACCGCGGCGCCAGGCTCTTCACAAGGCCGTCTCCTTGGAACTCTTAACTCCCAGGTGCCGGGGAGGCTTAAAGCTGAGCACCTCTTTGTAGGTGACACCTGGAGTGGGCGAGGGGGACAGAAGGGACCCTTCAGGCCAGAACAGCAACCCAGGAACCAAGAAACCCTCAGGGGCTGCCATGAGGTCGGGGGCTCGGACACTCCGAGCCGGCAGTGCAGCTCGTCAGCGCCACCCCAGAGCTCCCCCAAACAGCGTGCGGTCAGAGGTCACAGCTGGCATGCGGGCACCAGGCTCTTTCGGTCCACACCTACGCGTGGCCCCAGACACAGGCCTGCGGCTGGGCCCGCTGACCAGCTCACAGGCTGCCCTGGGGCAGGAGCATCTGGGGCATCAGCCCAGGCTCCACCACCAGCCGGCACCTCTCCCGATGCAGAACACACCGGAGGCCGTGCCTGTTGCCCACAGCACCCCAGCTGGGCCACCAGGTGGGACCAGCCAGTGTGGGTCAGAGGGAGCCTCGTGACCCACATGCCCATCTGTGCCCTCGGAGGTGGACTCACTGGGAAGCCCTTTGCCCTCAAAGGTGAGATAAGTCAGAGTCTCTTGTCCTGGCCGGAGACTCAACCGCCAACAGGCCCCGTGTCAGCACAGCTGTTTGGCTGTGTGTGGGGCCTCTGGCTCTCTGCAGCAGGAAACGGGTCAAACCAAAACTCACAACACGAACCACTAAGGAGGGCGGGGCCCTGCGGAAGGACCCGGTGACCCCGGGGGACACCTTTGAAAACCACAACCCACAGGGTCGGGCGGCCCCCCCGGAGCCCCATGAACCACAGGGTGCAACAGCCGTATAATATAGCCCCACGCCCCAGGGTCCAGTCACCCCCAGCGCCCATGCCCCAGAGCCCCGCTCCTGGGTCCGGTGGCCCAGAGCCCACGCCCCTGGGGGTCCAGCTGCCCCACAGTCTCCCCCCACCCCCAGGAGTCCGGCCGCCCCAGCGCCCCCGCTCACGCTTCCACTCCTCCAGGGTCCGGTCCACGTCATCAAACGACTCATCATACTTCTGGGCCTTGGGCTCGTCCTCCGTGTCATGCAGGGACTCAAAGTAGGGGTGCGTGAGCGCCTCGGCCGCGGTCACCCGCTGCTCGGCATCCAGCACCAGCATCTTCTCCAGGAGGTTCACGGCTGGGGGCGGGGGTGGGCGAGCACCGGGTGAGCGGGGCCAGTGGGGTGCCCCCAGGGCTGCTCCCCCGCTCCCCTGCGCACCCCTACCCAGCGGGCTGGCGTCCGTCAGGATGGAAGCGAAATCCTTCTTCTCCAGCTCCGGGAGCCCCTTCATATAGTTCTTGGCCTGCATGGGGCCCGGGGCCAGGGGGTGAGGGCCAGCACCGCGCACCACCTGCCCGCCTGCCCACCTGCCCACGGTCCCTACCTCTGCACTCTGCAGCCTCTGGACAAACTCCTCTGGAGGGGTGCCCGTCACCTTCATGATCTCCTTCAGCTGGTCCAGGTCTGCGGCAGGTCAGGGCACTGCGCACCAGAGGAGAGGGCCCACCCCGCCCTGCCCACCCCACCCCCAGGTGCGCCGACCATCCCCACCCCGCCCACTGCCACAGCTGCAGGATACGGTCACTGCCCTTGAACAGCGTTTTTCCCGTGATCATCTCCGCCATGATGCAGCCCACCGACCAGATGTCGACTGAGAGAGAAGCCCCCGCCTCAGGGCTCAGTGGCTGGGGAGGGCAGGACACATGGGCACGGACAGGGAGGCAGGGGACGCCAGGGGCGGGCGGGGGAGCGACAGGGCGGGAAGCCGGGGCTTAGGCTGAGGGTCACCGGGGAGCACCGCGAGGGGTGGCCGGGCCGGCTGGCCCGCCGCCCTCCCCGCCCCTCCCTGCTCGGCCCATCCCCAGCTGGCCCCTCACCTGTCTGCGTGTACCGCATCCAGTTCAGGATGACCTCGGGTGCCCGGTACCACCGAGTCACCACGTAGCCGGTCATCTCGCTGTCCGCCTGTCTGGCCAGACCAAAGTCCAGGATCTGAAGCCAGAAAGCAGGTGGGGGAACTGGGAGGGGGGGTCTGGGACCCCCTGCGGCTTGGGGGCTCTGCACTGGCCCCACACACTCCTCTGGGCGCTCCCCCCGGCCAAGCCATGAAACAGGGACCCCGGTGCTCCCTCTGACCCCGCCTCAGCGAGGGTGCAGGGGTGCAGGCAGGCGGGCAGCTCCGAGGCTCACCTTCAGCTCACAGTCCTCATTCACCGCCAGGTTGCCGGGCTTCAGGTCCTGGAGGTGCACAGGAGACTGCTTTAGCCACAGCAGGCCAGAGTGGCTGCCCAAGCACCAACCCTCACATCAGGCCCTCACGAGAGAGAAGCAACAGGCCCCCAGGGGCCAAACCCCTTGACCCGGCCCAGCACACGGCAGGTGACTCACCCTGTGGATGATGCCGGCGGCGTGGATGTACTGCGGGCACAGAGACCAGGTGGGTGTGGCGGTCAGCCGGCGGGGTCCAGCCCCTGCCCGCCCACCCCACCCCCTGCAGCCGCCACACCCACCTTCAGCCCCTTCAGCATCTGGTAAACCAGGAACTGGATTCGGTCCTCGCTCAGCTTCTCGTGCTTCATGAGCTTGCCCAGGTCCGTGCCCATGAACGGCATCACCAGGTAGCTACAGAGCCGCACGGCCACGGGGTCACCCAGCCCGTCCACAGCGACTCAGTGGGCAGCTGGGAGGGACAGGCAGACAGCGGGGCCCCAGGGAGCGGGAGCCTCGGCCCTCCCTGCCCGGATCCTGGCCACAGGGACTGGAGGAGGCAGCAGAGCAGGGCAGGGGCGAGGGCACTGCAGGACCCGCCCACTCCAGCCTGGCCAGTCCTGGGCTCCGGGCGCACGCCTCTGACTGCCCCCACATTGGGCTGTGGGTCCCAGGACACAGCCACAGCGGCGCGAGGAGGGGACGGCCAGTGTGCAGCCAACCGGAGCCCGACGTCAGCACCCAGGGGCCCGGCTCCACCCACCCGGGCAGCCCCAAGCCAGCACCCACAAGTCCGTGAAGTCGTCCAAGGTCTCATCAGGGGTGAAGACATCCAGCAGCCCGATCACCTGGGGGAAGCAGGGAGGGTTCCGGCGGGCTTGCTCAGGAGGAAGTGTCGCCACGGGCAGGAGAGGCCCCTGCAGCTGACCCTCTCCCCTGGCCCTGCCCACTGGCCACTCCGCCTGGCCTGACACAGCTGCCTGCAGACACAGAGGCTATTTTGGGAGCGTGACAGCCTGGGTCTGCAGGAGGGGCAGGCGGGGGCACACGGCCCCATCCCCTCTCCACTCAGCGTGCCCTCCCTTCCTCCCTCCCCAGTGGACACCCAGGCCAGCTGCAGCCCCTCCACGGCACCCAGCCCGGCAGGTCTCACAGGTGCTGAGCTTTGCGGACAACTCAAAGGTAGCAGGACATCCGGCGTCCAGGAAGCAAAAGGTGGGGGACAAGTGGCGCAAGCTGGCCAACAGGGACCAGGGCAGGAGGGGGCAGGGAGGCGGGGTGACGCGGAAGAGGGCCAGGGCAGCCGTCAAGGAGAGGCCGAGGGCTGGACCGGTCACCTGGGGAGGGCTGATTCAGGTGACACTGGAGTTTCCTCCGCTGTTGGATGGGGTCAGCCCAGAGACCGCAAGCGTGGACGTGGGGGCCGCAGCGAGACGGCCACCAGGACCACAGTGCTGGGGCCCAGGGTGGAGGGGAATGAAGGGGGCGGCTGGGGGCAGAGGTGGGAACGCGGACAGGTGAGGACTGGGCAGCAGGGATGCTTTTGCCAAAAGACACCAGAGCAGTGGCCTTGGGATCGTGGGGCTGCCACAAGCAGGGAAGAAGCAGCAGGACCTAATGTGGGGGGCAGAGGAGCCGGGTTGGGGGGCCAGCACTGCCCCCCCATCTCCCAGCAGGCTGAGGAGCCCCTGGAAGGCAGGGGCAGGCCCAGAGCTCTGCGGGGAAGGAGGACCCCGGGGGAGTGGCCGCCTGAGGCAGGGGAGGCCAGGCCCGCAGAGGGAGGTGACTGCACAGGGGCTGGAGAGGGTGGCAGCCTCAGGTAGCGGGGGTCCCAGAGCGTGCAGGGAGTGAGGCTGGCCAGGCCGGTGTCCAGGACCGAGGCTTTCTTCCAGGAAGCGCCCAGGGCGGGGACAGGAAATAAAAGGCAGGGCCCACCCGGCTGAGAGGTTCCAGGAATCCCAAGCCGGCCTCTATCTTCCCGGCCTGCGGGGCTGGCCTCCAGGAGCCCAGGGGGCCCAAGCAGAAGCCCCCCAGAGCAGTCGGAGTGGGGGGTGGGTAGCACCGCCCGGTGGCAGTCTGCACCCACGGCGGACCCCGCTCTGGGTGCCGAAGGCCTGCGCTCAGCTTTGCCCCCTGCACCTGCGCTCCTGGGCCCCCTGACCAGTGGGGGCAGCAGGGGCCAGCCGGAGGCGGGGCTGAGGGAGCCCCCACCGCACCCCACCGGGCTCGGGGCGCCAGACCGCCGTCGGGCGGACACTCACGTTGTCGTGGCGCATGTGTTTGAGCAGACGCAGCTCCCGGTAGGCGCGCTTGGCGTACAGCTCCGACTGGAAGGGCCGGTACAGCTTCTTGATGGCCACCTTGAGGCCGGTGCGGCTGTCCACGGCCGAGCTGCGGGACGGGGCGCACGGCTCAGCGCGCGCGCGCGTCCCCCCGGCCGCCCGCCGCCCCGCGCGGCCGCCCGCGCTCACCACACGGCGCCGTACGCGCCCGAGCCCACGGGCTGCAGGTCCTGGTACACGGCGCGGACCTCCCAGTCCGTCTTGGTCACCTCCTGGCGGTAGAAGCCCCGGCGGGCGGGCGGCGGCGACCCCATGGCCCGCGCCCCGCACGCGGCCCCCGCGCGCGGCGGGGTCGGCGCGCGCCCCTGGGCGCCCCGCGGCCGGCTGTGCCCTGCGCGTCGCCCCGCGCTGCGCTCGGAGCCCCGCGCCGCCGACCCCGGCCCGGCCCGGCCTCTCCCCGGCCCGCGAACCAGCCGGGCCCAGCGGCGCGCACGTGACCCCCCGCCCGCCGCGGCCCCTCCGGAAACCCGAGGCGCGGCGGCCGGGGCGGGCCGAGGCGGGGGCGGGGAGCGCGCGCTCCAGCCCGCTCAGTCGCACTGCCCGGTGCCCCCTGGACGCCCCCGGGGCCGGCCACGTCGTCCTCCGCACGCGAGGGGCCGCGCCGTCGCTCCCGCGCGCATCCCCGCGCCGCCGCCGCAGGGGTCCAGACCCCGGCCGCCTGCAGCCTGCGCGCTCGCACCCGGGGCGGGACTGTCCGCGTCTCAGCCTCTGCCCGGCACCCGCTGGCCAGCTCACGCCCTCCCGCTTGTCCTTCAGAGCGCCAGCGCCCCACGGGATCTTGCCCTGGCCCCTGGGGGGCAGCCTCTACCCCTCCCCCGGGGTCCCCCGGGCCCAGCATCTGGACCAGCTGCCTGACACAACCCTCCCGGAGGTGACCCTGGGTCGCAGGGTAACAGGATCCCCAGGGCTGCCCCGCCCACCTGCCATGAATCAGCAGCCCTGAGGCCAGGCCAGGGTGGCTTTACACCTGTGCCCAGTGGTGCTGCCCATGCTGCCCGCGGTCACCTGCTCCTCGTGCCCACAAGTCCCCAGTGGACCTCCTGGACCAGCCACTCCGGTCCAATCCCCTGCCGCTGGGCACCCCGGGGCCACAGTGCTGCTGTGGCGATCCAGCTGCCCCTGACCTCCCCTCAGGTCCAGGCACAGAATGTCTCCCGGGGGAGATGGCCTGACTGGCAGGCCCAGGAGCCCCAGAGTTGGTGCCCCCCATTGCCCTACACACCCCACCAGCCCCGGACGAGGCCAGGCCGGTGCTGTCAGAGAGGTCTGGGTCCTAGGTGGCCCCTGACCACTGCCCAGACAGAATACCACTGTGGGGGGTGGCCTCCCTCCATTCCAGCTGCAGTTTCGTATGCCGAAGGGAGCAGCGGAGAGTTTGTCTAGTGTGGTGCAGTGTCCAGCGGAGCTGGGCCACCAGGAGCCCCAACTGACAGTAGACGTCCAGCAGTAGGGACACACTGAGGCAGAGAAAGCCCTTTATTATGAAACCTGGTGCCTGCATATGGCGATAGTCACACCCTGGGGTCTGGAGGCCACCTCCCACCTGACACCACCCCTGAGAGAAGGCCCACACCCTCCACTCTGGTCGCCAGACCAGCCAGTCCCTGCGGGGAGGACGGAGGTGATGGCAGCAGCTTCCTCCTGGACCCCGTGCTGGGGTCCTGGCCCAGTTCCCGTCTCCAGCAGCCCCCGGAACCCCCAGCTAGCACAGCATCCTCAGGCTTCAGAGACCCACTGCAGGGGCCGGAGCGATAGCACAGTGGGGAGGGCACTTGCCTTGCACACGGCTGACCCGGCTTCCATCCTCCACATGCCCTATGGTCCCCGGAGCACTGCCAGGAGTGATTCCTGAGTGCAGAGCCGGGAGGAAGCCCTGAGCATTGCCGGGTGTGGCCCCAAAACAAAAAACAAAAAAGAAATGAAACAAACTGCAGGGGCTGGAAGCTGAGGGGTGTGTGGGGGGGTTAGAGAGCGGGTAGGGGGCTGGGGGGTGTCCTTGAGCATGGCCAGGCCCAATTCCACCCCACACCGCCAGGGGGCACCCGTGAGCAAAGCTGAGTGTGGCACAAAGCCCCCCAAAGGAGCCTACTGGGATACGCAGCTCACACAGGCTGCCCCTTGCCCACCGAAGCCCCTCATCAGGGGCACAGCGGACCTCAGCACCCCATGGCAGCAAGAACCCGGAGTGCAGGGGCAACACAGAACCCCCTACCCTGCACCGCACCCCCTAACACACACAGTGCAGGGCGCCAGCCAGCACCCAGCCCAGGTGAGTGTGGCTGCAACACCTGGCAGGGGCCCCACCCTGACCCCAAGACAGGCTCAAAGGCACCTGAGCCTCAGCGCTGAGGAGCCCCTGTGGAGCCCCACCCCAGCCCAGTCCTCTGGGACTGAGGTCAGGTGACAACCATGCCAATCCTGGTGTGGGGTCCCCCACAGTGAGGTCTGCTGGCATGGGGACAACATCCATCTCCGGGGCTGGAGCTGCAGGGCCGGCAGGGTGAAGACGGGGCTCCGGCCCCGAGCGGCAGTGTGGCCTGGTCGGCAGCACCTCACTGCTCAATCTCCAGGCTGCCCGGTGGCTGGGCTGGCTCCGGGGGTTTGAAGTTGAGCACCTCCTGATAGGTGAGCTCTGGGATGGGGATGCGGGGAGAGTGAGTCTTGCAGCCCTCGGCTGAGGGACCCCGGGTGCCAGAGCCCACCACCCCGCAGTGCAGGCGCCCACCCACCCTTCCACTGCTCCAGGGTGTGCTCCGTGGCCTCCAGGCTTTGGTCGTAGGGCTCAGCCTCGGGCTCGTCATCGGGGTCGTGGTACTGGCTGAAGTAGGCGTGGGCCAGCGCCTCCGCCGCACTGACCCTCTGATCACTGTCCAGCACCAGCATCCTTCCCAGGAGGTCCACAGCTGCAGGGGGGTGGGGGGTGGGCGATCGGCGCTGTGTCCAGCACCAGGGGCAGGCCAGCCCCGCCTCAGGCCCCGCCTCACCCAGGGGGCTGGCTCCCCGGAAGATGCTCCTGAGGTCCTTCTGCGGCATGGGAGGCAGGGACTGGATGTAGGTCCGGGCCTGGGGGTCACAGCGAGGGGCGTCAGGGGCTGTCCCGCCTCCTACCCGCCACCAGGCCCTGACCACAGCCCTCTCCTCCTGCTCACCCGGGGCCTAGGCCAGCCCATCCACCCACGCCAGGGCACCCTCTCGCCTGGGCTCCCCGGGGTGCCACGGCTGCGCCCCCTCCCTGTGCTCTGCAGACTCACGTGTTCTGAGGAAATCTTCGCCAGAACCTCAGGGCTGGGCGTCCCCACCACCTCCATGATGCGCTTCAGCTGATCGATGTCTACCAGGCTCAGGAAACATCACTGGACGTGGCCCCTCTGGGCCTTCAGACAGCAGGTCTGGGGGCACGACACCCGCTTTCCTGCTGGATGCACCACAGCCCCCCCCCCGGCGAGCCAGGGCCCACCTGGCCCAGCCCCACCCTCAGGTGGGGGGGTCCCTGCACCCGCAGCAAGGATACAGTCGCTTCCCGGGAAGAGGGCCTTCCCCTGGAGCAGCTCGGCCATGATGCAGCCCACGGACCAGATGTCCACTGTCGGGGAGGGCCCCCTCAGACCACTCCCCCGGCTCTTGAGCCCTCACGGGCCGGTTCGTGGCCCTGAGGGATGCCTAGCCCCAAAGACACCTCCCTAGCTGGGCAGGGGAGATGCCAGTGGGGGGAGGAGACCCCAGAGCCCTCCAAAATCCCCCTCTGAGGGTCTGACAGGGGGGACTGAGCCATGACTCCTTGCTCTGTGCTCTGGTCAGTGCTGTGAAGACCGTACAGCGCTAAGCACCCAGGAAGGAGGACGGAAGCGCCGGCACCCTGTCCTACCTCTGCAGCCCCTCCCTGCGAGCTGAATTTTTGGTGTTTTGGACCACACCCAGTGGCCCTCGGAGGCTAATCCTGGTTCAGAGCTCAGAAGTCACTCCTGGCGGTGCTCAGGGAGCCACAGGGGGTGTCAGGGATCGAACCCAGGTCAGCCGTGTGCAAGACAAATGCCCGGCCTGCTGTACTGCCTCCCCGCCCACTGAGGGTCTGGCCTTCGGTCCCCTAAGGCTGGGTGGCCCTCCCCTGCGTCCCCTGCAGAGCTGCCCTCTGCCTGCCGGGCACTGCGGGCGGATGTCACCTGTCTGGTTGTAATGCATCCAGTTCAGCATAATCTCTGGGGCCCGGTACCAGCGCGTGGCCACGTAGCCGGTCATCTCCTCGTCCGCCTGGCGAGCCAGCCCGAAGTCCAGGATCTGGGGCACCACCACCAGCAGTCAGCGTCTGCCGTGGCAGCACCCCTGCCCTGCGCCCCACGCCCCCGGCCACCGCGGGCAGCGCCTACCTTGAGCTCACAGTCCTCGTTCACAGCCACGTTGCTGGGCTTCAGGTCCTGCAGGGGTGCCGCGGCGTGAGCTCAGGAGAGCAGCAGGACGTGCACCCCTGCACCCCGGCCCCCGCGCCTGTGCACCTACCCGGTGGATGATGCCAGCCGAGTGGATGTACTGCAGGGGTGAGGGGATGATGCGAGGGCCGTGAGGGGCCGGCGGCCAGGCCCTGCCCGCTGCCCGCCTGCCCCACTCCCCCACCTTCAGCCCACGCAGCAGCTGGTACACCAGGAACTGGATGTGCTCATCGCTCAGAGCCTGGCACTTGACGATGCTGTTCAGGTCGGCGCCCATCAGGGTGGTGACCAGGTACCTGGGGGGGCACGAGTCAGCCGGAGACGTGCCCGTGCCCTCGCCCCCACCCCTGCTGTCTCTCGCAGACCCCCGGCCCTCACACTTCGCTGAAGTCCTCGATGGACGTGGCTGGTGTGAAGACGTCCAGGAGTGTGATGACCTGGGCAGGGAGGGCAGTAAGGCAGTGACCCAGGACGGAGTCCTCCTGCCCTGGCCACGTCCCTGCCTCTGGCCACGCCCTCCACCCGACCTGGCCACGCCCCTCTCATGGCCACGCCCTTCATCCTGCCCCTGGCCACGCCCTCCCGCCCCTGGCCTCGCCCCATCACCTGGTCACACACCTCCTCTTGCCATGCCCCTCCCTCCTGCCCCACGGCCACGCCCCTCATCTGCCCACGCCCCCACCTCTCTGACCACGCCCTGTTATGACCACGCCCTCTCCTGTTCCCTGGCCACGCCCCTCCCCTGGCCACGCCCCTCCTTGTCCCCTGGCCAGGGGTCTCCACTCACATTCTCGTGTTTGAGGTGCTTGAGCAGCCGCAGTTCCCTGTAGGTCCTCCGCGCGTGGACCAGCGACTGGAAAGGTCGCGACAGCTTCTTCACCGCCACTTTCTGGCGCAATTGAGAATCATAGGCCGAGCTGGAAGGCGGGAGCCGGTGTCTGGCCTCAGAGCATCAGCACGGGAAGGAGCCCCTGGCCGTGCGAGCTGGTGGCCACCCCGGGGACGAAGTGGCCACCACGCGGCAACCCTTACTCCCCTGTCCTTGAAGAGCAGTGCGCCGCACCCACGCCTCTCCCTGGCTTCCCAGACCCTCCCCACTGGGAGCCGCAGGGCTTGGCTGGACCCTGTCTCTGGCCCCTGCCCAGATGGAGCAGGAGGCTCCGCAGGGATTCTGGAGTGCCCGAGGCTGCTATCAAAACAGTTGGAAAATGATGGATGGTTTTTCAGCCATCCTGCCAGTGGTGCGGCTATTCCCAGCGTGACACTGGGGCGTCCACTTCCTTGGCCCTGCGTCATTTTGTTTTGTTGCAGGGAAAGGTTTGTTTTTACGCCATACCCAGCGGTGCTCAGGGTTGGCTCCTGGCCGTGCCCTGAATCCCTCCTGGCGGGGCTCAGGGAATCATACGGGGTGCTGGGCACAGAGCCCAGGGTGGCTGCACGCAAGGCAAGTGCCCTACCCCCTGGAGGATCTCTCGGGACCCTGAAAAGAATTTTTACAGGGGTTTGGACCACACTGGGTTCTGTGGGGGTTTCTTTTTTCCTTTTTTTTTTACTTTTTGGGTCAGGTTGGAGCGATAGCACAGCGGGTAGGGCGTTTGCCTTTTACATGGCCAACACGGCCAACCTGAGTTTGGATTACTGCGCCCCTCTCAGAGAGCCCGGCAAGCTACCAAGAGTATCTCGCCCTCACAGCAAAAGCCTGGCAAGCTACCTGTGACGTATTTGATATGCCAAACACAGTAACAAGTCTCACAATGTTACTGGGCCCACTCGAGCAAACTGATGAACAACGGAAGGACAGTGACAGTGACTTTTTAGGTCACACCTGGCAATGCACAGGGGTTACTCCTGGCTCTGCACTAAGGAATTACTCCTGGCGGTTCTCAGGGGACCATATGGGATGCTGGGAATCGAACCTGGGTCGGCCGCATGCAGGGCAAAAGCCCTACCTGATGTACTATTGCTCCAGTCCCTGTGTTTGGGATTTATGCCTGACAGTGCTCAGGAGACCCTCAGCCTGGGGACTGAACTGGGGCCTGCCGCATACACGGCACATGTGTTAACTCTGCCCTCTGTCCAGCCCCAGGTCACCCAGTAACGACCTGGACAATAGGGTGCCTTCCGAGAGGGCGGCTCTATCCCCTTTGCCTGCCCCCAAGCCCCACAGAAGTGACCCTCCGGCCCCTCCCGCTCTCTGCCATTGGCCTCACTGTGAATGCTGGGTTTGGCCCAGACCCCAACAGCCCCCTGCCCAGGGGCCACCTGTCCTCAGGAATCCCCTTCTTAGGATTGTTCTCAGACTGTGCCTCACCTGCTTGCCCTGAGGGCACCACCCCAGGGTGCTGGTGAGACCTGGCAGGGCTGAGCAAAGGCAGCAGGCTCTGGGGTGCCTTGCCCTGCCTGTCCTGGCCCCTGGGGGAAGCCGGGCACTCCTGGGGGTGGTTTCTTATGTGAGGGGGCACGACAGGAAATAGGCACTGGTGGGGGAGGTGTTGCTCAGTGCTTGTCATCTGAGAAACACGGGGGTCAGCAACTGGGCATCCCAACAGCAGAGCTGGGAGCGGTGCGGGGAAGCGTCAGAGAGCTGAGACTTCCCGAAATTTCCAGAAAGCCATCCTGGACCCGAGGGGACACCAGTGGGGGTGGCAGACTCGCAGACGCAGCGCTTTGGACCCCTTCCTGCCTCCAAGGGGAGGACGGCAGAGGCTTGTGGCCCACTTGGGGGTGGCCACCAGCCCGGGCCTCAGGAGAACACAGGGAATTCCTCCGTTTCTGCCCAGACTGGAGCAGAGCCTGAGAGGGCCCTGCGCCTCCTCCAGCCACCATGGACAGCAGCCTCCTGGGCTCAGCGACACCCACGCGAGACGGACTCCAGGGTCCACGCAGCTGCAGGAGTGGGAGGGAGGGGGGTGCACTTCCCCATCCCCACACATCATGGGGGTCCCAGCAAGCCAAGGCATCCTGCCTGAGCCGCGAGCACAGAGCTGGGAGTGAGCCAGGCGTGAGTCCAAGCTCCGCAGGGTGTGCCCCCCGCCTCCCCCACCACCCCGTAGCTGGAACCTGGACCCCGTGGGTCTGCATCCTAGGTCCTCAGAAGTTCCTGTAATCCCCCCAGGACCCCCAATCGCAGCGAGGTAACAGACCCTCAGCCAGCCCCTCCTCCGACGCGGCTGGGGTGGGGACGCCCTCAGCATCAGGCCTTTCTCTGCTTCAGGCCTAAGCCCCAGCGCCCCCTGGAGTGCCTCGAGGCCGGTCCAGGGCGCGGGGGAGGGGGTCCTCCCTCCTAGGGGGCGTCTGCAGACCCCGGCGGCCCGCCCCAGCATGCACCCGACGCCCCGCAGACCCGCCTCGCCTGGGGCGCTGCGCGGTCCGCGCGGCCCCGGAGGGTGGGCGCTGCCCGCGCGCCCCCCCGCGCTCGCCACGCCCCCGCCCCTACCACACGGAGCCGTAGGCGCCGGAGCCCACCGGCCGCAGCCCCTGCAGCCGCAGCGGCACCTCCCACAGCGTCTGGTTCAGCTCCTGGCGGTAGAAGCCGGCGCGGGGGCCCGACATGTCCGGAGCGGCCGCGGGAGGCGCGCGGCGGGCGGGGCGCGGACGCGGGCCGGGCGGTTCCGCCCCGCGCCCCTCCCCGCTCCGACGCGGGCCCCGCGCGCTCCCCCTCCGCCTCGGGGCCCGCCGCCCCCACCCAGCCCCGGACCCGCGCCCCGGGCCCCGCGCCCCGGGCCCCGCGCCCCGCCGCCCACCCGCTGCCCACGGCGGCGCCCGGGCTCCGGGCCGCCGGGAACCCGGGATCCGGGAACGCGGCTCCTCTCGGGGAGGAAACGCCGCGAGGAGCAAAGCCCGGGCTCCAGGCAAGTGGGCAGTGGGCACCGGCCCGCGGGCTCGGCCCGCACTCCCGCTCCCCCGCCCGGGGCCGCCTCCCGTCCGGACCCCCGCGCGGCTCGGCCGCCCCCGCCCCCTGTCAGCACCAGGGACAGCGCGGCGCGGGGCGCGCCGGGGACAGTTCCGGGCCGCTCCTGCCCAGGGCCTCAGTATTTGGGCCAGGAGTGTGTGAGTGTGTGTGTGGTGTGTGTGAGAGTGTGAGTGTGTGTGTGCGTGAGTGTGGTGAGTGTGTGAGTGTGTGTGTGAGCGTGAGTGTGGTGTGTGTTTGTGAGAGTGTGTGTGTGAGTGTGTGAGTGCGTTCGTTGCGTATGAGTGTGAGTGTGCATGAGTGAGTGTGTGAGTGTTAGTATGTGAGTGTATGTGTCCGTGTGAATGTGAGTGTAAGACTGTGTAGTGTGTGTGAGTGTGAGAGTGTGTGCGAGTCTGTGTTAGTGTGTGCGTGAGTGCATGAGTGTGTGAGTGTGTATGAGTGTGTTTGTGGGGGGGGTTGCCAGGGACTGAACCCAGGGCCTCACACACACAAGGCAAGTGTTGTACTGCTGAGTCACATCCCCAGCTTCTCAGCTGTTGCCTCTTCCAGAATCCCACTTTGGCTTTCCCAGGAGTGGACGTGCCCTGATTTAGACAGCCGAGGCTTCTGCACCCCATAATTCCTCTCCCCGCACCCCAGATTCTCTTCCTGCTGTGAGGGTGCAGCTATCACACAAGCTGCTTTTTGGGGTTTGTTTTGGGGCCACACCTGACAGTGTGGCCCCATGAGCTCTTGGCTCAGGGGTAGCTCTGGGTGGTACTTGGGGGGGGGGGCGTGTCATGCTGGGGAACAAACTCGTGCACGCGAAGCACATGCTCGGCCCATTGGGCTCACTGAACCATCTTCCACACCCTCATGGGCTGCTTTATTTATTTTCATTTTGTTTCATTTTGCAGTACTTCTCTAACTCCAAATCGGAGGGATTTTTTTTTCTTTTTGGGTCACACCCGGCGATGCTCAGGGGTTACTCCTGGCTCATGCACTCAGGAATTGATCCTGGCGGTGCTCAGGAGATCATATGGGATGATACACATGGGATATGGGATGCTGGGAATCGAACCTGCGTCCGCCATGTTGGCTACGTGCAAGGCAAATGCTCTACCCGCTGTGCTATCACTCCAGCCCCGAATCGGAGGGATTTTGTTTTGTTTTGTTTCGGGACCACACCAAGCACTGCTCAGGGGTTAATCCTAGCTTTGCACTCAGGCATGAGAGAACCATATGGGGTGCTCAGAATCAAACCACGGTCGGCCACATGTGGCTCCGTACAAGGCAAGCACCTTGCCCGCGTACTATTGCTCTGGCCCCAAATCTAAGTGTTTTAATGTCTTTTCTTAAAAAGTTTTTTGGTCACACCCCGCGACGTTCAGGGGTCACTATGGTCTCTGCACTCAGGAATTACTCCTGGCAATGCTCTGGGAACCTAACGGGAAACCGGGAATCAAACCCAGGTCCGTGTGCAAGGCAAGCGCCCTGCCGACTGTACACTCTTCAGCTCCTACTGTGAGTCTTGATTTCAAATATCTGCTCTCAAAACGAGGGACTGGGGAGAGAGCTCCGGAGTCAGGGATGCACAGCACGCGTCCACACCGTCCTTTGAGCTGAATGTCCTGCTGGCACAGCATGGCCCCTAAGCTCCTCGGGGCTGGACCCAGTGGCTGAGTATTGCCAGGAGCGACGGGGCCCTGAGCATCACTTGGAAGACACAAAACATTATTGAAACTCAGAGGACTGCCCCGCCTGCTCTGCCGGGCCCCCCTGGGCTGTGCGGCGTCCCAGTGTGGGCTGTGGCTGGGAACATCAGGAGCGCCTTTGTCTGCACGGGGCGGGCCGGGCCCTCGTTCCCTTGGCGACAGGCCCCGCCCCGACTCGCGTTCCCATGGCGACAGGCCCCGCCTCCGGCCCGTGGTCCCCCTTCCCGCTCCGCATCCAGAGGGCTGTGTCCAATCCGCGGGCTTCGCGGCCCGCGCGGCCCCCAAGCTGGGCAGCTCGCACAGGGCCCTCTGGGTCGCACTGCCCCCACCCCCCCGCCAGACCCTCAGGTCCCGCCCACCCGCCGGGGAGGTCCTGAGGACAGTGCCGCGGGGGAGTTTCTCCTGGGTGGGGTGCAAACGGGTGCCCGCAGGGGACAGCGAGCAGAGAGGAGGCAGCTGTTTGTAGCTTCCATGATGGACGGGCGAGGGGGTCGTGAGAGCCTCCGAACGCTGACCCTCCTCCACCCTCTTCTGCAGCTCGTGGTCACCCCAGGCTAACTACCCCCCAACCGTGTCATGGTCCTCGCACAGGCTGCCCCTTCAGCCTGGCAGTCACTTAGTGGGGCGCCTGGAGACAGCTGGGAGAAGCTGAGACCACCCTACCCGGACTCCACTACCCCCAGAAGTCAGGGGAGGGGGGAGGGGAAGGGGAAGGAAAAGCAGAAGAGGAGTCGGGCACCCTTGATGCGTCAGCACCTTCCCACCCACCCCCTTCCACCCTGGTGTGATCACCAGCCAGTTCCCTTTTTTTTTTTTTTGGCTACAGCCAGCTTTACTCAGGGGTCACTCCTGGAGGTTTTCAGGGACAGTATGGGGTGCCGAGAATCAAACCTCAGTCTACCTCAGACAGGGCTAGGACCATGACCACTGCACTGTCCTGACCTCAACACCCATCTTACACCTCCACCATGAAAGAAAAGCCATCGGAGCCCCACTGCAGGTGGGTGGCCTTGGAGCAGTGGTCAGCTCTCCTGGGCTCTTCCTGTCTGGCTGACCAGTGGGGAGGGGACAAGAGCGTGGTCTGGAAAGGTCACAGGGCTGGAGCCAGAGTAGGGTCAGGAAGGGGCTTCCCTTACACGTGGCCAACCTAGGTTGCATCCCGGGTACCACACACGGTCCCCCAGCATAGCCAGGCCTGGTCCCTGAGCACAAGGCAGCAGGAAGAAACCCTGCTAGTGTGTGTCCCCTGCCCCAAACACTAAAGAGTCCAGAGTGGGTCCCTGCCCCCACCAGACCATGCCCCCCACTCTACCTCAGCACAGCACCCTCTCGGGGAAGTAGAACCCGATGTCGGCGACAACCCTGTCCCCTGATCGGGGGCCAACTGTGGTTTGTCTAGGACTCTTGTGTGTCCGGACAGAACATTCTTTTTTTTTGTTGTTTTGTTTTGGGTCACACCCGGCTTTGCACAGGGGTTACTCCTGGCTCATGCACTCAGAAATTACTCCTGGCGGTGCTCGGGGGACCACATGGGATGCTGGGAATCGAACCCGGGTCGGCCGCGTGCAAGGCAAATGCCCTACCCACTGTGCTATTGCTCCAGCCCCTGACAGAACATTCTTATCCCATGAGGCTGGATGTGGCTGCTGATTCAGGCTTGTTCCAGCAACCGCACCCCAGCGATGGCAAATGTGCTGCCCCCAGGGCAAGGGCTGCACTACTGCCACTAGTGCTGCTGAGAATCCAGCTATCACCCAAGGGTGACGGACACCTAGATCCAGCCATACCTGAAGCCCTTTCTGCTTGGGTTGGTGTTTTGGGGCACCAGGGCCTGTCTCTCCTGCTAACTGCTGTGTTTCCATGTCCCAGCGCCCAGGGTGGGTGCTACGTGAAGGGAAGTCAGGCGTGCTTGTGTAATGAAAAGCAAACGGGGGCGGGAGGGCTGCACAGTCATTTCTCTCTGCCATCAACAGAGGTCACAACCCTTGAGTGCACACTACTGTCCTGATTGGTCAGTGACCCTTTCAAGAACCCAGGAGTCGTCATGGTCCCATAATTTGAGTAGGGGGACCCGGGCTCTCCCCAGCGCTGCCCATGCCCAGGGGTCTGACCCAGGAGGGGCAGCAGGGCAGATCCTGGCCCTTGATCCCCTTTCTCAGGAGGGTGGGGACGGGACAGGTAAGCAGGCTCCAAGCACGACCAGCAGGTGGCGCCCCGCACCTGGCTCTCCTGGACCCTGTCTGGGAGGGGCAGAGCGAAGGTCCAACCCAGGGGATTAGGGAACACGGATGGTTAGTCCAGGGAGGGGCCCGAGGGCAGGGCAGCCACAGGAGGAACCCAGTCCACCAGCAGAGTGAAAAAGACAGTTGTATTTGATTCACGATAAAACTTACAAAAGGGATTGGGGTGGGGGGGTCCCGCTGCCCCCCACTGCCCCGGCCTGGCAGGCCTCTCAGTGCCTGTCGGACAGGCCAGGGCGCCCAGTCTGGGGTCCCCGCTGGCCATTGGGGCCTCGACGTCGGACGTCCAGCTTGACCTTGGAGGTGGGGCCCTGGGCCAAGAGTCAGTGGGGACGCTGGCACCTTGCAAGGCGGGCCAGGCGAGGTCAGGAGGCTTCGTACCGCTTTCTCCTCCCTTCCGGAGGTCAGGCTGGACCTTCCGGCCCTGGGGGTGCAGGCACTGACCCCCCCACATACACACAAAGTGGCAAACCCAGGAATGTGAGGCGGCTGCTGGTGCTGGGAGGGGCCCCGGCCCCCCGGAACCCAGCGTGGCGCCAGGGGCCTAAGGCACATCGGCGAACCCAGAGGCTCGCTCTGGAGACTGGACAGGCAGCCGCCGCTGGACGCTGGTTCTGCAGAAGGGAGCTGGTGCTGGTGTATTGCTGGGAGGGGGTCGCTCCAGACGCCTGGCCCGGGGGGCGCTTCCTCTGCTGCCAGAGAAGGGCTGAACCTACAAACGGGCCTCAGCACGCAGGCCCCCACGCCTGGGACACGGGGCCACACCCCTG